CACTTCTCAAACACATCAAAGAGTGGGACAGAAAGCCCATCAATCACTGTTACCCAGAAAACTGATAAAAAGAAATCACTTGATGTCCATTAGAAAATCCAGTCTGATAGATGGCCGTACCTTCTGGCTATGAGATATAAGGACTATGGACACAAAAATAAATGTCCCCTCTGTCTGCGAGATAGAAAGAAACCCGACTATCCAGGCCCACCTCAAGTTGAACCTCTCCTTGCCCTATCAGGCCTGGACATCACAAGCTCTATCAAATTTGGCCTCTGAGAACTCACAGTCGTTACAGAAGTCAGGGGTAAATTTGCAACTTTCCTGGTAGACAATGAAACAGAATTCTCTGCCTTCAAAAGTACACTCTGTCAAAAAGTTACCATGGCTGGGACAACTGAGACTCTTGCCTCTCACCTCTTCTGCCAGGCACAAACTTGCAGCCTGGGAGGACAGCTCACCAAACATGAATTCCTGTCACCAAGCTGGTCAGCCTCCCTCTCATTTAACCCTACATTTCCCTGGAGAAGAAGATGACACCTGCATCAGCATGATAGATAATCTCAGTCCTGAAATTCTGAAAATTCTCCTTCCAGAGGTATGAAACCGCCACACCTAACCACCAACCATGCTCCAGCCACACCTCAGCTGTCGAAAGCAGTTCTAGATGCTGGTGGACTAATCACCTTGGAATACTCCTCATAGTAAAAATACCCAGTTGGAATTACTGAGCAGTGCAAGATCTCTATGCCATCATCAGTGCAGCCATCACCTTGAATCCTGCAGTTCCTGATCCATACACCCTTTTTGGACTGATGTGGATTTAAAAGATGCTTTTCTCTGCTTGCCAGTTACTTCCATAAGCCCCTTCAACTGGGACAATCCTGAGACAAAAGGCCAGCTCACTTGGACCCAATTGTGATAAAGTTAAGAACATGCCATCTATTTTTGGGAAGGTTCTGATGACAGATTTGGCCAAACCACCAGCACCTTTTGTCTGAGATAGTCTGTTTCTCTGTCCCTTCAACCTCTGTCACAGTTCTCAGTCCCTTCCAGCTTCATCATGATCCCCTGAGCAAAAGTGTAGACTGTCAGATTTAAAATATAGCTCTCCTTCCTATAAAGCGAGTTCAAGATCTCTCAGCTGACAGTGCTGCCACAATTGTCCTCCATATATGTTGCCTTAGTCTTCTGCTACCCACAGCCTGCGGTACACCTGCTTGGATCTAAAGAATGCCTTCTTCTGTCTTCCATTGGCTCCTGTCAGCCAGCCTCTCTTTGCAACTGACCTGGACCGACCCAACCTCCCAGAGGTTCAAAAACTTGTTTCCTCTTTGAGAAAGCACTTCTGATTAATGACACCCAAGCTGCCCGCTGGAAAGATACAAAAGCTCTACCACAACATCTGGCAGAAAATGGTTACAAGAAAAAACTCCATAGATTTCTTGGCACTGCCAGGTATGGTGGTGAATGCCTGTAATCCCAGCACTAGAGAGGCTGAGGCATAAGGATTGCTGCAAGTTCAAGGCCAGCCTGGGTTACATAGTAACTTCAGGGGCAGCCTGAACTATACTGCAAGACTGTATCTCAAAAAAACAAACAAACAAAAATTCTTGGAGTTGCTGGCTTCTGTAGAATAGGGATCCTTGAGTTCACAAAAACAGTGATGCTTAACACAGACTGTCAGTCCCTGGGAGCACCTAGTGGCTGACATGTGAAATACTTGGATCTAGTCCCTAAGGACTACCTCCCCACTTTGCCTTTGAGCTCTAATAGGCACTGTCCTCTGATCAAGAAAGCGGATAAGCTCACCTTAGGCTGAGACCTAACTGTACAGGAGCCACATGCTGTACTGGATCTAAAAATGGACCCCCTGACAAATGCTGAGTATACTGTGTTTACGAATGGAAGTAGCTCTGTTAAAAATGGAATAGGACAGGCTAGATACGCTGTAGTCACCTTGGACAGTTATTTTGGCCAAAGCTGTCCTGCTACTGCTTCCTGCTGGTATTTGGAGAGCTGCCACAAATGATGCCAGACCTGCCCTCCCTAAGCCCCCTCCAGGAATCGAGTTGACTGAAACATCAACTCCAACCGGAAAATCTTTACCCACTACTGGAAGATCAGAACCAGACCTGCCCCCACCATTTGTTCTACAAGTTCATCCTGTAGTGCCGGCACCCGTACCCCTGCAGCCTGCTCAGGCTTCAGCATCTCTGTTACTGGCCCTGATCTCTGCCTGGCTTGACTTAGTGTTCATCCTCATCTACTCAGGCTGGCCAATATGACAGAAGTTTGTTGGATCCTGCTGTGAGAAATCATCCCTAGATATGGGCTACCCTTGACCACTGGCAGTGATAATGTGCCTGCATTTGTAGCAGAGATAACTCAAAAACTGGCAGATCTATTAAAGATTAAATAAAAATTACATACAGTGTATAGGCCACAAAGTTCTAAAAGAGTTAAAGAAATAAAACATAGCCCTACAGAAACAGCCTGTAATTAGCTTCACAAAAGTTAACTAAAAGACCCAGGTGCATATTAACTACCAAGTTTCAGAAATCCAACTTTAGAACCACCATTCCAGAGTTAAGAGCACATCCAGATGATTGCTAAAAATTTACCTGGAAGCTCCTCCATGGCTCACTCTATATAGAAGTCACATTCAAAGCCCTGCATTGGTCACTCCAATGCTGACCAGTGCACACATTGCTGAAGCCTGAGGATGCCATTCACATTATTGCTCCATACCTATTCCCCTTGATTTTTGTGCCTTTTCATGCTGCTTACCACAGTTATTGCTTCCCTGCCCGCCCGCCCCCCACCCCCGCTAGCTGTGGTTTTTGCCTTAAACTCTATAGATACTTTCCCAAGAAAATAGAACAATCAATCAAACAGTTGACCAAGGTTTGATGAATACCCAAGGCACACTGGACACTCTCTTAGGTCAGATTAACTCCCTCACTAGCTTGCCAAAGTAATGTTACAGAACAGACAGGTCTAAATTTATGTCTCTTCCTAAAAGCAATGTAGGGGAAAACGCTATAATAAGACCATCTTAGGGACCATGGCTAGGGCCCATTCTAGCATCACTGACAACCCTATAACTGCTTCTCAATTGGGCTTTGTCTCAGAAGAGCACATGTACTATAAAGATTTGCTGGAGAAATGTAACAGAAAATGCCCCTCCCAGCCTCTGTATGTTAGTTTCTTAGTTGCCCAGATAATAGTTTCTGTTGCAGTTCTAGTTGCTTTTGTCTCTTAGAAATGGTTAGTGTATCCTTGTTAGTATAGTGGTGAAAAAAAAAAAAAGAAAAGAAAAGAAAAGAAATGGTTAGTGTGTTGCATATTGTAAGAACCAATGAAAAACAGTCAAGTACTCTACCTCTGTACCCATCCCCCTTTGCAAATCCATAAAAACTTGCCTCCCTGGGCCTTCAGGACCTGACATTTGAGGGACAATTTATTCCCTGTCAGTGCACATCTGATATTAAATCCATCTTAAATCCTAGGTATCATTGCAGTGTTTTTGCTTGCCATTGCAGTATACCTACAGTATACCTCCACTGTATACCTACAGTTTTAACTGCATCTTTTAATTACTTAATTAACTTACATTACAGGTGTGTACCACCACAACTGGCTGCTTTGCATCTTTCACTTAATGCTTTTCCCCCCCATTAGGATCTCTTAGTTACTTTTCTCTCATTGCTGAGACAAAATACCCAAAACCTAAAGTTAAAGAAAGCAAAGGTTTATTTAGCTCACAGTTTGGAGAGATTTCAGTCCAGAATTGGTTGGCTCCAAGGCAGGGGCCCTCCCAGAGGATAAATAATTCGTAGCAGCAGAACACAACAAAAGCAAACCAGAGAAGGAGGAGACAAGCCCCTTTCTGATTTATCTTATCCAGACTGCTAGGATTAGGGTGATGCCATTCTAATCAGTGGACTGATCCCTGCAATAACCCAACCTTAATCCCCAGTACTCTTAATCCTATCATTGACCATGAATCAGAATCAGTCATAAACTCCAGATTCAGCTACCTCTGAAAAAGTCCTTTCTAAAAGTGCATGAGGCTTTGGGGGACATCTAGACCCAAACTGTAACAATCTTAGTATGTAGTTCAGGCTGGCCTCAAACTCACAGAACACTTAATAAATCTTCAGCGCCATTTCATATCAAGATATATGAATAAATGAGGAATTTGTTTTGTCTTGTTTGTGGTGCTGGGGAGCGAACCCAGGGCCTAACATTTACTAGATAAATGCTCTATCATAGAGCTACCTCTGCAGTCCAAGAAAGCTTTTTTTTTTTTGGTCTTTTTAGACAGGGTCTCTTACCTTGCAGTTCAGGCTGGCCTTGAGCTCACTTTGTAACCCAGACTGGACTTGAATTTACAGTGATCCTCTTGCCTCAGCTTCCCAAGTGTTGGGATTGCAAATTTGTGTCACCACACCCATTTGAAAGGTTTTTTTTTTAGGGCTTTTTTTTTTTTTTTTTTTTTTTTTTTTTGAGAAAAGGTCTCACTGTGTAGTTCAGGCTAGTCTTGGACTTACTCTGTAGTCTAGGCTGGCCTTGAACTTGTGGCAGTCCTCCTGCCTCAGCCTCCTGAGTCCTGGGATTGCAGGTGTGGGCCACCATGCCTGGCCCAAGAAAGATATTTTTAAGCTATGAAAGACTTTTTAAAAAACTATTAGTGAATTGTTCTTCACCTTCCACTTCTCATATTGTCTTATTTGGTTTGAATGTGGTGGACTGCTAAGTCACCACACCAACACAGATCCTTTCACACAATCTCACTGTGTGATTTTCTGCCACACAAACCACTCCTGGTGTCAGTACTAAACTTTGCTTCTCTCTGCGGTTTTTCTTATCCTCCAAGTTTCCCGTATAGTAGGAGGGTTGAAGAGTAGGGTGTCATTCTCAGGCTGATAGCAGAGTCTGTGGTAATTCTTCCTGCTCTTCTTGCTTATGCCTGACATCTTTTATTTCCAATCCAGGGGAAGCCATATGTCTTTGACCGTGTGTTCCCCCCAAACACAACCCAGGAACAAGTTTATCATGCATGTGCTATGCAGATTGTCAAAGGTAATGCATGTATTTTTAGGCTAAATGTTTTCAAGCTCTCCATTCCCTAGCTCGCATACCTCCAACAGGATTCTTTCTTCCAGATGTCCTTGCTGGCTACAACGGCACCATTTTTGCTTACGGACAGACATCCTCAGGGAAAACACATACCATGGAGGTGAGAGTTCTAACTGGGAACGAGGTGCTAGGGTATTAATAGAAGAGCAAAGAATCTTGGGGCTGGGGATTTAGCTCAGCGGCATAAGCACCTGCCTTGCAAGCAGGTGGTCGTGAGTTCAATCCTCAGTACCGATAAAAAGGAAAAAGACAAAAAAAAAAAAAAAAAAAAAAAAGAGAGAAGAAGAGCAAAGAATCTCAGTAGGAGCAGACCCAGGGATCACGAGTTGCCTGCTTCAAGGCAGATGGGCGAGGGAATGAATTACGGGGCAGTGTTACAGGGGAATTTTAACAGGATCTCTTCAATCTACTGTTTCCCCTACTCTTGTTATCTTTTTTTGATCTGAAAAAGTAGCAGCAAAGAAAGTCCAAAAAGCAGCTCGGTTATTTTCTTATATTGAAAGGTAGAGATGTTGGTGACCATATCCTAATTCAGGATGCTATTCTGTATCACCTCTTTGTGTCCCCCTGCAAACCTCTGAATTGTCTCATTGTTCCCTCTCCCCTTAGGGAAAGCTGCATGACCCCCAGCTTATGGGAATCATTCCTCGGATTGCCAGGGACATCTTCAACCACATCTACTCCATGGATGAGAACCTTGAGTTCCATATCAAGGTGATCAAGACAGGAAAGCTAGGCATCCACAGATGGGACTGGGAGGAAGAAATCTAGAATGAACCCACTGAAGATGCTGGGGCCCCCACCTCTACCCTCCCCTCTGGGCACCTCATTTCTTCTCCACCAAGATGTTCTCTTTTGTTCTTTCCTATCTGCCTTCACCCTTTGAAGGGTCTTGTTAGTTTGAGATCCCTGTATTAGGTTTAAGATAAGTTCTCCTCACTTCAGACTCCTTTCTTCCTAACCAGGTTTCTTATTTTGAGATTTACCTGGATAAGATTCGTGACCTTCTGGATGGTGAGCATATACCCTGAGTGGGTTAGGGTGGCTGAGAGGGCTTGAGGGTTGGTTGCTGTTTGGCCCATAGGATATACCTGTGTCCTTGGGCTCCACTCCCCAAGAATTTCCAACAATTCAGAGTCAAAAGATGAGCTTTATTAAGGTCCAGGCTCATACATATGTAGCTTTACAGGAGCAGGAGTTTTGGAACTGGAGCCCTAAAGACAAGGAGGAGGGGTGAGAAGTGCTGAGTGTTTAGCATGAACATGGAATGCAGTGTTCACCAGGGAGTCAACCTCCCTTTAGCACAAAAAAGAAATCTCCATCTGAGTGGAGTGCAGAGTGCAGGGGCCGGGGCAGGGGGGGATGAAGTGCTAGCCTTACTCATCCTGCATTTTCTTGATTCAGTGACCAAAACAAACCTGTCTGTGCATGAGGACAAGAACCGGGTACCATTCGTCAAGGTGAGAGTGGGGCGGACACCACACAGGGCTAGTGTATAGCGAGTGGGGGGAGGGAGGAAGAGGGGAGCGTGAGTTCAAGCTTGGGAAAGTGAGATATGCCAGGAGGCCAGGGAAGTCTGGAGACTTGGAAAAGAGAAGCCGGCAGTTTAATTTGCAGATCAGCGGTTATGGGTCACTGTCCATTTCTCACTACAGGGTTGTACTGAACGCTTTGTGTCCAGCCCCGAGGAGATACTGGATGTGATTGATGAGGGGAAATCGAATCGTCATGTGGCCGTCACCAGTGAGTAGGGATGAACCCTTGAGTCTGGTGGTCTGCCTATCTTCTATGCCCCTTGTGGGCCAGTGAGCAAGGAAGATGTCATCCAGAGGGCCTGTGGCCCCTGTAGCCCACTGCCTGGGAGATGAGGGGGCAGGCTGGCTCAGAGGCCCCTTCTCTCTTGCTTAGGAATGGCAGCTGGCGAAGCTGGGGATGAGGGCTGCATTTCCAGAAGGGTTGATACAGTCCTGTTTCTCCCCTGCTCCTGCAGACATGAATGAACATAGTTCTCGAAGCCACAGCATCTTCCTCATCAACATCAAGCAGGAGAACATGGAAACAGAGCAGAAGCTCAGTGGGAAGCTGTATCTCGTGGACCTGGCAGGGAGTGAGAAGGTTGGGAGTCCTGAGGGGTAGGGTGAGGTGGGTAGGGAAGGAAGCCTTGGAGGGGGTGTCTTTTATTTCTATTAAAAAACTTTGTTTTTTTTGTTTTTTTTTTTTTTTTAGTTGATACAGGATCTCATTTTGTAGTGCAGGCATTGAACTCAAGGTGACCCTCTTGCCTCAGCCTCCTGAGTGCTGGGATTACAGGCATGTGCCACCATGCCCAGCCTTAACAAACCTTTTTAAATTGAAATAGAATTCATATATTGGTTACTTTTTTCTCATTGCTGGGACAAAATCCCCAACACCCAAAATGGAGGAAGGCTGTAAGCAACAAGAGCAAAAAGGGAAAAGGGGCATTATTGTATGCCTGCTACCTATCCCTAAGCAGGTACAGCACTCACAGTGTCAATCCTAGTGCAAGATAATGAACCAATCACAAACGCTAAACTCAGCTGCCTTCAAAAGGCCTGCTCCCATGACAGAATGAGGCTTTGGTGGTGGTGGGGAGACACATCTAGACACAAGCCATAGCAATTCACATACCAGAAAGTTCACTGTTTTAAAGAGTACAGTTCAGTGGGTTTAGTATGTTCACAAGGTTTCACAACCATCCCCAATATATAATTTCAGAACACTTTCATCACACAGTAATAGTTGCTTCTCTCACTCCCTGCCACCTGTTCCTTAGTAGCCACTAATCTACTCTCCATCTGAATTTGACTACCCCAAATATTTCATGTAAATAGAAATATATAACATGATGAGGGGTTTGGGGAGAGAGTTTAGGGGGATGGAGAAGGGTCTTCTCTGGTCCTGGTCAAGCATCTTTTACTTTGCCCTCTTTCTCATTCTCTCCCCTCTTTTTGAACTGGGCCCCCTAAGTTGGAGAGAATTGGTAACAGTCTTTACAACTGCTCATGACACACTTATCCCTTAATGCCCTGGCAGGTCAGCAAAACTGGAGCTGAGGGAGCTGTGCTGGATGAAGCAAAGAATATCAACAAGTCACTGTCTGCCCTGGGAAATGTGATCTCTGCACTGGCTGAGGGCACCGTAAGAGCTCCTTGGGTGCACTTTGCCCTCTAACCCCACCTTTTCCTCATGCTTGCCTCCATTGATACCCCAACTTATGAGTTTCTCAGTTCCCAGTCTTCATCATTTTTTTCTGACCCCCTGTTGAATATATTTTTCTGATTCATGGTCTCCCTCCTTCCCAGAAAAGCTATGTTCCGTATCGTGACAGCAAAATGACACGGATCCTCCAGGACTCTCTGGGAGGAAACTGCCGGACGACCATGTTCATCTGCTGTTCACCATCTAGTTACAATGATGCCGAGACCAAGTCCACCCTGATGTTTGGGCAGCGGTCAGTGGCAGAGCCCCCTGAGGGAGCTCTGGTGCCTAGCTCCCATCTCAGCCCCTGAGGCCGTCCCTGCCAGTGTCACCCAAGCCAATGTGGGTCACATCTCCTTGTTTCTCTTGTCTTCACCCAGGGCAAAAACCATTAAGAACACTGCCTCAGTGAATCTGGAGTTGACTGCCGAGCAGTGGAAGAAGAAATATGAGAAGGAAAAGGAAAAGACCAAGGCCCAGAAGGAAACAATCACAAAACTGGAGGCTGAGCTGAGCCGCTGGCGCAGTGGTGAGAGGGGCACCCAGTGGGGTGGGAGGAGGTGACAGCATGGGCACAGCACTGTTTGGATGTGTGTAAGGCCAGGCCAGTTTCCAGGAAGGAGGACTTTGCTTCTGGGGGGTGCAGTGCAGCAGTCAGGAGGGGAGGGCCGACCCCCTAGGGAGGACGGTTCTCCAGGAAAAGAGATGAGGCCCTGAAGGGCTTGGCGTGGAGGAATGAAAGACCAAGGGTTCTGCACGCAGCTTTCTCTTCTCCGTCCCTCCCATTGCTCTGCCCCTCTGTCAGGAGAGAATGTGCCTGAGACTGAGCGCCTGGCTGGGGAAGATGCAACCCTGGGAGCAGAGCTGTGTGAGGAGACTCCTGTGAATGATAACTCGTCCATCGTGGTGCGCATTGCACCTGAGGAGCGGCAGAAATACGAGGAGGAGATCCGCCGCCTCTACAAGCAGCTGGATGACAAGGTGAGGGCACAGGGAATGGAAAGACAGGGGACTGAAACACTTAGCTTATACCACCTTTTTCTGATTTATTTTTTTTGTTTGGTTTTTGTTTTTTTTGGTGCCGAATTCAGATCAGACTCATGATCTTGTGTTTGCCGGGTAGGTGCTTACATGGCTGAGTTAAATCTCCAGCCCTGTCTTTTTCTGATTTAAAAGGGATAACCATTCATTATTGTAAAGTAGAAAGTAAGTAAAAATATATAGAAGAAAATTAAAATCATCCACCACTGTACTTTTCAGAGATAACATTTTGCTTTTCTTTTTGAATGTACTATGCAGTTGAAGTAGCTGAATGTATGACTTTTGCATGCACTTTTTTTTCATTTAGCATATTATGAACAATATTCTAATTCACTGGCATTTTTTAATGCTTTTTAAAAGGTTGCCTAAGAGTCCATCTATGGAAATATACTTAGCCATTCACTTATTACAAGCCTTGCAGTTTCTGTTTTTGGTATTGGAAATGATGATCTTTTTTTTTTTTTGTACTGGGACTCAAACTCATGATCTCATGCTTGCCAGGCAGGTACTTACACCCCTGAGCTAAATTCCTGGCCCCTTTTTCTGTTTTTTTTGTTTGTTTGTTTGTTTGTTTGTTTTTTAATGACTATCTTTTATGTATAAGACTTTGCTTCTTTTTTTTTTTTTTTTTTTTTCTTTTCAGTACTGAGTATTGAACTCAGGAACTCATGCATGCTACACAAGTGCTATAGTGCTGGGCTATGTCCCCAGCCCTTTCCTGTTTGTGTGTTTTGAGGTAGTTTCTCACATGAATCCCAGGCTGGCCTCGAACTCATGGTAATCCTCCTGTTTTAGATTCCTGAGTGCTGGGATTACTTACAGGCATGTGCCACCACACCAATTTTGTTTTTCATTTGTAGATGTGGTCTTGCTAAACTGCTTAGGGTGGCCTTGAACCTGCAATCCTCCTGCCTCAGCCTTCTGCAACACCACACCTGGCTAAGACTTAGGGTTTTTCTTGAGACAGGATCTGACCTTGAACTCATTGTGTAGTCCAAACTGGCTCAAATTTGCAGCAGTTCTCAGTTTCTGAAATGCTGGCTTTAAGACTTAATTTTTGAATGACTGGATTAAAAGGGAATGTTAGAATGAGATTTCTAGTTAAAGGACATGAATATTTAAAAGCTTTTACTGGCTGTTACAGTGGCACATGCCTGTAATCCCAGCTACATAAGAGAGTAAGACAGAAGAATTAGGATTATGGCTGGTGTGAGCAATCTAGGAAGACCTTGTTTCAAAATAAAATAATAAAAAAGATGCCAGGCATGGTGGCACATGCCTATAATCTCAGCACTGCAGAGGCTGAGGCAGGAAGATTTCCATGAGTTTAAGGTCTGCCTAGGCTATATAGCATGACCCTGTTCCACCTCCCCCCACTAAAAAAGATGAGGTTGTATCTGAGTGCAGAGACCCTGGGTTTAATCCTCAGTAGCACACACATGTACACACACACATACACACACAAAATAAATAAAGGCTTTTGCTATGTACTATCAAGGTTATATTAACTTCCTAGGAGAAAGGATTTTAAAGGTAAGAACTGGAGTCAGGGAAAGAAGGTGAGAAAAAAAACATCTGTTTAGTATTTGAGCTTTCTAGCTCAAAACCTAAACTGTTTGGATTTTGCTCAGGATCCTACCTCTACTTCTACCCCTGTTCCAGAACTCCAAACTGGAAGGAGTAGCTTCTCTCACCAGGGCCCCTTTGCCTCCACAGGATGATGAGATCAACCAGCAGAGCCAGCTCATTGAGAAACTCAAGCAGCAGATGCTGGACCAGGAGGAGGTAATGGGAAGGGAAAAGATGCAGGAGGAAAGGGCTTTGTATTCATTCCTGCAAGATATGAAAAGACCTCTTTAAATAAAATCTGATGAAAGAAAGGACATTCTGCTCAGAGCTAGTCACCCTCCAAATCTACTGGAGTCTGGGAACTTCACTGGGGCTATTCTTGAAGCCCAGATGTTGGTGTCCAGGTACTTCTCCATTCTGTTTCCTGATTCCTGTGGGTCTGATGGCTGCTTCTAGACTCGCTAGGTGGCAGCTCAGCTTCCCTAGACTCAGGGGCCTTGCATGTGATCATTCATAACAACTCCCTCACATACCCCTTCTCCTGTGAAGCTGCTGGTGTCCACTCGAGGAGACAATGAGAAGGTCCAGCAGGAGTTGAGCCACCTGCAGTCAGAGAATGATGCTGCGAAGGATGAGGTGAAGGAAGTACTGCAGGCCCTAGAAGAGCTGGCAGTGAACTATGACCAGAAGTCCCAGGAGGTGGAGGAAAAGAGCCAGCAAAACCAGCTTCTGGTGGATGAGCTGTCCCAGAAGGTGGTGAGTGGCCTACAAGTATTCCAAGGGCTCTGACCTCAACACGCCTTCTGTGTCCAAGGTGTGTGGTGTTCTCATGTGTGCACTGTAGACCAGTGTCATGATGCTTTCTCATTCTGCTACTGTACTTCACCCTGCTGGTCTGTCTGTCTTCCAAACACTCCTGTAGGGCCTATGTTCCTCCTGTGGAAGCCCTCAGGGTCATGCTTGAAGTGGGGAGGTGAACAAGAGAATGGTGGTGGGAATGACATGAGGACTATCCTCAGGCCACCATGCTGTCTCTGGAGTCTGAGTTGCAACGGCTTCAGGAGGTCAGTGGACACCAGCGAAAGCGAATTGCAGAGGTGCTGAATGGGCTGATGAAAGACTTGAGTGAGTTCAGTGTCATCGTGGGCAACGGCGAGATTAAGCTGGTGAGTGGGAGAGACAGCAGTCCTGTGCAGGTTGTTCCTACTTTGCACGCTGGTAGGAGAATCAAGGAGGGGCCAGCCAGCCCCTTTAGAATGCTGAGACTGATGGACCAAAGAGTGAGGAAACATAGTTTCAGACTAGACTTAGGAAACCAAGTGGAGGTTTGTGTAGGCTCAACTGAAAAATATATTCCAAAGAGTTTGATCCCTGGTACCGGTAAAAAGAAAAAAGAAAAAAAAATGTAAAAAAAAAAAACATATATATATATATATATATATATATATTCCAAAGTATACAAATAAGCAATAAAGATAAACTCGTAAACTGCTAGTATTATATATGTGTACTGTAAGAATTTTGATATGGCATAAGTTGTATAAATTTTGTGAATATGTATCATATATACATTAAAGTGATTAAACAGTTTTAGAAAAAGATGAAATAGCATGGTCTAGTGGTGGGAGGGTTAAGAAAGATATGTGCAAAAATGTGCAGGTGAGAATGAGGGACCTGGGTGATCAAGCAGATCTATTTGTCTTGAAAAGAAAACCAAGCTGAGCATGGTGGTGGACACCTGTAGTCTTAGCTTCTCTGGAGGTTCAGGTAGGAGGTTTGCTTGTGCTAAGGAGTTTGAGACCAGTTTGGGCAAACAAAGCAAAACCCTGACTCAAAAAAGAAAACCATATTGTTCTTTAAGGTGGAGGAAGAAGACTATAGGAGTTAAATCTTTAAGTGCAGATCAAGGGCATTAGTATAAAATACCATGTGATGGAAAGTCACTAGTGGAAATATCCATATCACCTGAGTCTCTGTATGTGGGTTTGGCAAAAGGTAGAAGGGAGTGGGTTATGGTTTCTTTGCAGCAGGGAAGCAGCTTTTCCTTCTCTGCCCACCCTCAGCCAGTGGAGATCAGTGGGGCCATTGAGGAGGAGTTCACTGTGGCCAGACTCTACATCAGCAAAATTAAATCAGAGGTCAAGTCAGTGGTCAAGAGGTGTCGGCAGCTGGAGAACCTGCAGGTGGAGTGTCACCGCAAGATGGAAGTGACTGGGCGGGAGCTTTCATCCTGCCAGCTCCTTATCTCACAGGTGAGTGCCTGATGTTGAGAGTGTTTGGGTGCCATGGGAGAAAGAAGACTATTCTGGGGTTATGGAGAAAACTCCCAGCATGCAACCTTTATGTCAGCATCCCAGGGTCAACTGAGATCATGGACAGAAGAGCTAGGGTGGCAGAGGAGAAGATCTAACCAAATAAGTAAGGGAGTGCTGTCCTCCGAGCTGAGAGTCTAAAGAAAGACTCTGTAGGAATAGTCTCTGTGCTTTATCCTTCTGAAAGACACAGTGGAGGGGAGAACTTGGGAGGAGAGCTGGTTTATAGAGGCATGTGTTGCTTGGGGTTGTATCCTTTGCTCCAGTCGTGTCCTTTCTCTTGCCAACCTTATTCCACCAGCATGAAGCCAAGATCCGCTCACTTACGGAATATATGCAGAGTGTGGAGCTGAAGAAGCGGCACCTGGAGGAGTCCTATGATTCCCTGAGTGATGAACTGGCCAAGCTCCAGGCCCAGGGTGAGGCCCTCATAGACCTCCATCCCATTCCGGGACCTAATATCCCAGGGGACAGGGAGGAAAAGTCACAAACCTCAGAAAAAACCACCCAGCAGCCCCTGACCCAAAGGATCAGCCTGAACAGCAGATGAGAACTCGTGCCATTTAGCTAAGCTTTTGCATGTAGCTATATGTGAATCATAATCCCTCTCATCTTCTCTGTCCCTATCATATCATATTGGACTGTCCTAACCCTGAAGAGCATCCTGTGGTCTATTCCCTGCCCTGCCCGGAGCTCTGTCTCTACATGAAGTTCTTTCTGTGGGAGGTAGGTTTGATACAGGCTTTCTTCCCTTTTTCCCTTAGAAACAGTGCATGAAGTGGCTCTGAAGGACAAGGAGCCAGACACACAGGATGCAGATGACATGAAGGTGAGTGGGGAAGGCGCAGGGGTGACGGGGGCCTGGTAGGGTGAGGGCTGTGCTAGCCTTCATAGAACTTGTGGTTGGGAGTCTGGCTCTGAACTTGATGTGGATTGTTTTCAGAAGGCCCTGGAGCTACAGATGGAGAGTCATCGGGAGGCCCATCACCGGCAGCTGGCCCGGCTCCGGGATGAGATTAACGAGAAGCAGAAGACCATTGATGAGCTCAAAGAGTAAGGATCTGAGAGAGTGGATGTCATTTATCCTGGGTCCTTTTATCTTCTTGTGCTCACTCTCCTTTGGGATTGGGTTCTTTAACTTCCACATGTCATTCTCTACCAGTGACATAACTTTGCAGTGCGGCTCCAGGACATATAAAGCATAAAGACTAGTCCCTATCCTTAAGGGAGCTCAGGGTTCCTTACTGTCCTGGAGACAGTGGTATGGGTTGGTGAAGGTAGAAGTGTCAGCTTTTTTTTTTTTAAGAAGATAAAACAGAATGAAACCAATCAAAACAAACCAGTGTAAAAGATATAGCACTTCAAAACATTACAGAATTGGGCTGGAGATTTAGCTCAGTGGCATAAGCACCTGCCTTGCAAGCAGGTGGTCATGAGTTCGATCCCCAGTACCGATAAAAAGTTTAAAAAAAAAAAATTACAAAATCCACAATAGTTACCATAATGCCTTTTGATGTCTTCAAAATAGCTGCAGATAACTTCAGACATAGTAAAAATCAGACAGAATAGAATAGAAACAATAAAAGCAAAACAATGAATGCAATTGAGGACTTCAAAATAAGCCAATAGTAAATCCAAAATTGCTACTATAATATGTCTTGCTGTCTTTGAAATTGCTGCTCCTACCGTTGGATTTGACATAATCAAACAACACAAAAGGTAATAAAACCCAATCCAACAAAACCCTGGAAATGATATAGGACCTCAAAACAAGACCTTAGGGTTGACAATTCATCCTCAGAAGGAGATCCCCCTCTAGATGCTACACTGTGTACCACTAGCCTCTGAACCTATGATCAGAACTCTGGCCCTAGATTTGCAATGTTAGTGAAACAACAAAGCATCACAGGACTCCAGTTGCATTTCACCTCCATAGCTATCTTCACAGCCTGTTTCCCCAGATAAGCTAGTTGAACTTTTTTTTTTAATTAACTTTATTGGTACATTTTAGCTATACATAATGATCATATTCACCATAGTGAATTTGTACCTGTATATGATATATGTTGATTCTCCTTTTTTCCCTGTTTCCTTCCCTTCAACCCCTCTTCCCTCCTTATTTATAAAAGCTTTGTTTCCATTTTTTCCCCTTCTTTTGTCCCCTCCTTTTCTCTGTTCCCTGTCCTAGTTCCCCTTCCTGTTTGAACATTTGCTTCCTGTTTCATATCTATTATGCATTTTGGTCCTTATGTATACTTTCAATTTCTCATACCAGAGAAATTATGTGATAATAGAACATGTATGTCTGATTTATTTTACTTAAGAGTATGGTCTCAGATACTTCCATTTTGTTTGTTTGTTTCAGGAACTGAACTCACAACCCCACACTTAACAGGCAGGCACTGTGCTGCTGAGCTATCCCTGACTCAGACGCATCTATTTACCTAGAAATATGTCAAGTCCATTCTTCTTTATGGCAGAATAGTACTCCATTGGATTAAAACCCTACATCTTCATCAGTTCATCAGTTGATGGACTTTTGGGCTGTTTCTAAATTTTAGCTATTAGAAACCATGTTGCTGGGGCTGGGGATTTAGCTCAGCGGCATAAGCACCTGCCTTGCAAGCAGGCAGTCGTGAGTTCGACCCCTGGTACTGATAAAAACGAAAAAGATAAAAAAAAAAAAAAAAAAAAAGAAACCATGTTGCTATAAACATGAGTGTCATGTATTGCTGTGCTATGATGGTTTTAATTCTTTCAGGAAGATACCAAGGAGAATAGCTGGGTCAAATGAAACCTTTAGTCCTAGTTAGTTTTTTTTTAAATCCATTTTATTTCAAGGATAAAAAGAAGAAGAAGAAAAAACTAGAGCAAAATTTCAAAACATGTCAATTGGGGTCAACAATGGTACATACATTGCATATTGTCATCTCCAAGTCATTCACCCAGAGCACAAGAGTCCTAGTTTTTTGAAGAATCTCCACACTGATTTTCACAGTGGTTGTACCAGTTAACCCTCCTACCAACACTGGAGACGGGGTCCTTTTTCCCCACAGCCCTGTCAGCATTTGTTACTGGTTGATTTCTTGCTAATAGCCATTCTTTCTGGGTTGAGATGGAATCTCAAGCATTGTTTTATTATGCATTTCTTGAATTACCAGTGATGTTGGACATTTTTTTATCCATTTATTTGCCATTTGTACTTTTTCATCTGAAAAGTGCCTTTCATTTCAGATGCCCATTTTTGTTTTGGGTCTTTAAATTTTGGGGGTCTGCTTTCTTTGAGTTCTTTATATATTCTAGAAATTACTCCTTTGAGGAACAACTGGCAAAAAAATGTTTCCCATTTTGTGGATTATCTCTCTGTGTCTCTCTCTGTCTCTCTGTCTCTCTCTGGTCTTTTTTGAGACATAGTGTCACTGCAGTTCAGGCTAGTTTGAGCTCACTTTGTAGCCCAAACTGGCCTCAAAATCACAACAATCCTCTTGCCTCAGCCTCCCAAGTGCTAGGATTTTAGGGATGGGCCACCACACCCAGCTTGGGTTGTCTCGACTGATCTATTGGTTTCTTTTTCTGTGCAAAAGCTTTTTAATAAGATGAGATCCCATTTGTTGATTCTTTGTAGTATTTCCTGTACAGTCAGGGTTTTATTCACAAAATCTTTGACTATACCAATGTCTTTAAAAGTTCTACCTATTCAATGTTGTAGCAGATTTAGTGTTTCTATTTTAGTATTTACATCTTTGATCCATTTCAATTTTAGTTTAGTGCATGGTGAAAGATATGGATCTAGTTTTAATCTGCAGCATGTGGAAAGCCAGTTTTTCCAATATCAGTTACTAAAGAGGCTATCTTTTGCCAGGGATACAGCTAGTGGCACAAGCACCTGCCTGGAAAGGGCAGGGTTGTGAGTTCGAACCTTGGTGCCAATTATAAGTAAATAAATAAATGAAATTTTAAAAAATTAAAGAGGCTATCTTTCTCCCAGTGATGGTATTTGACTCCAGCATCAAAGATAAGGTGGCTGAGTATTTTTGGAGTTGTTTTAGCATCTTCTCATCTATTCATTAATCCTCAGATCCATTTATTCGTTTTTTTCCAGTACCTGTTTTTGTAACAGTGGCTCTGTAGAATAATTTCAAGTCAGAGATTGTGATGCCTCTGGGTTGCTTTTGTTGAGATGCGTCGGTTCTAACAAGGCTCACTCACACAAGAAGTAGACAAATGTAGGAGAGTCTGTTCACCCCCCGACTTCTCATCAGTATCTTTTTTTCTCTCAATACCTTTCATAGCCTGAATCAAAAGCTCCAATTAGAGCTGGAGAAACTCCAAGCTGACTATGAGAAGCTGAAGAATGAAGAACATGAGAAGAGCACTAAGCTTCAGGAGCTGACGTGAGTGATGGGCTTGCCAGCAGGCCCAAGGCCACATAGGCTCCGCACTCTGTACAGATGTGCTTACAGATGTGCTTGTAAAGGCACACTGCATGTATAGCTGTAATATGACTCACAGGAAGCAAATTTGATGGGTAGTAAAGAATGACTGCTGGTGAGTATCAGCTGACCTAGGGAAAGAGGCTTGTGATGTTCTAGGAAGTGTGGAAAGCAGGTTGCAAAATGGTATGAGTTGTCCTCATCTCATAAAGTTTATATGTAGATATGTATGTACAAAGAAGAAATAGAGCTGAGTGTGGTGGTGCATGCCTGTAATCCCAGCTCTTGGGAGGCTGAGACAGGAGGATTATGGTAAATTCGAGATCAGCCTGGGCTACAAAGTGAGCTCACAGCCAACCTAAACTGCACAGTGAGACCTTGTTTCAAAAAGACACCCCCCATAAAAAAAAAAGACAAAATAGGTCTGTTAAGATGGACCATAGTGGTTTAATCTATAAATAGTAAAATCCTGACCTTTCTAAAAATTTCCTAGTTCTCTTTTTAATTTCTTTCCTAAGTTTTGCACAGTAAACATGAGTAACTTATATAATAAATTATAGTAGACTAGAGATCAAAGGAATGGAGGAAGGGGTTGGAAGGAGAGTCCTGAGGACTCTTTCTGTCTTATTTCTCTTGCTGCAGATTTCTGTACGAGCGACATGAGCAGTCCAAGCAGGACCTCAAGGGTCTGGAGGAGACAGTTGTGAGTGATTTTCTTCTGTGCCAAGTAAACGGGAGGAGAGGACTTCATTCTCCTTTCCCCACCCCCAGTTATTTCCTAACCCTGCTTCTCCCATCTTTGGCAATTAGCCTATGGCAGTGCTGGTAAACCTAGGGCATGTGTGCCAGAACCAGCTTTTGTTCAAAGCTCTAAAAAGATTTGCCATCGTTGCCCTATTGCATAACAAAGTCACATCTTTTCAAGATGAGTAACTCACTTGACTGTGTAGACTGAAAGTTCCAATAATTTTGGAGGGAGAAGACAAACATGGTAACATGGTATCTAGATACCCCTTTTTTGTTTGTTTGCTTATTTCCAGGCTCGTGAACTCCAGACCCTCCACAATCTTCGCAAGCTTTTCGTTCAAGACGTCACGACTCGAGTCAAGAAAGTGAGTGCGACCCTCTGGATTGTACCAACCCCAAAACCCCTGCCCTTCCTCAGCTTCCTCTAGCCCTGGTGCTCCTGTGGGGCCTGTTTGGCCTCAGGACAACCACATCTTCCTCTCTATCTCTAATCAGAGTGCAGAAATGGAGCCCGAAGACAGTGGGGGGATTCACTCACAAAAGCAGAAGATTTCCTTTCTTGAGAACAACCTGGAACAGCTTACAAAGGTTCACAAACAGGTAAGAGCCCAGATGAGGGGTGAACTTTTGAGGTCAGGTCTCTGATTCCCAAAATCCTTGGAGGCTCCTTGGATTCAGGAAAATATACTTACATATTTTCCTTACTTTTCTCTTTTACTTCACCTACTAGTCCTTTCTTTCTATCATATTTCGGCCTACTTTTTTCTTGCTTTTTGGTTCATGCCTGTTTTCGTTTCTCAAAGTTCCTGACTCACCTCTGCTAGAAATGAATTCTTCAGGCCTACTTTAGAGGACATTGAAATGGACAGAAGTTGAAGAATTATGGAGCTGGATAGCAGAGGGGTAGGGCTTGGCATGTGTGGAGCTCTAGAATCTATCCCTGGCCCCACAAAAAGAAAATTAAAATATATATATATGCACAAAAGCAAAGAGTATATATCAGACTTTAGCCAGAGAGAAAGCAGGGAGATGAGAAAAGCAAGAGAATTGAGCTTTCTTTTATGGAGACACCTCTATCTGCTAGCCTTGGGGAAGGAATCCAGAACATGAAATAATGTCAAATCAGCCTCTGTTTGGGGCCAGTGAAAATGCTTGCTTATTAAAAGTTCCTGCCTCCCTGCCACCCTCCCTGCTGCTGCGGTTCCTTAGTTGGCTGACTGGGTGTCAAAGGTGTGGGCTGGGGAGGTAGAAGGGTAGGACAGGAAATGTTTGGTGTGTGCAGAGCAGAGCACCCACACTAGCACCAAGGAGTTGAGCCTTGAGCCAGGCTCAATGGTCTGTCAGCTGGTTCTTTCAATTGATTCATAAAAGAAACCCTAACTCTGTTGGGATTAGGGTGTAGCTCAGTGGTAAAACACTTGCCTAGGCTCTGGGTTTAATCCTCAGTGCAGCGGAAAAGGAAAGGAAAAAAGAAAAACCCAGACCTCTTTCCCTTCTTCTCGAGACTACCTTAAATTTCCAGATAAACTCACATTCTCAGTACCTAGAACTTTACTTTCTTTTCCTCCCAATGAGGTGCCCAGCCTACACAGTAAATACTACATATTTTTGTCATGAAAAATTCCCAAACCTTCAGTCCCCTGGTAATCTTCAGACTTTACTGATTTTATTTACTACATCTTTCTTTCCTTCCCTTACTATAAAACTGTAACATTGCAAAAAGGTTGAAACACTGCCAGGAAATATTTTTAATAGTTGTGCCATTCTGTTTTCATTCTTGTATGTTCACTCTACCTTTCTGCCCAAATGCCTATTAAATTGCTTAAAAGTTAACAAATAGGGGCTGGGGATTTAGCTCAGTGGCATAAGCGCCTGTCTTGCAAGCAGGCAGTCGTGAGTTCGATCGCCGGTACCAATAAAAAAAGAAAAAAACAAACAGAGGCTTATCTTTTTCTCTCATTGAAGCCTCCATTTCTCCCTCTAAATCCCAGAGACCAAAAACTGTCCCCTCAAAGGATGGAGGACACACTATTATGTCCTACCTCAGAGATGGGAAGAAAAAGGAGAGATATAGAAAGTTCTCAGCTAATAGAATCTTCATAGTCAAGGCTGCAACTGTATTACCAATTAAGTCAAACTATTGTCACAGCAAAAACACTGTTTCATGCTCTGTTAGTGTGCCTGATAATCCCCCAAGGCCCTGCTCCTTTGGTACATTGTGGTGCCCCCAGTCATTATAGAGAAGTGTCAGAGAGAGCAAGGTGGTTGCTTCCACATTCTAGCTTAATTTAAAGGAGGAGAGACAGCCCAGGAAGTCCTTCAGCGTCAGAGTAATGAGTGCAAATGTCTGTGAGACTGCAAACATTTTCTTTCCTTCCTATGGGGCATGGTGTGTATGTGGATATATGTGGAGGCTTCTGAATTACAGCTTCTGCTCCTGCTCTGCACTGCACCTACTTACGCTCATTTTCCTCCATATCACATCCATGTCTTACACTGCTACCCACCCCTAGCTGCCCTGCACTTCGCATGCCCATGCAGCCATCTTTGGGGAAGGGATGCCTCATCCCCATGGGGACCCTGGGGCTATAGGTTTGGCACAAGCTATGAGATATGGTGGAGGGAAGTTTCCAGGCCAGATAGAGAAGGGGACCCGGCACTGTTAAGACTTCTGGGATAGGCGGGCAGTGTTGCTCACACCTGTAATCCCAGCTTTTAGAAGGCTAACATAGGAGGATTGCCATGAGTTCAAGGATGGCCGGGGCTATGGGGTGAGCTCAAGGCCAGCCTACACTACCCAATAAGATCCTGTCTCAAAAAATGAAAAAGAAAACTTCTGGCCTATAGCAGCAATGGCAGGTTTTGCAGGCTAGGAAACGGTGTAGGTAGAAGTAAAAAACTAAATGGAAGACCACATTGCATAAAGGGAATGAGATCTTTTACAGAAACAATGTGGCCTCCATCTTCTCTGACTCCTGACTTTTCTTTTCTCTTCACCCCTTCCTCCACACTTTCCCCTTGACTGTCTTGGGTTACTTGCCTTTGTTTGGACCTCTTCTCTTTGGACACCCCACAGCTGGTACGTGACAATGCAGATTTGCGTTGTGAGCTTCCTAAACTGGAAAAACGACTTAGGGCTACGGCTGAGAGAGTTAAGGCCCTGGAGGGTGCACTGAAGGAGGCCAAGGAGGGTGCCATGAAGGATAAGCGCCGGTACCAGCAGGAGGTGGACCGTATCAAGGAGGCTGTACGGTACAAGAGCTCGGGCAAGAGAGGCCATTCTGCCCAGATTGGTGAGTGAGTGTCGCAGGCAAGCTGGGATTACCACCAGGAGCAAGCCAGGCAACTTCCCATGTGCCATGCAACTAGAGTATTGCTTCTAGTGCTCAGCTTTCCCTTATATCCAAAAATAAGAGCACAAAGGGCTGGGACAGGAGCCCCACAGTAGAGTGCTTGCCTAACATGTGAGATCCTGGGTTCAATTCCAAGTATTGCCAAGAAAATAAGTGATGGCCGGGCATGGTGGCTCATGCCTGTAATCCCAGCACTTGGGAGGCTGAGGTGGGAGGATCGTTGCGAGTTCGAGACCAGCTTGGGCTACAAAGTAAGCTCAAGGCCAGCCTGAACTGCATAGCGAGACCCCGTCTCAAAAAAAAAAAGTGATGAATTATCTTGTAAGCAACTCAGTCCAAGCTCTGTGAAAAGACCTCTAAGATCAGAGAAATTCAGAGTAACAAATAGCTTCCTCATATTCATTTCCACAGCCAAACCTGTACGGCCTGGCCACTATCCGGCATCCTCCCCCACCAACCCGTATGGCACCCGGAGCCCTGAGTGCATCAGTTACACCAACAGCCTTTTCCAGAACTACCAGAATTTGTACCTGCAGGCTGCACCTAGCTCCACGTCAGATGTGTAGTGAGTGACCATGGGTATAGGCTGGAGTCCCAACCCAAGTCTTCTAAAGCCTGGAAAGCATAGAGTTGGGTCAGTTATTGGTTGGGACTCAATTACTTTCCAAAGTAGCTTCATTTCTAATCCTTCCTCAATATCATACCTGTGATACGATAGGCTTCTACCTCCCTGCCCATGCCATATGTTTGTTGTCCTCTCTGGGCATGTGGAAGGCTATGTGACTCTACGGCTGAGAGCGAACATGGGTTAGTGGTGTTCAGAATAGTGGAGGATGGATACTACAGGCTGCATTTCTCTTTTTCACACCATCCAGCTTTGCTAACTCCTGTACCAGCAGTGGAGCCCCATCTTCTAGTGGTCCCTTGACTTCATATCAGAAGGCCAACATGGACAATGGTGAGTGACCATGATGGGTAATTCCAGCCTTTGGGATCTCCAGGGCAAGTGGAGAAGTATGAGAAAAATTAGTGACCCTCGTTTAACTGAACTCTTCTGACATGCTTCAGATAAAAAGTTACCTGAGCTGGAGATACAGCTCCCTGGCAGAGCGCTTGCCTAGCATACGCCAAGCCCCAGGTTCAATCCTCAGCACCACAAAAACAAAAAACAAAAAGATATATACCCACTCTTGCAGGTCTAGATTTCATCTTTCCTGCTTGGTCCTTTCTCTTCTCCTTAGTTAGGGGCAAGAGGCTTTTTCTCAAACAAAGTAACAGTGTGGCCTTGTATGACTGAGAACATAGTGTGAAGACTTGTTTTACAAGGGGCTTAGGATGGGAGGGACCTAGGAAGACCATTCCTAACATCTGTCTGCTTTCTTCTCACCATGGCCTCACTGGCAATCCCTTCAGGAAATGCCACAGATATCAACGACAATAGGTACACCATTCTTCAGTACTCTTTGGGTTCTGTGGGTGGGACCAGAAGAATGATTAAATTTTTCTCTGTCCTGCTTAGATAGAGCTTCCCTGGAGCCTCTGTGGGGGTGGGTGAGGAGGAAATGAGAATCTTCCTGCCTTCCCTGGGTTATCAGGGAGATCCAGGCATTCCCTCGTCTCTGCTGAACATTGTCCCCTCTTCTAGTCCCCTTTGGGGCCTCTTCCCAATCAAGTTATGGGGCCATGCACACCCGATAAAGTGGTTTTCTCCTCCTTTTGGGAACGTTGTGACCTTGGGCAAGTCATTTACATCAGCCTGGCCTTGTAGTTCCCTGTATTGGCATGAGTAGGCCTTGACCCTTCCCTTCCTTATCTCTCAGGAATGCTATCAGGGCACTGTCCATGACAGGAATGTTTTCCTTTATGTGAAGCTGACTGGGTGTGTGTCTTCCTTTAGGAGCGACCTGCCATGTGGCTATGAGGCTGAGGACCAGGCCAAGCTTTTCCCTCTCCACCAAGAGACAGCAGCCAGCTAATCTCGCACAGGACGATGGCTACGTACCTGCACTTTGAGGTAGCCCTGGGCCACTTTCCCTGACCAGCCTCACACGGTCCCCTTTCTTGCCCATACCTCTTTGGTTCTCTGGTTTTTTTTAACCATGTGAATTTTCTATTCTCTTACCCCTCAGCTCCTGCCTTCCCCTTCTGGGGCTTACATGCATTTAGCCCTGTATGTTTTGCACTCTTAAACACTGACACCTCTCTTGCTTTCCGTTTGGCTATTGTAGTAACCACAGTGCTGCTTTCTGCCACTAGGGGTCACTGCCATATGTCAAAAGAAGTGAGCAAGGGCCACTGTGTCTGCCACAAACAGGTCCTAGACCAGTGGTGACGAACCTATGACATGTGTGCTGTAGTGGGCTGTTTGTATCATCAAAAACTCTAAAAGGTTCGCCATCACTATCATAGACCGTGGGTAATAAGAGATTCTCTTTCCACCTCTACCCTCAAATATCTTGGATAGAGATTTTCTGAAGACATCTGTAGGAAAGGCAATGTGATTTACTACCAATACCCATGACCTATCCTCCCATCTACATGTACCACCAAAAAGCTACAGGAAGGCCTGTAGCTATGTGAAGTCTTAACTTTGTCCCTCTAGCTGTAATGTCAGCAGTCCCCTTCATATGGGCCTATGGAGGTAGAAACAGCTGTCCCAAACTCTAACCCACCCCTCTTCCCTAATGAGGACTAAGGATGGAAGGGTCAACAAGGGCATAGTAGGGGCTGGGTGGGTGATGTGGTTGTTGGCATTACAGCTACAGGACTGTAAACCAAAGTGTGGACAAAAGCCATCAGTTCCTCCAAAGCCGCTGGGCTGCAGCTGTTCCTCACACCTTCTTTTTCTTTCTTCCCCAGTTTCTAAGAGGGACTGAGGCCTCTTCTCTCAGCATGCTGCAAACCTGTGGTCTCTGATACTAACTCCCTCTCCAACCCCTATATTTGGACTGTATTGTTGATTGTCTTCTCTTACTGACTCTGTATCTCTTTGTACTCTGTATCTATATATCAGAAGCTGCTGCTATGTCTCTCCTCTCTCCGTCCTGCTCTCTTAAATATTTAGTAATGTATTTAGCAATTTCTAAGCATAGTCTATCCTCCTCATTTGGGACAATAGAGGGGAGGGGAAATGTTTCTTCTCTCATATACTCGTCTCTCACACTGAGTGGTACTAGTCACTGAGCAGAGGTCACAGAGATGATAAAAGAAGAAATAGGAACTAGAGGGCTGTGACCCTTCCTTCTCACACTCATGTGCACATGCACACACACACACACACACACACACACGTACATACAAAGCCTTAAGCAAAAGAATGTCTTAGCACCCTCAGAAGACAGAAATACACTCTTCCTCTCTCCTCTTTGATGAATAACACAGGAGAGGGTGAAATGGAAGGGATTCTAAATTATATAAATCATTTTCTTTATACACCCCTCACCTGAATCAAGAGATTCCAGGTGTTTACCTCTGTCCTGCAAAGTCTGCCTTTTGCCTTCCGTCTCCATTTTTTCCTGGACTGAGAAACATGGATGATTTAAAGGACTTTCCCTTTCTCGTCCAACCCCGTTTTAACACTCTCTACCCCAGAACTCAGAGTTGATTAAAAATATTTTGAAGAAACAAGACAGACTCCTCCTAATAGTCAGCCAAATGGCTGCTCATCTGTCAGAGGTAATAGTGTCATCAGAATGCTTACTCCTTGAGTCTGGAGAGTGAACTAGTTGAGAAGTTGCTAAGTGTTTTTTTGTTGTTGTTGTTTAATTTTGTTTTTCTTTTTTGTCACAGTAGCCTCAGGTTGAAGCAATGAGCTGGATTTCTTTCTCCCATATTGGGTCTCATATTCTTTTCTCTGCCTTTTGGTTTGGGGCTTCCAGTTCATTGGCAAAATAGCTCTCTCTAGATGCTTTTCTTTCAAGCTGGCATCTGGCTTCTCCCCAGAATAAATTTTCCCCCCACAAAGAGTTTCATGTATAATGTTCCCATCTGGTATTAAGTGCACTTTAAGGAAAGAGCCAGGGCAGATTTTCCAGGGGTGGCGGAGCCTGAGGGCTTGACCCCAGCCATTCTCAGTCCTATGCCCCTCTCTCACAATTGAGAGGACTGTTGCTTTAGTTCCAGATGGCCTTTTCCTTCCACTTGGTGCTAAGGTGGTTTTCCAGGTAAATGCACTGATGAGGTCACTAGCCAGTAGAAACCAAGAAGCCCAATGTCCAGATACCAGTTTTACTTGGTATGAAAGACCTGGATCTTGCTGGGTATGGTGGCGCATGCCAGCACTTGCGAGGCTGAGACTGGAGGATCACACAAGTTCAAGGCCAGCTTAGGCTAATAGTGAGTTCAAGGCCAGCGTGGACTACATATCAGGACCCTGCCAAAAGAAAAAAAAGGTAGGGGGAGGAAAGGAAAGGGAAAAAAAGATATGGATCCTCCAACAGCAGGATAGTCTACCACTCGACTTCTTTTAAGTTAGGAAAGAAAGCTAAGTCTGAGTGCAGATGTTAAGTGCTGGCCATCATAACCTTTCCTCCCAAGGAAAGAGCCTTGCTTCCTTCACTTGTTGAGCTCCTGTTAGCAGTAAGGAGGAATACCAGGGGGAAAATAGTGGAATAAATCCAAAGTGGTAATTCTCAAATACTTCTCAAATATTATGTAGAGCCCTGATATAAAAAAATAACAAGACAGACTGGGGTAGTTGACATTTTCTTTTTCTGGTAAGAAATGCTTCATTAGTTAAAGATCCCTTGAAGAGTCTAAATAGACCTTGGGGCTCTATGAAATAGGCTGAAAAGTATTGCTCTGAGAAAGGAAGTCCAATGTGGCTCCCCTGTACCTGCAATTCACAGGATAGATGATTGAGGTGACACTGTGCTGTCTCAGACCCTCTTGGAGAATAAGGAAGACACCAGTGCACTTGTAAATTTTGTATTTGCCAACAGGACATCTAAGAATCCAGGGGACTTATGTAATCTTTTTTTTTTTTTTTTTTGAGCCAAGGTCTTGCTATGAGATTCAGGCTGGCCATGAACTCACTCTGTAGCCCAGGCTGGCCTTGAACTCATGGTGATCCTCCTGCCTCAGGCTTCTAAGTGGTGGCATTACAGGTATACACCCCTCACCCAGTTCCAAATGATTCTTTAAAATCGTGAGTAAGAAAATGTGAACACATAATAGGGCAGATGAAGAGAGAGGTGACACAGAAGGAGAGGCCTACTGTTCAGCAAGATGAAAGGGAAATGTAACTCACTTGCAGAAATAAGAAACAATACACTCACCACCCTTCACCAGAAGCTTCACACTACATTCTCCTCTTCCTGTTCCTATATCACATCCCTTATAGTAAGAGCCAGGGCCACCATAAGCGATACCTGGCTTGCCCACTCTCATCTGCCAAAATGTTGCATGCCAGTGTGGAAGACCAACCAAACTGCACAAACCCCAGTGTGTATTTATTTGGTGTACATAGATATCTTTAAAATAAAATAAATTCAATGATAACCTTTATGTTGTTGTAAATCTTCTTTATTTCTCCCTAGTCTCACTCCCTTATTTGCATGTAATGGTATTTAATAGTGTGATGAATATCCTTCAAGATTTGATTTTTTTTTTGGTAGTATCAGAGATTGAGCCTAGAGCCTTCACACAGCTACATGCCCTTTTTATTTTGAGACAGAGTTTCCCAAAGTCATTAAATTGCCCAGGGTGGGCTGTAACTCGTAGTCCTTCTGCCTCAGCCTCCCAGAGAGGTTGGATTATGGGTATACACCACCATGCAAAACATATTTTGCAATTTATTTGCACAGACTTTTTCTCTCCCTGGAGATCTTTTCATGTCAATATAGATTGATTTACCTCATTAAATATGTATAGTTTTCATGTTTATCCATTCCATCCAACCACTCCTTATTGGTGGATGTCTAGATGGTTTGAAATTTTTAACAACAATAAAAGTATTGTGTTCATTTTTTACTAAGACCATCATCCCAGTCCCAGCCAGTGCATCACTTTCCTTCCCTTGCCAGCAGCTCAATTTTCTTGTTCTGGAATCACACTTCCAATTCTTATTTTCTCTCCTCATCTCTCAAAGCTTGGAGAAAGCTGTGCGACAAAACAAAAACCGAGACAACTAAAGATGAAGAGCTGCAAGCCCCCTCAGCCCTTTCAGTGCTGCTCTGTGTTCCTCCTGTTTCCCTGCTCAGTTTCCTTTCCTGCCTTCTACAGAAGTTGTTCAAAAGCCTTCACTCCTGGAGACCCCTTCCTGCTTTCCTCTCTCAGACAACAACTTTAGGAAAATCAGGGTGATCAAGCATGAAGTTCACCCCTCCTGCCAACCCTTCATATTGGCCTGTGTCTCCACACAAGGAAGATTTTGCTGGACTGAAATGAATCCCTCATAAGAGTCTTCCCGCCTCCTCCCACTGCAATACTAGGGATTGAACCAGGGCCTCCCATGCCAGGCCATCCCCTGGGTCTTGAATTCTTGGGATCAATTACGTAAAACCTCGGTACATAAAATAACTAAAGATACTACATATATAAAATTGTTTAAATCTTTTTTTTTTTTTTTGTCTTTTTTTGAGATGGTGTCTCGCTATGCAGTTCAGGCTGGCCTTGAGCTCACTTTTGTAGCCCAGGCTGGTGTCAAACTTGCAACCATCCTCCTGCCTCAGCCTCCTGAGTGCTAGGATTACAGGCGTGAGCCACCCACAGCCTGGCTCTGTTTAAATCTTCTTTAACATTTGTCTCAATGACCTTTTCTTCTTATAAGTTCTCCTACTTTTCTTTGTGTGTCTCAATAATTGACTTCCTGGTCTTTTTTGTTTTCTTACTGAAAAATCTCCAGAAACAGTCCCAAGCCTCCCACGGCTCTCATGCATCCCTGAGCCCACCCAAGCCTGGCTCTTGCCTGGCTCTTGTGCTCACACTGCTTCTTTGGAGGAGAATCAGGTAACCTTGTCTTCTCTCCACATTCTCCACCTCTTCCTTGAAGCACTGCTCCCTGGGGCTTTAGGACCCTCCTCTCCAGCCACAGTTGGGAGCCCTTGAAGTTGGAAATTGACCACAAGTGCAAGGCCAGAGCATGACAATCCCAAGAACAAAGAGTGCTTGGGGCAAGCCACGTGGAGAAGCTGCTTCTGTTTCAGCCGGGAACACCTAGCCCTAAGACAATCTAAACAGTGGGTTGCTAGGACAACAGGGTGTCCTGTGACATTAAGTTGCTAAAAGGTATAAATAAATGCCTCTGCAGTGAGGGGCCAATTCCTTTCTTCCCATCAGGAGGATAAGAACTCTACCTGACCCCAGCTTTGTCTCTTTATTTTCTCATCCTCTTGCAGTCCTTCACCCCAAAAAACTCAAGGGTTGTGTGGGTCGTGGCCACTCAACCTCTGGCCACCCCTTTCCTCTCTACCAGCTTCCTAAATGCTGCTCTGGCTTTGGATTCAGCCCTTTGTCCTCCCCTTGCTCTTCCTGGGTATGTCATCCATGCCTATGGAGTTCAGAACAATTCTTAAATCTGTATTTCTAGCCTGGATTAGCTGCTGAGCTCAGGGTCTATATGTCTAGTTGCCCTTAGGCACCTGAAACATGTTCCAGATTGAACTCATCTTTTACCCAACAATGCTCCTTTTCAAGTTACCTCCATTCTCACTTTAGGCAGAAGCCTGAAACTCAGTCTCAGTGTCTGGCATTTCCTGCAAACCATACATGCTAAGAACAGCTTGTTTACTTGCTTTTTTCTTACTGAGTCTTCACACAGAACTATGTTGACTTATGTTGACCAGCCCCTTTTAAAAATTTTTCAAACAGGGTCTCACTAGGTCACTAAATTGTCCATGATGGGCTTGAACTCGCCGTCCTCTGCCTCAGCCTGCTCACCAAGTTCTGGGATTACATAAATGCTCCATCATGCCTGACTGCACTGTGTATCTTCCAAGTTATCTAAACCTTTAGGTCACTTTCTCTCAACTCAGCAGCCACAGTTTTAGTTTGCTGTATGTGAACTTTTGCAACACTCCAGTCACCCTCTAGAATGACCCCTAAGTGGTCCTTCTAAAAGCATACTCACTAGATTAAATCCACTTCAGGAGATCTCCAGTGCTTACCCTTCCTAACCTTACATCTTGTTTTTTTCCCCCCCGCTGGTTCTCAAGTTCCAGCTTACTTTACTATTAACATCTTTAGAAACAGACAAGTTCTGTCTTGTCTTAATGGCTTTTTACACTGGTCTCTGCACAGAAAGCCTTCTCACACTTGGCCTTGAATTCCACCAACCCTTCCAATAAGTCTCTAACCTTTTCCAATGGTTTTCTGATGGTCTATACTTCCTGTGTCATAATCGCTGCCTCACAGGCAGCTCCAGTATAGCTTTTATCTCAAATATTGCAACTTTCTCCTTGGCCAGCCTGGGCCATTAGACACTCCCACCCTCTCTGCCCAACTGCTTTAGGGCTGGAACTATTTGTTCTCAGCTTCAATCAAAGGAAAAGTCAGTTTGAGGAGCAATACTGGGTTCAAGTAAATGTTCAATAGATACCTGGTGACTAGATAAATGAACGAATTTAAACATGCTAGTGGCCACAGGTAAGAATGCAGAATTTCTTCGGGCATGGTGGTGCACGCCTGTGTTCTCAGCACTCAGCAGGCTGAGGTAGGAGGATCGCTGCGAGTTTGAAACCAGCCTGGGCTACATAGTGACTTCAAGGTCTCCAAAAACCACTAGAATTTAGGATTTCTTGTGCCTGCCTCTCCCAGATCTTTACTCGGTAAAGAAAAGCTTTGCGTTAGCCTAGGGTGCAGGTTACTCTTAAAAGTACGGCAGATCCAGAAGAGGGTTACTTGGCAGCGAAAATCCCGACCTCCTGGCCAGGTATTATCCATGCCAGCCAGAGCGCTCCTGTGACCCTAGATGACCCGCTAGGGACTCAATCAAGGTAGCCGCGCACCGCCCCCAACACTTGGTTTCTCCGCTCCAGGTGAGCCCACCTACTGCGCGGGCGGCCAGGCGGGCTGGCGTCGGGGGCGGAGCCATCTTTGCCCCGCCCTCGCCGCAGGCCTGTGGGCCAGCCTCCGGTCACGTGACGGCGGCGCAGGTGAGCACCGCTTCCGGGGTCAGGCGCCTGAATCGCGACCGGCTCCCGCTTCCACTCAGTCGGGTGCGCGGGAGACTATGGCGTCCTCGGTCCCGCCAGCCAGCGCACCCGCGGCAACAGCGGGCCCCGGCCCGGGTTTCGGCTTCGCCTCCAAAACCAAGAAGAAGCATTTCGTGCAACAGAAGGTGAAGGTGTTCCGGGCAGCCGACCCGCTGGTGGGTGTGTTCCTGTGGGGCGTAGCCCACTCGGTGAGTACTAGCCCTAGCCCCTGTCAACCCGATCCTCAACCCTCAGCTTCTGCGCTTTGGGGCTCCAGGTTTCCAGGCTCCCGCGTCCGGATTCCCTCGCGTTGCCACCCACCCGTCCCCAGGGGTTCCTCCAGACTGTCTTCTGGTTGTGAACTTATTGTCTCCCAGTCAGCCCTAATAGAGTAGTGTCTTCCTTACCTGAAGTCTAGGCCCCTGGTCTTGACTTCTTCCAGCCCCAGGCTACGGAGACTGGCCGGGATTCGTCTCCAGCTGGAGGAACCTGAGGAGGAGTGGCTCTTAGGAGTGGCGAGGTTTCAGAGATTGTGTGTATGGGGGTGGGGTAGCTCGATAAAGGGAATCATTCACTTTCCTTTCTGCCGCGTTCCTAGCGTCACTCCTTGACTTTGCAGCCTTAACTTTGTCTGGGGAGAAGGTTCAGGCTTCTTGGACCTTCTAATTTTGCTTGTCTCCTCCTTCTAGAGGTATTGCATTTCAGAGACGATACCCCACCCTGACCCTAAAAAGTGCACTTATCCAGGGCTTTAACGTATGTAACGTATTTAACGTACGTATGCCTGTGCATTGCCATTGCTGACTGGAGTGATGATATTTAGTGCAAGTAGGGGTTGTTTTTGACCAAAAAGAAACAGAGGAGCTCTGATCCCAGGAACACCATGCTGGTGAACTTTGGGGACAGGAAAGTACTCTTAAGGATCTATCTTGGGAATCAGGAGGAGGCCAATGTATCTTCTCTCCAGTGAAGGAAGCACAGCATAGCCTCCTTCCCTCAGTCGAGAGTGAGTGGGATGCAAAGATCTTGAATGGAGACAATATTTTAGTAATCAGCCTCCTTGAATTGTTATAGTCATGGCGAAATCATGAGGGTGGAAGGGGATGAGGAAGAATGCAGTTTTGTCATATGCTTTTGGGGTCTGTTGCAGCCCTCAGATGGTAAGGTCTTATTAGCAAGTATCCAAACACTGGATTGGCAAGTTTGATGAAGGCAGGACTGCTTCACCTTATTTACCCCCCAAGTTAGGTATCTACCTTCCTTGAGGAAGCCTAATAGAGAGGGTTTTACCTTGGTAAGGATTGGAGGATTCCATGTAAGACTTGCTTCAGCTTCTTTAGGAATATATACTTTAGCTCCATCAGCCCACCGTTCAGCCAACACGTATCTACTTCAGTGTCTGGAATGGAGAAATTCCTTCAACATATGCCTTAGTGATGATTCAGCCTACTTAGCAGGTGGTAAGGAGGGGGCAAGAAGAGCTGTAGCTGAATTTTAGGCTGGGAATCTCAAGTGGCTTTTTTTTTGCCTGGAGAAATATGTTCTGTCCTCTTTTTTCCACGAGAACGGGGGTGGGGGGTGTTGCATGCACTGCAGTGTTTGGAATTTAGGTTACTCTGCAATTCTTAACCTTTTCAAATTATCAAGTAAAGATAGGCAAGACATTTATTAAGTTAATAAACATTTCAGGATCTTTGCGTGCTAGACATTGTGCTAACTAGGCAAATATAAAGAATAGGATGAGCACTTATCTTTGGAGCTGACAATCTGGGGGCAGGGTGGTGGGACTTACATAAACTGGGTGGTTAGAATCATGTGGTACATCATGCACTGGTTGTGTGTCTGTGTGTTTGGTACTGGGAATTGAGCTCACAACTTTGTGCTTTTTTGTTTTTGGTACTGGGAATTGAATGTACAACCTCGTGCTTACCAAGCAGGTGCTGTGCTGCTGAGCTATATCCCTGTTCCCATCATGCACTGTAAAGGCAGGTGAGAGGTAATCTAGCAACACCAAGGAGAAAGGACAGTTCCTTGAGATTCCTAAATACAGAAGCCCCCTTTCTACCACCCTGAATCAGTAGGCTACAGATCCTGAGGCTGAGAATATGTGATGCTTGTGTCCTTTGGGCTGTAGACTGGCTTCACTTTAGGAAACAGTCACCTAATGAGCTCTTGTCCTCTGATGACCTGCATTCCCTCTGAGATCAGCTGTTCTCTCACTTTACACCTAGGTTTGTGGGTGCCTCCTTCAGAATGGTCTGGAAGGATTGTCAGTACCTCTAAGAGATACTTCTTAGAGGATATAGGTATTTCATCTTCATGCTGGTTTCGACCCTTCTGAGTCCCATTAACTCTGTGCACTTAAAAACATTTTTTTTAAATTGAGCAAGTAACTGTCTTGAGTCTCCAGAGGGGTTTTGTTTTGTTTGGGGGGGGTTGTTTTTGTGGGGTGTTTTGGGTGCCTTTTTTCTAGAATTTCTAGGTTTGTAGAATTTCAGGTTTAAAAATAATTCTGAGTTGCTTACAGAGTTTGCCTAATATAAAATTACTGTTGAGAGCATGAAGTTCCATGGGGGTGGGAGTGTGAGGATTGCTTACAGCAATCTTTGGGCAGCTGAGATGTTTAGACACAGTCTCTGACTTGAGACATATGCATGTCCAGTGTTTTTAAAGGAATGAGGTTTGAGTTGCCCTTTTCTGACTCCTGACCAGACACATTGTATAAGTAAGTATCTCTCCACACTCCTAATGCCTCCTTTTTCATGTTTTGACTATCAGATCAATGAGCTCAGCCAGGTGCCTCCCCCAGTCATGCTTCTGCCAGATGACTTCAAGGCTAGCTCCAAGATCAAGGTCAACAATCACCTTTTCCATAGGTAAGTGGGGAATCCTTGTCTATTTCATGGCAACCTTCTAGACAAAGAATAATAAGTAATTTTAAAAGAGTTCATGAGTTAAAAGTTTTAGATTTTAAAGTCATTTTATAAATATATGATCCAACATCCTTCCCAATATAGAGAGGTTTGTGCAAAGAAAGTAAAATAATTCCTAATATTGTCTGAACCTTGTGTGTGCTACCTCTCCTCTAGCCTGGCAATTCCATAGAGTGAATAGATTCACATGCCATTACTATTATTACTGTTAAAGAGTCTGTGAAAGAAGTACTTTAGTCTTCTAAGCCCCTCTTATACCAGAAGATGCCATTTAAATAACTCAAGTACCTATAGCTAACCTTAGAATGTCTCTAACTTGCTTAGGATTTGGGAAATGATACTTGTTACACTGCTTTCCAGCCATGTAACTTAGGCAGGTCACTCAGTCACCCTGAAACCTGGCTTTCCTTCTATAAAATACCTTTAAAAGTACCTCACAGGTTTTATGAGAATCAAATGAGGTAATATATAAAGGTGCTTGTCAAGTCCTATGTAAGTGAAAGGTAATATTGTTATTTTGTTGTTTCACCATGAAAACCTGTATTTCAGAGAAAATCTACCCAGTCATTTCAAGTTCAAGGAATATTGTCCCCAGGTCTTCAGGAATCTCCGTGATAGATTTGGCATTGATGACCAGGATTACTTGGTGAGAGTCTGTTATGGGATAAGATAATCCCTAGCAATTTGGGAGTCCTTGGGATAGTCATTTTTAGAGAAACAAAAGCCTCAATGAATATGATTCTTTATTGTTTTCTGGTCAAAGTCATCTTCAAAAATCTAAGGATGGCTGGGAATGTAGCTCAGTGATACGGCACTTGCCTGGCACACACAGGTCTTGGGTTCAGTTCCTGGTATTGGAAGAAAAACAAAAACAAAAAACTAATGAAAGCTGGAGGTTTAGCTCAGTGGCATAAGTGCCTGCTTGGCAAATGCAAAGTCATGAGTTTGATCCCCGGTACAAAACAAAACACCTGATGAAAGCTAATGAAACTAATCTAAAGACATCCTTGGGGAAAAAATACAGGCACATAAAGAATTTTGCATTTGCTAGATGCAGTGACAATGCCTATAATCTCAGCTATTTGGAAGGCTGAGGCAGGAGGATCACAAATTCAAGGTCATCCTGGGAAGTTTAGCAAGCCTCTTATCAAAAAAGTACAAAGGGCCAGGGATGTAGCTCAGTGGTAATTACCTAGCATGTATAAGATCCTAGGTTCAGTCCTTAGTACACAAACAACAAGGAAAAAAAACTTTGCTTTGAATTTCATTTGATCCATATGTGAACAACAGATTAATGCCTGCTGAATCTTTTACCCAAGATTTCATATGGTTTTAGAAGCATTTTGTTAGCCATTAACCTATGACTTATTTCTCCATGCAAATGGAAAAAAACTTGTAACTTGTACTTTGTTTTTAGGTGTCCCTTACCCGAAGCCCCCCAAGTGAAAGTGAAGGCAGTGATGGTCGCTTTCTCATCTCCTATGATCGGACTCTGGTCATCAAAGAAGTATCCAGTGAGGACATTGCTGACATGCATAGCAACCTCTCCAACTACCACCAGGTCAAGCTTCTCCCCTGCCCAACCTTTCCTTCTCCTCCCTATGTACATATTCGGCTGCCAAAACAGATTCTCTATTGCTTTTCTACCCTCAAAACCCTTCTGTATCTCCCCCAGAAGCACTTTGTATGATGTTTTCAAAAAGTAGGAATTTGAAGGAAAAAAAGGGAGATGGGAGTCCTCTGCATACTTACGTGTTTTAATTAATAGAAGAATTTGATGTATCACTTACCATTTTGTACTTACCAGTGGTACTTCTGTGCCACTTTGTCCTGAGAAGATCCCTTTCTTTTCTTTCCCCTATCCCATTCCTCTCCTTTTCACTTAAAATAAGTGTCAGTTTTTCCTTATGTCTGGCTTCCTGGGACACTAGAGGACTCTGGAGAGACCCAAAGACCAGGTCAGCAAAATGACTAAGGAAAACCTACAAGAACAGTGTGGGAGTTAAGGCAAAGTATCCTCCAATTTGTTGGACACCAGTTTAACAACAATTGGGAAACAGAAAGAGGAACAGATTTTTGGGCAAAGTTCTGATTTAATATGACAAGTTTTAGATTTCTGCAGTTCATCCACATACAGATGTCAATAAGTGGTTGACGTATGGGTATGGAATTCAAGAAAGAGGATTAGACTAGGAGTCAAGATTTGTTAGTTGTGTATGAGTAAGTGGTCATTGAAACCACTTACTTTGATGTGAAATCACTTATGAATGTAGATAAGAATATTGTATGTAGCGAAATGAGAAGGACATTGAAGACAGAGCCCTAAGGAACAAGTTGAGAAAAAAATCCATAAAGGTGACAAAGAGTAGATAGCACTTTTTTTTTTTTTTTTTTTGGTCTTTTTCATTTTTATCAGTACCAGGGATCAAACTCACAACCGCACACTTGCAAGGAAGGTGCTTATGCCGCTGAGCTAAATCCCCAGCCCTAGATGGGCACTTTTAACTGTTAATTCCCTGGTACATTTCATAAAGGGTTTGAGGGTAGGGAAAAATCAAGAGTGGTATAATGAGAGTTGAGGATAAAGAGCATTTTAAAGAGAGACTGACTAACAGGATAAGGTGCTACACAGTTGAAATATGACAATGACTAGAATACCAACTGGATTTGATATCCGAGGGATTTTGGTGTGATTCCAGAGAAGAAATCAGGGTATAAATCTGATTTCAATGATTTTAGGCATGAGTGAAAGATAGGAAATAGACCGATTGCTGATTACTTTTCTGAGGAAGTTCGCTTTGAAGAAAAGAGAAATAGGCTGCAACGGTAAGAGAGAGATGAGAGAGAAAGCATTGAAAGAGGAATAGGTCTGGTGTTGTGTTTTGTCTTGTTCACTGTGCTGGGACTTGAAACTAGGGCAGAAAGCATGCTAGGCAAATGCCTCACCACTGAGGTATACCTCCAGCCCGAAAGAGGAATTGTCTTTTTTTTTCCTGATGGTGGTACTAGGAACTGAACCCACATCCTTCACACCAAGCTGTATTTCCAGGCTTCCCCACTTAAAAAATTTTTTTTAAATTTGAGAGAGGTTCTTGCTATGCTGCCTAGAACTTGTGCTGCCTCAGCCTTCTGGGATTATAAGCATGTGCCTCTGTGCCTGGCTAAGAAATTGCTCTTTTTTTTTTTTTTCGTCTTTTTCCTTTTTATCAGTACCAGGGATCGAACTCACGACTGCTTGCTTGCAAGGCAGGCACTTATGCCGCTGAGCTAAATCCCCAGCCCCAAGAAATTGCTCTTTATGAACCTAGGTTACCAAATTCAGCATAATGGTACATGCCTGTAATTTGAACACTGAAGGAGGCTGAATCAGGAGGATCACAAATTTGAGTTCTGCTAAGGCAGCTTAGCCAGATTCTGTCTCAAAATAAGAAATAAACAGGACTAGGATATGACTCAGTAGCAAGGCCAAAATATCACAAATAGCCATCATACAGACTAGGAATCTAGCCCACTGAGAAATACTGGTCTAAGTAAGTCATATAGATGAGCAGACATAAGTTCTAATTCTGGTTCTTAGACCAGTTGTATATAGAATGGGCCTACAGTAAGGACAGTAACTCCTATCTTGTTCATCTCAGAGAAGGATAAAGGTAGAATGAGAGGAATCACTTCCACTTTATACAAATGGAAGAAATCAGAAGACATGCGGATTCAGAAACCACATGGGTAACCAGGGACATTTTTAGGAACCTCCCACCACTTTTGATCTCCTTATCACTTTTCTACTTAAAGCCCCACACCCACCCCCAAACTCCTGGTGATCCTCTTCCCTCAGCCAGCCTCCAGAGTGCTGAGATCACAAGTACGGCTCGCCATACCTGGCTCTCTACTTGAAGTTTTCTGCCCCCTTTGAAATTGTAGTGTTTGGATTTCCATCCCTGGCAGTTTATATGTCTAACACTCATCCTCTCCTAACACTTTTTCCCTTCCTACCCTAGTACATTGTGAAGTGCCATGGCAGCACGCTGCTGCCCCAGTTCCTGGGGATGTACCGAGTCAGTGTGGAGAACGAAGACAGCTACATGCTTGTGATGCGCAATATGTTTAGCCACCGACTTCCTGTGCACAGGAAGTATGACCTCAAGGTAAGGAGAAGAGATCTCAGGATTAGGGGAGGATCCTGGATGGGAACTGGCTGATTCCTTTTAAAGAACAGAAGGATTTGAGTACTCATCTTAGGAACTGGGTTCTGTTCTTTTGACCACTTCTGCTGACTTGGTCTTTGGGTCTCTCCACAGGGTTCCTTAGTGTCCCGGGAAGCCAGCGATAAGGAAAAGGTGACCCTCATTTAAGTGTCAGAGTGAGGGGTGGGGCCGGGGTGCAACAGGTCTTCTTAGGATGAGGAGGCCATTCTTCATATGGGGCTCAAGAGTTATTTATTCTCAAGCCACTGACAAGAAGAGAGATGTGAACTTCTACTGACCCTGAGGTGGCCTGTGGCCTGGGGGGGGCAGTAGTAGCAGGTGCTTGTCCCTGGCGGTGGGTATTTTGTGTGGATGGTTTGGGGTAGGTGGAGACACTGGACTTCAAGAGTACAATGTCCACCCTCTACCTCTCACTCTGGTGTCTTCTACTGAAACGTATTTTTGTTAAAGAAGGAAGAAAAGTCAGCATGGAGGATTTTATTAAGGCATATAAACAGAATGAGGGATGGTGCAAGATGGAAGTGTAGCTCTCGTGGTAGTTAGAATGCTTGCCTAGCATGTGCAGGGCCTGAGTATGAGCTTCAGCACTTTGCACACACCCCCTGAAAAAGTGGAGCGTGGTGTGATGTGGGGTAATACAGCTTAGTGACTGAGTCTCCCAGACCGTCTGGGATTTGGGTTTGTTTTTGGTTTTTGTTTTTCTGGAGTTTTTTCCCCTTGTTCTTTGAGACAAGGTCTCAAAGGCTATATAGTTTAGGCTGGCTGTGGATTCACTGTGTTACCCAGGCTGGCTCAAACTTGCAGTGATCTTCTTCCCTCAACTTCTCAATTGCTGGCATTACAGGTGGACACCACCACACCTGGCTCACAGTCTGTGTTCAGGCTGGGAAACAGGATGGAATGGGTGGGAGGACAGAAGCAGTGAGAAACTGCTTTCCTCAGTGCCACAGAGTTGGAAATAAAGTGATGCACAGAGGCAGGGTTGTTAAGGTCCTAGGGTGATACAGTCCCAAGACATCTTTTTCCCTATTCTAGGTTAAAGAGTTGCCCACCCTTAAAGATATGGATTTCCTCAACAAGAACCAGAAAGTGTACATTGGTGAGGAAGAGAAGAAAGCATTTCTGGAGAAGTTAAAGAGAGATGTGGAGGTGATGACTGGGGTGTTCAGAAGTGCCTTTGTTGTTGTTGTTGTTGTTGTTTGTTCCATTCATCATAGGAAAGAGTGCCTCCCCTTCCCTTATTCTTTGGGTCCCCTATATTTAATAGTTGAGTTTGACATAAGGAAAACCCATGGAGACTGGAATGAGTAAAGAGGTAATCATAAGATTTTAGGACATTTAGGCACTAAGTGGCGGTGGAAGACCCCAATCTCAATTTTTTTCCTTACTTTTCCCTAGAAGGGGCTCCAGGGTAGAGGTATAGCAGTGTCACCTGACAGAGGGGAGGGAGATCAAAATTTTCTGATCTATCAGTGGGTCTCAGTTTCTAGTGCAACTGAAGATCATGGACTACAGCCTTCTGCTGGGCATTCACGACATTATCCGGGGCTCTGAACCAGAGGAGGAGGGGTCTGTGCGGGAGGACGAGTCAGAGTGGGATGGGGACTGTAATCCGACTGGACCTGCTCTGGTGGGCTCCTATGGCACCTCCCCTGAGGGAATTGGAGGCTACATTCATTCCCATCGACCGCTGGGACCTGGAGAGTTTGAGTCCTACATCGACGTCTACGCCATCCGGAGTGCTGAGGGTGAGAGCTCTTGGGATTCTGAGGGCAGAGAGGGGAGGGTTGTCCTTGGGGAACAGAAACCAAGCAGTGAGTGAAGAGACTGGTTAGCTTTTCAAAACACAGCTGATTCCCAGGGAAGGAAAATTTGGACTATACCTGCCTTTTCATTGTCATCGTTCTGCAGGGGCCCCCCAAAAGGAGGTGTATTTCATGGGCCTCATTGACATCTTGACACAGTATGATGCCAAGAAGAAAGCAGCTCACGCAGCCAAAACTGTCAAGCATGGGGTGAGAGTTCCTAAAAACCTGCCCTTTCCTGACTTGGCTGTTTTCTTACCAGAGAGCTTCTTGGGTCAGATTAGTGGGGTGGCAAAAGCAGGGAAACAGGCTGGAGAGGGTGGGAGGACAGGGAGTGGGGAAGAGGTGGTGAGGTGGCCTGACACGTGGTTCTGTACCTCCTCTCACAGGCGGGGGCAGAGATCTCTACTGTGCATCCCGAGCAGTATGCTAAGCGATTCCTGGATTTTATTACCAACATCTTTGCCTAAGAGCCTGTCTGACTCTGTGGTGATTGCTGCTTCACGTTCAAGGTGGCAGGGTTCTGAGAGGCTTGGAGGAATTGTTATTCTGGCCACTGCTTCTCTTCCTTTGCTAAATTCAGGCTACATACAGGCTCCTTCCATCCAAATAGCACCATCTCATTGAATAGGCTTTACTTGGCCCCCAGAAATACATTACCCTTTTTCCCATCTGTCCATTGTTCTTCCTTCTCTCCCTCCCTCCAGCAAGCCCTCTTGCTTCATGAGAGTGTTACTGTTGACTCTCCCAAGTGCCTTGATCTTTGCAAAACATCCTGGTGTTACTATAAAAAATAGGCTTGGGGTGGGGGGATCATCTTCAAGACCTGCCTGGACAGATGGACCTGGCTAAAGAAACTACTTGATGCACTTTGCTGTGTGGAATGAACTACAAGTGTCTGAATTTGCTGATAACTTTATAGAACTTCCTAGTGTGCTTCCTTCCTGGTAAACCCTGGGATGGAAGACTTTTGGGATACTACAGATGTGGATGTAAGTATGCATGCACACACGATAGAAAATGGCTAATCTGATGTGAGGTGAGGTGGGGAGTAGTCAGCACGCTGGAACCTCACAGAGGCAGGACCTAAGAGGACTTTTGTGACTGTAGGGAACTGGAGGTCTCTGGCAAGGAATGATTACTCTCCAGTCTTCTCCCTCCTCACTCCCACTTCTGTTTGCACCCATTTGCACATCTGGGCACAGAATCCTAGAGATGGCCAGAAGTGTCTGATCCTGGGTGAAAGTGTTTACTGCTGTGAGAACCAGAACCTCATCCTTTCCTGGAGCTGGAAGTACTCAATGGGTGTGGCCAGTTCTGGAGGCTGGAATGATGAGCCAGAGTGTACAGTTCATTTCCATGTTAAGTTTCCTGCCTGGCTAGCTGTCCCCGAGCTGTATTTCCAGAAGGGACTATATACTGGCTCAGTTCTGGTCATCTCAACAGGATGGAGATCTCAAGTGTGGGAACCTCCCACAATGCATATAGCTAGGACACTTCCTTCTCCTGCCCTTTCTCAAACATTTTTTCCAGTTGGATTTGTTTTCATTCTGTTCTGTTCTGTCCCATTTTATACTGCGACTGTGGCTCCCAGGGGACAGATGGCCTTCTTTGTCATCTTCACTCTCCTCCCCCAGAGAGGAGTCAGAGCCATAACTCAAATCACCCATCCGCCTCCAAAGATAGCTGATTTAATGGGTGATATTCTCAGAATGCAGAAGACCATGATGAGATAGGTGTCCTCCACTCCCTCCAATGCCTTTGGGGCTAAGACACTCATTCTTGATATCCCCCACCCCCCTGAAGCATCACATTTTTTTCACAAAGATGAGCACCAGCAATGGGCCTGTAGGGATGCAAAGCTGTTTTGCTGTATGCCTGGCTAGAATGGCCGGTCTCACAAGAAGGCATGAGGTCATAAGGGAAAAGCTGCTTCCCTTTCACTTTCAACTCCGAAGGAGGTAGCAAGAAGACTGCAGTGTGGGGTGGGAGCTCCTTTAATACTTCCTGTCATGTGCCCATTGGGTCTTTTCCATTCCCATCTACCTTTCCCCTGTTGAATGCAATAAAACTGTGACACCAGCAGCTGTGGCTTTTTAGAACTGGGTTTTCTGACTGGCTGATATAGGCAGTATAGTCTTCAGTTGTTGCTTCCGTTAACCTTTTTTGTTTTAATAAAGGAAGATCTTATGTATTTACTCTCTTTACTATCACAATATGGAAAATAAATTATTCAAATTCCTTCACAGATGAGTTGTTTTTGTTTTTGTTTGGGGGGGGGGGTCTTTTTCCTTTTTTATCAGTACCGGGGATTGAACTCACAACTGCCTGCTTGCAAAGCAGACACTTATGCCGCTGAGCTAAATCCCCAGCCTCACAGATGAGCTTTTTTAAAACTTTATTTTAAGGGGCTGGGGATTTAGCTCAGCGGCATAAGTGCCTGCCTTGCAAGCAGCGGGTCGTGAGTTCGATCCCCGGTACCGATAAAAAAGAAAAAGACAAAAAAAAAAACTTTGTTTTAAATTTTGAGGAATTCTGTCTTTAGGGATACAGGGACCAACTGCAGAATTCTAAAGATGTGGGATTCTAAAATGGCTGTGAACTTAGGAGGTGGTGAGAGGTGGGCTAGGAATGGGAAACATCCATCAGTTTGGTGGTAATTGCAGTAGTGTGGCCTTTGTCGTCGCAGAGCCCTTGGCTTGACCACACTTCATCCCTAGAGGTGAGTGGGCCTCAGCCTATCAGCTGAACCAAAAGGAATTCATTATTCTCCCAGGCCTCCTGGGAAAGCTCTCTGCTGCTTGGAGAACAGGAAGCATACATTAGGGCCCTGGGAAAATGAAGAGAGGGACCAGCAGTCCTCCAGAGGGAGTAAAAAAGGGTGGGTGACAAGCACTGGTTGCCAGTCTGGGAGATTTCTGGATGTCTTGGCTGAGGAGGTCTTTTCAGCTGGTGGAAAATACTGGCCTGATGGGGCCCCAGGGAAGTGGATTGGAACGGCAGGGAGGTGGGGGTGGGCAGACAGAGGTTCTGATGTGAGAAGCAAAGCAGATCAGAGATTTTCCTTCTCAGAATTTTTAACTATTTGAACCATCCATTTGACAGCATCACCACTCTAGACCATTTTCACAAGGTCTCTTCACCTCCCATCTGCACCAGTCTCAGTGTCCCTGTTTGTGAAAAGAGAAAAGACAGGCACTTACCCATCTCAGGGGCAGGTTATGAGGGTCACAGAAGATAACACTCTAGAAAGAGGCAAGAGATAAGGGGCAGGAGGTTGAAGTACTGTAGTAATGAGATGATTTTGCAGCACCAATGCTTTTCTTTTCTTTTTTTTTTTTTTTTTTTTTACTAAGAACTCCCATCCCACATTGTTCCTCAAAGACCTACCAAAAGGATTTCTAAAAATTGTCCTCCAAATTCCCATGTACCCACTGACACTGCTCACCCACCATCCACCACTGGTTCCCCAAAGCTGCCATGCAGCTGACTGGGAAAGAAAAGGGAGAGGGCTCCCCTGGGAGGGGGAGGCGAGAGGGGTGGCGTCTCTGAGGAATATAACCTCCTACCCTCGGCTACTTGATGCCACCTCCTCCCTCCAAAGACTGTCTCCATTTTTGTTTTGGGGCATACCGGCAGGGGCTCCCGGGTAAAAAGGGCAAACGAAGCAGTGATCATCACCTGCGAAGGAAAGGGGGTGCTGTCCTCCCTCCTTCCCTCTTCCTGGGTCTGCACCCGCTTCCACCTTCTCGAGGTCCCCCCTCCCTTGTTGCTAAGGCCCGACCGTCATCCCAGCAACAGCCTCAGTCATGTGACCGGCAATGGCGGCGCTGACGAGAGGTAGGTGAGCCCGGCGCCCCCCACACCCACCGCGTGCCCCCCGGGCCCTGAGTGCACCCCTCGCGAGCCCCTCGTTTCGTCCGCGCCCCCTCCTCCGCCTCCTTCCCCAGTGCGCGGTGCCAGGGCCCCCCCTGGGGCCCCGGCGGAGAGCATCTTTCTGGCACCCTCAAGCCTTGGCCTCCATTTAGGGGTTCTGAGGCCGCCGGCGGATTGACATGCACCCTCACCCAGCGCTGGGACTTGGGGCTTCCGCGAGAGGGGGGATACGGAGAGTTGGTTCCGGGTCGTTCTGGGAAGAAGCCGTTGGGGGAGGGATGAAGCTGCCTCAGTGGATGCCCCGGGGACCCTTGCCCTTCCAGGCTGTCCCTGCCTCCGGTTGCTGCCCGGAGGAGGGACTGGCCCTGTGTCCAGTCTGATTGCCCCAGAGGAATCACAGACCCAGCCTAAATTGTGGCCCCGCCTCCCTTCCCTGTGCCAGCAAGGCTTGGAGCTAAGGTCTTGGGTCCCCTCTTGTGGGGAGGGTCGTTACACCGTGCACAGACAGTATGGGCTGAGACTTGGGGTTCCATTTTCACTTTGTGAATCTTGAGGTGCGTCTTTTCTTGAGGGTACTATAACGGAGGCACAAATGGACAGTGCACCTCCTTTCTATCAGTCAGTATATTGAGGTCACACTAATGATTCCTTTCCGATGGAGCTGGACTTGAAGGTGCTGTGGGGACAGCCCTGTAGCTGAATGTTACAGGACTCAACATCAGGCCCCTCCAGCTGAGGCCCTGAGAAGAGCTCTGCAGACTAGACAGCTGAGGGGCAGGCAGTGTTACTTCCTGCTTGGGTTTAAAAGGTGACAATGAGAACTTTGTTACTGCAGGTACTGCTGCCACTTGGTTGACAGTCCTAAGCCACCTCAGCAGAGGGATTGAGTGAGCTCTTAAGGAAGGCTCCCCTTCAACAAAAGGGGCCAAATTACTGGGGAGTGTGGAACAGGACAAGGAATTGAGGAGCATAAGAATTACTCCTGGCCATGGGGTCTGAGGGAGGTGGCAAGAATGACCTCCATCTGTGTGGGCTTTTTCTTTCTGCCACTCAGGCTCTCTTGAGAGCCTCTGAGCTGGGGAAGGAAAGAGGAAGGTTAGCGTGCTGGAGTTTAACAACTTATGGAAGTGGAGCCAGGGAAGAAACTGCAAGGGAGAAGGATTAGCAAATAGGAGCTTTGTTTCTGGGCTGGCTGAGTGAAACGGTAACATTTGCCATCATAACCCTTTCCTCTCACCCCTAGTCTTGGTCAGCTGAGTGTGGAAATAGAGGGATTTCTGCTGCCATCATCTTCCATGGGCTTTCCAGGTATCTGTCTCTGGTCCTCCAGTGCTCCAGGTTCCTGTCTGTTATATGGGCTGCCGGGGTTGGGCTAGTGGGTGTTAGGGAAGGGGGTTCTCACGTTCCCTCCTTTTCCTTCTCACCCCACCAGGTCACACAACCTACAAGTAGGGAGCAGGGAAACAGAGTGAGCCTGCATGCCAATTCTAAGCTCTTCAAGATCAAAGTGAGCAAAAAGGAGGGCCCAAAGCCTCCCTCTCCTTTAAAGAGCCCATTTTTCGCCCAGGATGGGAGGGGCAGGTTGTTTCTTTGATCATGGGAGAAGTGAAAGGAAAGCCAAGACTGGTAACTTACTATCAGCTGGGGGAAGAAGCTTCCTTGCTCCTCAGAGGTGCTGGGGTATGGGAGACAGGCAAAGATAGAAAAGTAGTTTGGTGGAGGGGTTGGGGTTGGACTTTGAGAAAAACAGAGGTAACAGAGTTTGGAAGGAACCTGAACTAGGAGGCACTTATATGTTTCAAATGGGGGCCCCCTCCACCCTGAGTCCCTTTCACCCTGGGGGCAGTGTCGTTCGTCCTGTCCAGAATGGCAGCCTGTGGAGGCACCTGCAAGAACAAAGTGACTGTCTCCAAGCCTGTGTGGGACTTCCTAAGCAAGGAGACCCCAGCCCGGCTGGCCCGGCTTCGGGAGGAGCACCGAGTGTCCATCCTCATAGATGGCGAGACTTCTGACATCTATGTTCTCCAGCTTTCCCCACAGGGCCCTCCCCCGGCCCCTCCCAACGGGCTCTACCTGGCCCGGAAGGCTCTCAAGGGGCTGCTGAAAGAGGCCGAGAAAGAGCTGAAGAAAGCTCAGAGGCAGGGGGAGCTTATGGGCTGCCTGGCTTTGGGGGGTGGTGGGGAACACCCTGAGCTGCACCGCCCAGGGCCACCCCCTCTCCGAGCAGCCCCAATCCTGCCCCCAGGGGCCCGGGGACTTCCCCCACCTCCTCCCCTGCCCCCTCCTCTTCCTCCCCGCCTTCGAGAGGAGGCAGAAGAGCAGGAGAGCACCTGCCCCATCTGTCTGGGGGAGATCCAGAATGCCAAGACGTTGGAGAAGTGCCGGCACTCATTCTGTGAGGGCTGCATCACCCGGGCCCTCCAGGTGAAGAAGGCCTGCCCCATGTGCGGCCGCTTCTATGGGCAGCTGGTGGGCAACCAACCCCAGAATGGACGGATGCTGGTCTCCAAGGATGCCACCCTCCTCCTGCCCAGCTACGAGAAGTATGGCACCATCGTCATTCAGTATGTCTTCCCGCCCGGTGTCCAGGGGGTAAGAAAACTATAGCCTCCCGTCACCCTTTGATTTTTCCCAAGCTTGCTCTCTGACCTAGGAAAATTGGATGAGGTCAAGTGTGCTGGATGTGACAGTCTTGCAGTGACTCGGGGCCAGGACATTGCCTTGAGCCCCAGCTTTCCCATCCTCATGATTACAAAGTGCACAGAATAATCAAGTATGAAGACTAGGGTGCAGCTCAGTAGTAGAGTGTGTGCCCAGCATGTGGGAAGTGCTGGGTTCAATCCCTCACACTGAAAAAAAAAAAAAAATCAGGTATGAGAGAAAAGAATTGTGTATTATTTCTCTGACAAACGTGGATATTGACAAATATTCTTGACAAAGGTAAATTCTGAGGAGATGGTGGCCCCAGAGGAGGCAGACACACTAGGAAACAATCTGACCATCCTAAGAGCTGAGAGTGTTACTCTGTTCCACATGAGACAGTAAAAGCTTGAAGAGACGCAAAAGTAAAAACAGCAGTGGTCAAGGACCTACAGGTGTCTTTCTGCTGGACAAAGAGAAACATCCAATTCTGGTTTGCCAAGGGATGAGGAATCTCCAAAGAAGAGAAATAGAAAAATGCAACAGGTTAAGCAGTGGCAGAAGCATTAGGAGTGTTTTCAGGCAGAGGAGGGAAGGCTGAAAGATAAATTTTTCTTAGTCTTAATATTTCTGCAGAGTAAGGACCTGCTACCTTGCATCACTTCTGAGAATGCCTTTGTTACTGAATTGAGACTTGAGGGATTGTGACAGCTGAAAGAACTCCTAAACAATAAGGATTATGTTTGGAAACAGGTTCTTGCTGCCTGCTTTTCTGAAAGCCTGGCAGCCTGTTGCTCCCCTGTCAGCATCAGCTGGGGTGCACAGATTGGCCTAGATGACCCTCCATTGGCATCCAGGGCTTAGGATGTCCAGCTGCTCACTTCCCATACTGCTTCCCCTTCTTCTCAGGCTGAACACCCAAACCCAGGAGTTCGGTACCCTGGCACCACACGGGTGGCCTACCTCCCGGACTGCCCGGAAGGCAACAAGGTGCTGACCCTGTTTCGAAAGGCATTTGACCAGCGTCTCACCTTCACTATCGGCACGTCCATGACCACAGGGAGACCGAATGTCATCACCTGGAACGACATCCACCACAAGACCAGCTGCACAGGAGGACCCCAGCTGTGCGATTCCACTTCATTTTCCTCCCCTTGGCTCCTCCTTTTCTCTTCATTTCCACTGAGGGAACAACCCTCTCCCTCTGGGAGCTTCCTAACTGCAGAGCATGACCCTAAACTGCTTAACCATCTCTACCATCCCATCTCCTGATATCATCCTGAGTCCAATGTGCCCAACTTAACCTAGAAAAATATGGTTTTGGAGGCAATCAGCTTGGTTTTGGGGGAGGTGGGAAGGGCCTGAGTGGGGCCTATATAGAATCATCCAGAATGAGGCGCGCATGGGGTACTAAAAGCAAGCCCCAACAGCTAACCTTGACCCTCATTTCTCTTTGCATCCAGGTTTGGATACCCAGATCCCACCTACCTGACCCGTGTGCAAGAGGAACTGAGAGCCAAGGGTATCACAGATGACTGAAGAACATCTCTGGCCACCTTGCTGTCCTCCTCTACTAGGACCTAATGGAAGCCTCTGTTCCTCCTCTCTTCCCCTGCCCTCCACACCACACAAGGAGGGGACCTGTCTGACAGGGAGGGAGTTCAGAGGGGAAGGGGCAGGCTCTCCCCCTGTCCCTTGTTGGCCAAGTGCTGCAGTGCCCTGTGAGCCACTCCCTTCTGGCAGAGGCTGGCCTCCAAGCTCTGCTGACTACCCCCCTGTACATATTTCCAGTTCCCCTGCCCCTCTTTTGCCCTTGGCTTTCTGTGCTGTGCTCCAGTGCTAAGCTGAGAAAGGACCTGGGTGGGCAGGATCTGGTCTCTTGAAATCCCCCCCACACGTACTGCTCCACTATGGACCAATGTGACACCCCCTTTCCCAGGAGCCAGCCAGTGGTGTGTTCATAAGATACAGTTCTCCTACCGTGGTAACCTTGTCCTTTCTCTCCTGTGTCTCAGTCTCTGTCAGTCTTTTTCCTCTTCTCTGCCCCCCTATAAGGAGCTCTCCTCACTCTGTTCTGGAATCCCTGCCAGATTGTAGCTTTTAATTTAATAAAAATAAAGTAAAATATGCAACTCTATGCCACACCCATTCTGTTCTGTGGGCAGGGAGGGGTGGGGGTGGGAAGCAGGCCCTGTTGAGAAGGGAGACGCGGGTAATGGGGGAATCTCATTTTCCTGTGCTTGCTGAGGACCCAGGAAAGCAGGATGTAACTAGTGGACTCTAATAACATTGCGAAGCGCTGAGCCGTGCTTCAGTATTGAGATTGGGATTAAGAGGGGTTTGTTTGTGGTTGAAATATGGTTGTAGAGAAGGGAACAACCCTACCCCTTCATTGAAGTTTGGCTGGAGTCGAGTGGAGGCGGAGCCGGCCAGGGGGTGGATTCAGCAGCAGCAACTCCCCGGACGCGCGCAGGCCTCAGAGCCCCCCAACTTCCGAGCCCCCTCCACCCTGAAACTTGGAGCAGAGTAGGGGTCCAGCATGAAGCCCCCGGACCGCCCCGCCCCTGGCCGCACTGACCGGATACTAGGGGTCATGGGGGGCATGCTGCGCGCATGCGCCGTACCTGGGCAGGCGGGGGTAAGAAGAGGGGTTCGCAGTGGGGTCGGGGATCTTTAGGGGCCTTCAGCAGGACTGCATCCTACAACTCAATTTACCAGTAAAGAATCGTTGCGCGGGGGCAGTCCCCGGGCTTTAAGAGTTCAATTACAAGGCTGGAGCTGCGTTCTGGGAGACCTTTTCGTGACAATGTGGATTTTGACAGGAAGGAGAAGGGGAAGGGGGAGATCAAGGCTATTTAGGAGGGAGCGTTCCTTACAGTCATTCTGTCCCCGCAGACCCCGAAGAGAAGCCCCCTAGGGTCGGGGTGTACTGAGCCAGAGAGCAACTGTTCCGAAGGGGATCAGAGAGGGGAGCGCGATCACGAGGTCCTCGCCTGGGCTCCGCTGCCCGGTAAGAAGCTGGGGTGGGGTGGGGCACAGTTTGCCAACCTGCGCAAAGTGGCGATTTCGAAAATATTCTTCTCATTAGCATAGATGTTCGCTTCAAATTTGCGTGAGACCCATTTAACCGCAGAGACCTCCGCGCACCTCTTCGCCTTCTAGTCCGAGGAGTACCCCTCACTTCGGTCAGCCCTGAACCCCCACTGGCAGAGTGTCCTAGTGCCCCACCCCTGGCTCCTCGCCATTTCAGCCTCCAGGACTTCGCCTTAATTGGTGATTAGTTTTAGCTGGAGTCCCGGGGCCTGGAGGAAAGAAAGGTCCAGCGAGGGAGGCGGCACCTGTGCTGTGTTTCTCACAAAAAGCTCCCCACACACGCACCCCCCCCCCGCCCTGCTGCACCCCCTGCGAGGCCGGTACAGACCCGGCCCCAGGACGTCTTCACACAGCCAAAGCCCATCCACCTCGGGCTCCTCCACCGCAGAGGCCGAGGGGCGACCCAGGCCGACTCCGCCGCGCGGCTCAGCGCCCCCCACCGCGCGCCCGCCGCAGAGGGAGCGGAGATGGGGGGGGGGCCGCCGGGGAGGAGGGGCGGAGGCCCGGGGACCTGGAGGGGCAGCGCCGCGGGCCTGGGGGAGGGTCGGGGCAGAACCCGGCCCGCCGGCGGGGGAGCAGGCGGGCGGGGGAGCGCGCGGGAGAGGCGGGGCCGGCCGCAGAGGCCCCGCCCCGCCCCGCCGGCACCGCGGCCAGGCCTGTTATTCCGCTCGCCGCTCGGCCCGGACCCGCGCAGCGCCAGTGGTCGGGGAGCTGGCCCTCGTCTCCCCCTTGTCCGGGCCAGAGCCGCCCCTAGACACGGCCGGAGACGGAGCTGAAGCGGCGGCCGCATCCTGGCCCTGCCTCCCCCGCCAGCCCGCCCCTTGGCTGGACATCTGGACCCTGGGCCCCGCACCCGCAGGGTTCCGGAAACCCTCCCCGCCCAGCTCCGCGGCCCAGCCCGCGCCGCCCTCTCTCCAGAGCCCCCAGCCCTCCTCCAGTCCAGACTTCCGTCTACTCCTGGACACCCCTTCCCCATCCCCTGCCTCCCCCCCTCCCCCAGACTGGACCCGGGTAGGAGGGAGGGGGGGTGCGCGCTTTGCGCCGTCCCCGCCCCGCCCCCCGTGATTCCCCCTGCATGGCCGGCCCGGGTGGGGGGTGCGGGGGGGCCCGGGCGCCATGCGGGAGGGGCACAAGGGTGGTCGCTGTGCCTGTCCCCGTGTGATTCGAAAAGTGCTGGCAAAATGCGGCTGCTGCTTCGCCCGGGGGGGACGTGGTGAGTGCGAGGTCACAGGGGCCCAGTGTTGAGTTGGGGATGGGTTCGGGGTTCAGGGCGTCCGTTTGCCCTGGGCCTGGGGATTTAGGGCTGGAGTGTTATATTTCGTAGGAAAGTGACTTATTAGATGATCTCTAAGATCCTTTTTGACTCCAGATTTGTTAGTTCCAAATTAAGGGGAAGCGGCAAAGGACTGCTCTTTCTTATAGTCAACTAGATTTGAAGAAAAAAGAGAAAGCACCCACAATTTCCCTAGGCCTAGAACCTTCAAACCACTTTATATTTCCGTTCAAATCATTTTGCTGAGAATCTACTTCTGAAGAGGGACAGAGGGACTGAGGAATGAGGAGCTTCTACAACGGGCTTTGTAAGGATTCCAATTGCAGATGCTTTCAGCAGCTGGCCAGAGATAACCCTGGTGTTTTCTACTCACTGGCCTATTGAGTGTGTGCCTGTGTTGGGAGGTGGGCTGCAGAAGACTTTTCTTTTTATAATGATAAGCGCAATTGGAGGAGGAGGGGTCTGGGGTAGCAGATGGACTCTGAGCTTTTTCTCCCACCCCTTTCCCTGAGAATGGTCTGTATCCATTGGAAGGGGGAGGGTTATAGGATAGCAGATGGCTACCCTCAGCTTCCAGTGTCTGCCCAGATGGCTGCCCCCACCCCCCATATCTGTTATGTGCTCAGGATATGGGGAACCTCCACAAGTAACTGGTGTGGTGTTTCCTGTCCTTCCTTCCCAAGAATCCCTGGTGAAATTTTTTATCCTAACCAACTCAAATGAGTGGGGTAAGAGAATGAGCTTCTCTGGGAGAGAGGGGCTGAATGTAATGAAGAGGAGAGTAGTTGCCCAGTCTGGAACTGGGCAATACCTGTCACCTCCTTTCTTTTTTCCCCTATTAGAATCCTATTCCATTACTGGCAGTGAGGGGAGCATATCGGCTTCTGCTGCTTCTGGTCTGGCTGCCCCTTCTGGCCCCAGCTCTGGCCGGTGTTCCCCAGCACCCTTAGGCCACCCAGTCAGTGGCCTAAGGAGATGGTTGGATCATTCAAAACACTGTCTTAGTGTGGAGTCTGAGGCAGACAGTGGTCAAACAGGACCATATGAGGTGAGCAGGGAGTACCACAGAAGCATGGGATAGAGGGCAAGGGGGGGCCACTGGTCTGATCAGTGACACTTGACATCTGGCTTCAGAACTGGATGCTTGAGCCAGCTCTAGCTACAGGAGAGGAGCTGCCAGAACTGACCTTGCTGACCACATTGTTGGAGGGCCCTGGGGATAAGACACAGGTGTGAAGAAATGGGTCTGGGAGGGCTCACCTCACCCAGCAGATGTGCATTTGCTTAGAAGGATGTTCTTTGCTTCCAGCCACCTGAAGAGGAGACTTTGTCCCAAGCCCCGGAGAGTAAGGAAGAACAGAAGAAGAAGGCTCTAGAAAGGAGTATGTAAGTGTGCCCAGCCCCACCTCAACCCAACCGCCATCCCACCCCTCCCCTGACATTTGCCATGGAATGTCCTCTGTGGCAGTGGTGATGAAGGGATTCTAGTCCAGGAGGGAAGAACTAGCCAAACCAAGGAGGTGCCCAGGTTGCAGTGGGGACAACCTCTTACTCCTTTCCTAGGTATGTCCTGAGTGAACTGGTAGAAACAGAGAAAATGTACGTGGACGATTTGGGGCAGATTGTGGAGGTAATGCCACCTTTTACTCCTTTTTCCCTTTGCCTCCTAGCCTACCTGTCCTTTCTCTCTGCCTGGGAGTATTTTTAGGAGTTGTCTTGTCTCACCCTCCTGGCCCCACTTGTATACTTCTTGGTAGGGGATTCCTATCAGGGCTGGAGCCATATGCTTGTGGTTTTATCCCAACCTTCCCACAGGGTTACATGGCCACCATGGCTGCTCAGGGGGTTCCAGAGAGTCTTCGAGGTCGTGACAGGATTGTGTTTGGGAATATCCAGCAGATCTACGAATGGCACCGCGAGTAAGTTTTGGAGCCTGAGAGCTAGGTGCCAAGATGGGGATCCAGCTAGTTATCTCTGTACTTTAGCCATCAGCCCAGGGCACTCAAGGAATGTTTGGAGAAATTCTGCAGGAAACATGGCTAGGGTACCCAGCTGGAATCAAGGATATGCTAAGGATGTAAGGATTCTGAAATGTATTTGACTTGTCTTTCTCTGCCAACCTTTCCAGCTATTTCCTGCAGGAGTTACAGCAGTGTTTGAAGGATCCTGATTGGCTGGCTCAGCTCTTCATCAAACATGTGAGATTTAAGAGGGTAGAACCCAGAGAGGGAGGTGTGGGGTTGGGGCCAGGCTTTTGGAAGATGTGACTTCTCCCTTCACTCACTCTGTTCTTTTCAATGTTACACTTGTTAGGAGCGAAGGCTTCATATGTATGTGGTGTACTGTCAGAATAAGCCCAAGTCAGAGCACGTGGTATCAGAATTTGGAGACAGCTACTTTGAGGTCAGTGGCTGAAGTGCCTTGGGGAAGAAAGACAGAATCAGCAATGAGAAGACTTTCCAAGCTGCATAACGACCCTGTCCCTGTTCCCAGGAGCTCAGGCAGCAGTTGGGACACCGCCTGCAGCTCAGTGACCTTCTCATCAAACCTGTGCAGCGGATCATGAAATACCAGCTGCTGCTCAAGGTCAGGATCACCTGCTCCCTGGGGGCACAGCTGGCTGGAAAATCTGCCCAGGGTTTTAAGGTTTCTCAGGCTTCCTTACCTGTGTTCTCAGGGAAGGATGTGAGAACTTCTAAGGAAGTCCTTCAGACCTCCCTGAGCATCATTTCTTCTCTCTGTCTTAGGATTTTCTCAAGTATTACAGTAGAGCTGAGATGGATACCGAAGAGCTAGAGGTAAGGGCCCCCAAATCCTCCAGGACATACCATGTAGCCTCATGGGTTGCCCCAACCCCCAGGATGTTTTAGAGTTGTCTTGTTTTTGTCGGGGGACGCTGGTTGGGATGGACACAAGTGAAGAGACAGCTGGGTGAACAATGCTCTCTTCTCACTTGCATCCCAGCAAGCTGTGGAAGTCATGTGCTTCGTGCCCAAGCGCTGCAATGATATGATGACCCTGGGGAGACTGCGGGGATTTGAGGTATGGAGGTGGGGTGGGAAACCGGCAGCCCAGTGCTCTCGTGCCCCAGTCTGGAGGTCCTTATGGGGAATTATCTTCTGCGTCCGACCCCATGGTCGGTTGGGATAGTGTTGGGAAAGAAAATATAAGACACCTGCCCTTTCCCTCTTCTTGCATTTCCTCAAAGGCTATATTCATTAATTCCAGGGCAAACTGACTGCTCAAGGGAAGCTCTTAGGCCAAGATACCTTCTGGGTCACAGAGCCGGAGGCTGGGGGCCTGCTCGCTTCCCGGGGTCGAGAGAGACGTGTCTTCCTCTTTGAGCAAATCATCATCTTCAGTGAGGCTCTCGGAGGAGGAGCGCGAGGTGGCACACAGCCTGGATATGTGTACAAGAGCAGCATCAAGGTGGGAGGGCCTGTGAGATGGGGCTGTGACTGGGACGGGGTAAGGCCTCCAAGGATATTTGGGTGTTCGACTTGTTAGGGGGGCCTGACTCTGGGATTCTTCTATCTGCCAACAGGTGAGCTGCCTGGGACTGGAGGGAAACCTCCAAGGTGATCCTTGCCGTTTTGCACTGACCTCCAGAGGGCCAGAGGGTGGGATCCAGCGCTATGTCCTGCAGGCTTCAGACCCTGCAGTCAGTCAGGCCTGGATCAAGCAAGTGGCCCAGATCCTGGAAAGCCAGCGGGACTTTCTCAATGGTGAAGCCCCCATTCTCCTTCCTTCACTTGTACCCTCAGCCCTTGACTTCCTGAATCATTTCCCAATCTCCAACTCTGCCCTCTGACCCTGGCTTCTCTTTACCACCACTTTTTCCCAGTTAGCTCAAGACTTGGTAACGCAGAATCCTCTAAAACCCCAAGTACTTTACCTTGGCAGATATTCCTGCCACTGGGAGGACAGAATGGGGGGAGGATGTAAGAAGAAGAGCCCTCAGCAAAAGGACCTGTCTTTGCTCTAACCTTCCTGTTGTTCCTCTGTTTACCCCAGCATTGCAGTCACCCATCGAGTATCAGAGAAGAGAGAGCCAGACCAACAGCCTGGGGCGGCCAGGAGGGCTTGGGTTAGGGAGCCCTGGGAGGATGCACCGGGCCCAGGTCGGCACTCACACACCCATCAATGGCTCTCTTCCATCCCTGCTGCTGTTGCCCAAAGGGGAAGTGGCCAGAGCTCCCCTGCCTCTGGGCCCACAGGTATGTGCTATACAGTGTCTGGCCTGTAGGGGCAGAATGGGGAGGACCTCTGTTCCCAGATCCCCGGTCCCCCTTGTGCCTGTCCTCCTTTTTTCTACTGCCTTCCTCTTGTGTACCTCTTCCTACTTCCAGTCCCTTACTTTCCTGCCCTCTGTTTTAACTCTGGAGTGAGTGCAGGCTGAAATTGAGAGGGGAGAGGTAGATAGATGGTTGGTGTTTGCTGATCCTCTGACTTGAACCTTTCTTCAGGTCCTTAGTGACGCCCCCAAGGCTCCTCATGACTCTCCTCCAGATCCTCCAACTCTGAACACCCTTCCCTGCCAGGCCAGACTTGCCAAGCTGGATGAAGATGAGCTGTAACTGATGAAGGCCATGGAGATAGTGCGGATTCAGCCACCTCGTCCCTAAGGAACTTCCAGGCAGTTCTGGCACCTCTCCAGAATTCTCCCTCTTAGTACATCTGGAGGATGAGCAAGGCTGGGAAGATATCAGCTTGAAGGAAAATACCTTCAAGGAGGCCCCAAAAGACTTCTTTCTGCCCAAGAAACACAGACTCCACCCCTATGCATGCATCACCATTGCCTCGAAAGGAGGATTATGTGGGTGGTTGGGAGGGAGGGCCAGGGTAAGGGTTTGAGTTATTATTGGTTTAGATTTTGATTTTGTTTTTCTGTTTTCTGAGAATAAAGGTTTTATTATATCACAGAGGCTGCAGTCTTGGCAGAGGGAAAGAGGCTGCAGTCAGGCTAGTGGCACAAAGTGACATAGAAGAGGATAGCTGGCCCTAGTCATCTGAGGAGGGGCTCCATGGGAGGACTAGGCATAGGATATGAAAGATGTTGCTACCTTCAGCCCTCATGTGCAATTGTTAGACCGGTGTCGCGAGGAAGACTCCAAGGGCCTCGCTCTCATGTAAAAACAATGGGGTTTTTATTATTCCGTGTACACGGGGTCCTCCAAACAGGTGGAAACGGAGAACCCTGAGTTGGGGCAAGGCTGGTGTTTTTAAGGATGAAAACCGCAAAGTAAGCAAGCATTGTTACAGAAGCCAATCATAGCAGTTAGAGCAGAACAGTTGGTGATTTGTCCATTTGTGATTGGTCAGATCATGAGGGGCGACCAGTGGGTCAGAGTTGATTAACTGTCTTGTTTTGCACAGCTTATTTTTAGGTCACCTAGCTCCTGTGTGGCTTGGTTCTGACATACTTCCCAATCTTGATTAGCATAGTCAGCAGACTTTATCTCTGAGTTTCCTGACATAATTACTTTACTTTAGCACCACAACCTTTCTATTTGTAGAGGGCAACAATGGTTAACATATCAATTGGGTAAGATTTTACAATTCTTTACAGAAGAGAGCATTGATTAACATATCAATCTTTTACCCAGGGGAAAAGGAAGACACACATTTACAGTTACAGGTATTACTTGTCGATGTCGCTCCTGGCCGGCAGGAAGGACACACGACAAAGTCTGGCAGTGGACAACCTTTTCTTTTATTTTTCTTCTCCGTACAGCCTGCCCTGGGATCGCTCCCAGCCGAAGCCTCCTTTGGTCCGCTCCCCGAGGCTCCTTCTGGGCTTCTACTTCCGGGCTTCTTCTTCCCCCCCAGGGGTGGCACCAGTATATATACGGATACAGTGTCCAATCATGTTAAAGTAAGCAAGGCAAGCTGATTGGCTAACATCATCAGTTGCCAGGCAGACTATATTGTTGAGCGGGTTGCTTACGCGGTAAGCAGGAAACTAACGTGCTCGATGGGAGGGGTAATCTACCTCAGGCTTTACTCTTTACTACAGGCCTCACGTCCGCCAAGTGAGGCGACCGGGCTCGGGGCTGCGGCTCCCAACATCTCCCCCTTTTTTATTTTTTATGAATGTGCGCATCGTAGCCCTTTCTGGACTGGGTGCAGAGGCTTATGCCCTATGCGTAGGCCCACCGTAGGTCCTTGGCTTAGACCCTGGTCGGCCGTCCCATGGTCTGCCAAGGCCCTGAGGCCCTCGTCCTTTTTCTAGGGCCAGGCACAAACTGGACGGAACCTGGATGCACACAAGCTTGCACTCATTTTCTCTCCGTAAAGAAATCCCCTCGGAGAGAAATTTAGACCTGGGCAGCATCTAACAGTCCAGCGGCTTACGTGCAGGATGGGGTAGGGCCTGGCTTAGGTTGAGTCGCACCGGGGGAGTACGCTCTTACCCGTCATTGACTCTCCTACCCAGCTATGTCATAATTTTTTAGAGGAGGAGTGTGGGAAGCTCACCACCCCTAGACTCGGTCGTAGGCTAGGCGAGCGAGCCATGCATATGCCTGAGGATCTTCTTGTCCATTTTGGGCTACCGCTATTTCTATTCATCTTGTTGGTTGGTCTGTGATGGATCTCCGGTAGGGCAGGTCTGATCTTCAGTCGAGGGCTTTGTCGCCCGTGTCAGTCTCTCCGGTACCCACAGTGGTTCTCGTCCCGATTCCTGTGGGAAAACACAAACCGCGCCTCGGTTCCAGCTGACCACTGGATCCGGGCCCATCCATTGTCCTGTCATAGATAACCGCGCCTTTGGAGGCAGGCCTTGGCTTACTCCCCCTTTTTGTTTTTGTAAAATTTCTTTGAGGCTTCTATGAGCCCTCTCAATGATTCCTTGACCTTGGGGATTGTATGGGATACCATGTTTTAATTGAACCTCCATCATTTTGCAGAACTCATTGAAGGCTTTGCCTATATAGGCTGGTCCATTATCAGTTTTTAATATTTTTGGTTTGCCCCATGCGGCCCAAGCCGCCAGGCAATGATTGATCACATTAGACACTTTTTCACCTGTTTCTGCTGTTGCAAATATGACGTGAGAACAGGTGTCTGTGGAAACATGAACATATTTAAGAGTCCCAAACTCCTGTATATGTGTGATGTCCATCTGCCAAACATCACCAGGGATCAAACCTCGAGGGTTTACTCCCATCGGTATGGCAGGTTTGTATGTGGCACAGGAGTCACATAGTCGCACGATATCTCGTGCATCTGCTCTGGAAACATGGAAATGGTTTGCTAGTGTCCTGGCATTGACATGAAACTTATCATGGAAGGCACGGGCTCGCTCGACTGGTGTTAGTAAGGTAAAAATCCATAACGGGCGAGTGGCAGTATCAGCAGCCGCATTCCCCTGTGCCATGGGCCCCGGCAGGGATGTATGTGCTCTTATGTGGGTGGTGAAGACCTTATGGTGTCTGTTCTGAAGCAATGTCTGGATAGACAGGAACACTAATATAAGTCTGGAGGCGACACTGAGGTCCACACCTGCTGACCCAGGGGTGGCCCTTGTTGAAGGCTGCCATCCTGAGCTGTCCTGTCTCTGGGGCGGGGGCCCGCCTGTGAAGGGGGCCCCCTCTGGCCGTTTTTTGGCCCTCTAACATCTCGTCCACAAATACGGTTGCCCTGAGCATCAAAGACCGACCTACACTCCTCAGCTTTGTGTGATCCCCTCTTGCATCGCCCACAAACATATGGTTCTTCATTCCTAGGGCGAGGCCTAGCATCTGCATTGTTTGGGCAATGACGTTTAATGTGTCCTGGCTCCCCGCAGGCAAAACACCCTTTAGCCTTACATTCCCCTTCTAACCCGAGAGGTCCCCTCTGCTGTACAGCCGCGGCCAGGAGAGCAGCCACTCCCGAGTTGGAGAGCGGCCCCCCTATCTCTCTGCATATCCTAATCCAGGCGTTGAGGTCCTTGTTCTTATGAGGAGCTATCGCTGCCTTGCACTCCTTTGTACATTGCTCAAAAATCAGCTGCCTTACCAGCGGTCGAGCCACTCCCGGATCAGAAAATATCTTATCGGCAGCATCTTGCATTCGGGCCACAAAGTCAACAAATGGCTCTGTGGTACCCTGAATTATTGGGAAAGAACCCTGCGACTCCTTATCGAGCGACTTAGGCTCCTGACAGCTGGTCTCTTTGGCCTCCTTGCCATTCAACTTTCCCTCGTCCTCGGAGTCAGACGACTCCGAGGCTAGAGCCCCGTCCTTCTCCTTAGCATCTTTGTTCCCCTTGACGGGCCCCTCTCGGGAGCTCCCTGACTGGGCCTGCTCAAATACCCTGCGTACTTTTGTAAGCTCTTGAGAGCTTTCTCCACAACCACCCTCGCTCTTAGTGTTGCTACCTAGCATGTTTCCCATCTTTTAATATGTTACTCACCGCGTGAGGCCCAAGGAATCCGCCACTTACGCGTGAGCCTGAGGGGAGTCTAAAAGCCCTGTAGGTGCGCGCCACCCAGAGCCCAGGCTTATCCCCAACTCACCTGTCTCGCAGCTCTGTACTGGAGCGTTGTCCGCTGTCACGTCTCGGGGGTGATCAGTCCCCGTACGGGCCACCAAATGTCGATGTCGCTCCTGGCCGGCAGGAAGGACACACGACAAAGTCTGGCAGTGGACAACCTTTTCTTTTATTTTTCTTCTCCGTACAGCCTGCCCTGGGATCGCTCCCAGCCGAAGCCTCCTTTGGTCTGCTCCCCGCGGCTCCTTCTGGGCTTCTACTTCCGGGCTTCTTCTTCCCCCCCAGGGGTGGCACCAGTATATATACGGATACAGTGTCCAATCATGTTAAAGTAAGCAAGGCAAGCTGATTGGCTAACATCATCAGTTGCCAGGCAGACTATATTGTTGAGCGGGTTGCTTACGCGGTAAGCAGGAAACTAACGTGCTCGATGGGAGGGGTAATCTACCTCAGGCTTTACTCTTTACTACAGGCCTCACGTCCGCCAAGTGAGGCGACCGGGCTCGGGGCTGCGGCTCCCAACAATTACTATGATATAAACGAAGCTATTTCTGTGAAGAATGTACAATCTAATACAATCTGATGCAATTAACACAATTTGTGACGGGGCTACCAGATAGGGAAGACCCAGGATGTCAGGAGCTAGTACCTCAGGCCTTTGTTTTATGGCCTTTAGGAAGTTAAAACTTAACCTAGTTGGATTTGAAGGGAGAAGGGGAGGGGAAGCAGCAGATGGAACGAGCTTTCTTCGTCTCTTCACAATCACGGCAGCTCTTAGTCCAGACCTGGGGCCTCGGGCCACTGGAAGACCTTAGAATTCTCCATGCAGTCTCCCCTTTATCCAGCTCTCCTTCCCTCTCATCCACCCTCTGGTCTAGACCCCACCAGAAAGCTCAGAGTGGTATGACATCCCACTGTTTCAACTCTAAGACTCTTCAGCATAAAGCACCCAGTGTACCTGTTTTCCTGTGGCTTCTGTGTTCAGCTGGGGAATGGGAAGATGAATAGGAGCTTGGAGCCATGGCACCTTCCTGGCTCTGGTTTTTCTTTGCTGTCTGAGCGACAATGTTTTACCAAGCAGGCAAGAGTTTATCTTCAAACCCAGATACGAGGATGGAGGATCCAAAGGGGTCTTCCCCCTCCCAACTTCTGGCACAGCCTCTGGAACAGAGAGAGCCAAACATGCTGTGATCCAGATGCCCAGTTCGGGGTCCTTGTGTATCTACGGTCCACTGTGTCCCTGTGTCCCTTGGGCTTGGTCACATGTTGTGGGGCTTCCTCAGCAGACAATAGACTACTAGGGTGGGAGGGTAGGAAGATGCTGGAGCCTCCCTGAGGGCCCCGGGTCCCTCTGGCTGACAATGAAGGGAGGGATTTCTAAGGTGGGGACAGGACGTAAGGCCCAGATAAGATTTCTGGGGAACAATAGAAGGAATTGAAGAGGGGAGACCCCACCCTCTATGCACCCCACCCCTGAGGCTTTAGAGTCAGGATCTGGGGGGCCAAAGGGTGATGGGGGGGGTACCAGGAGGTTCTTACAAATGGAGGAGGGGAGGCAGTTAGTATCAGGTTTCCAGGGCTCAGTGACCACGGTGGTGGTTGACCCCTTTGTACTTAGTGTACCCATATTTGTATTTTTGAGTGTCTACCTTGAGAATAGCACTTCAATGCAATAATGTGTGCTTTAGGGTTTTTTACTCATAAAAAATAAATTATTTCCCCTAAATTAGGCCCAATCATTCCCTGCAGAAGTATGGTTGGTGATTGTCTCATCATGTAGTATATGTAGTTCCCATCTCAATAGTTAACAAGACTGTTTGAAAACCAATAAAGCCCTTCACACATTCTGGGGAAAACTGAGCTGGATAATCTGGGGTGAGGATCCAACTGTCACTGGATTTTCTTGCTGCAAGAATGCAAGTGGCTCAGTGAAGTACCAAGGACCCCAAGAGAAGTTAGCCTGTTTCTACTCGAAATGCAGATGAGAAGGGAAGAAGTAGGAGATCAAAAGATTTAAGAAGGCCAGGCATGGCTGCACAGGTTTGTAATCCCTACATTTGGGAGGCTGAGGCAGGAGGATAGCTGTGAGTTTAAGGTCTGCCTGGGTTGCATAGTGAGTTCAAGGCCAACCTGAACGGCTTAGCGAATCCTTGTTTAGAGTTTTGTTTTTTTTTTTTTTTTTTCTTTTATTGGTACCGGGGATCAAACTCACGACGCTTGCTTGCAAGGAAGGTGCTTATGCCGCTGAGCTAAATCCCCAGCCCTGCGAATCCTTGTTTAAAAAAAAAAAAAAAGACTTAAAAGAGTAATAAACGTTGGGTGTTGGGTTTGCCCAGGTCGAGTTATACTAGATGCAGCCAGATCCAGCCAAGGATATGTGAGGAAATGCCTAATGCAGGGACTCTCTCCTTCCAAACTGGCGGGCTTGGTGCCCAGGAGAGGGCGCCCTCTAGGTCCGGATTGGCTCCCACTCCAGGGGGGCGGGACTCAGGGACAGTGGGCAGAAGAGTATTTAAGACTGGAAGAGTCAGAGGGAGCGGAGGGCAATATGAGTGGGGGCACCAGCACCTGCTCAGGCCCTGGAGAGGCCTCAGACCTTAAGTTTCCTGTGGGCACCAGGCTCAGGGAACCTCTCACCGAAGCTCGGTTCCAGCAGATTTTCGGGGTCGCAGCGCAGGAGCCGGAGCTACCAGCGGAGTCTCGTGTGCCACGGCTGTGCAGGCTGTGGAGGCGGCGGGTGCGCGCCTGCTCAGGGGCGGGGGCATGGCGCCTGCTACTGGCCAGGCTGCCCCCGCTGCGCTGGCTGCCTCACTACCGCTGGCGGGCCTGGCTGCTTGGAGATGCGGTAGCCGGCGTGACCGTGGGCGTCGTGCACGTGCCCCAGGGTGAGAGCCAGTCAGGCAGGGCCCAGGCTTCAGAGGGCTTTGTGGAGGAGGCCTGGGCTGGTGTGAGTTGGAGCCTCTGAAGGTTAGGAGAGAGAGACCTGAGACCAAGTACTGGGGAAGGGCAGTGAAGCTCCACCACATCCCCACCCCCGTCTCCCCTCGTCTACTCAGTCTCCTGAGACGTCTTGGACCGCTTTCAGCTCACGCAAGAGACAACAGCCTACCTCCCAGGATGCAGACCAACATGGCTCTGTGACCTGGACAGCGTCAGGAGCTCTCATAGAGGTCCATTAATGCCTCAGTTTCTCACTGTGGCATGATTCAGCATCCCTGGTGCTAGTCTCTGAGGGTGTGGGCCAGGGCTGACCTGGGGTGCTGCCCACCCCTGCCACACCTCCGATCTTTCCTTTCCCCTTCCTAGGCATGGCGTTTGCTCTCCTGACCTCTGTACCTCCGGTGTTCGGACTCTACACTTCTTTCTTTCCTGTCCTCCTCTACAGCTTGCTGGGCACTGGGAGACACCTTTCCACAGGTGAGAGTCCAGGAACTGTGCATGACGCCTCTCCTTCCCTGTGGGGTGAGAATGAGCAGGAACTCCAGGCATTCTTGGAAGCCTCAGAACTGTAGTCCCCTCTCTTCGTTTCAGCCCCCTTCCTTTCCCTCTGTGCAGCCGTTCTGCTTGAAACTTTGTGGCCTAGGCATGCTTGCCGAGGGAATGCAAAGAGGCAGTTGACTTGGACCCTCCACGCTAAGCAATTTGGTTAAAATATTCATAACCAGGGCAGGAAGGGGGAGAGAGATGGCTGCGCTCTCTCCCTCCTCCTCGAAGTCCCTTGCGGAGCTGATGCAGCATCCCGGGTACCGGAGCAGCAGCCCCAGGGCTGGTAACTTTGCCATGAGAGGCGCAGCTGGTAATCTCTGCGTGTCCCCTGCCTCCAGGCACTTTCGCGGTTCTCAGCCTCATGACTGGCTCGGCCGTCGAGCGACTGGTGCCCGAACCCCTCACCGGGAACCTGAGCAGAATCGAGAGGGAGCAGTTGGATGCTCAGCGGGTCGGGGTGGCCGCGGCCATGGCCTTCGGGAGCGGGGCGCTGATGGTGAAAGAGGATCAGGGGAGCGCCTGGGGGCCAGCGGGGAGGGAAGGGCCTCTCGTACAGGTCCAAGGGGAAAGGGGGCTGGGGGTGCACCACACTTTGGTTGGTGTGGTCCTGCTGCTGTTGGTGACTGCGCAGCTTCTTCCCCGCAGCTGGTGATGTTCGCGCTGCAGCTCGGGGCCCTGTCCACCTTTTTGTCCGAGCCCGTGGTCAAGGCGTTGACCAGCGGGGCCGCGCTGCACGTGCTCGTGTCCCAGCTACCCAGCCTTTTGGGGCTGTCTCTCCCGCGCCAGATGGGCTGCTTCTCTCTCTTCAAGGTGGGGGTGAGAGAACAGCGGAGCTGAAGCTTCCAGAGATCCCGGGAAGAGGGGGAACCTGAAAGGCAGAGAAGGACGGAGGGTGGAGGGGTGGAGGAGGAAGTCACCGACCGTGTGGCTGCGCGGGGGTGGGAGAATGACAGCCAGGAGAGTGGGCTTTGCCTGGGCCTGGTGGGTCGATGCTGGGGTGGGAAGACAGCCAGCCCGGGCACCGGCCCTTCCCTCATCGCCCCTGCCCACAGACACTGGCTGCGGTGGTTACGGCGCTGCCCCGGGGCAGTCCGGCGGAACTGATCATCTCCGCGCTCAGTCTGGCGCTGCTCGTGCCGGTTAAGGAACTGAACGTCAGGTTCCGAGACAGACTACCCGCCCCGATCCCAGGGGAAGTCGTCATGGTGAGGATGGCCTGGGCGCCCGGTTCCCTGCCTGCCCTACCCATCCCGTAGGAACTGGACGCTGCCGCCCTCTTGTGGACTGCAAAGCGGTCACAGACAGGTTCAGTGATTTCTGTACTTTTTCAGGCCTCCTGCCAGAGCGCTCTGACGCTCCAGAACCCCCCCCCCCCATATTATCCCATTGCAGATACCGAGCCTGTTCCAGACCGCCTACAATGTCTTCTTCCTCCATACAGAGCCCCCTTGCGGTGTCGTTTCCCGCAGCAAGTCCTCATTTCCCCATAGGATTCTTTACTGCTATTCAGTGTCATTTCCCTTCTCGCTCAGATTGCTCTTTCCGACTAAATAAATGTTACATTCCCTTACAGGTGCCCCGATAGGTCTATATATAGTCCAGCCTCCCTACTTAGAATGGCTCAGTTGCACTTGCTGTCCACCACCTCCATAGATACCCCCTCTTGGCATCTTTTTGTAACCCAGGAGTGCTTTATTCTGCTTTCCCATCCTTACACTTCTTGACTCTAAATGAATTATCAGGCGTGTATTCCAAACATACCGCAGCCCCACCAGTTTCTAAGAGCCCTGTGACCAACTAGTCCAGCACTGTAACCCTCCCTCATGCAGAGCCCCCACTGGCCTTCTTATCCTAATGAGTCCTGACACCATCTCCTCTTCCAGGTGCTTCTGGCTTCTGTGCTCTGCTTTACCTCTTCCCTGGACACAAGATACAATGTCCAGATAGTGGGACTGTTGCCTGGAGGGTAAGATAAAAGGAAGAGACCGGCTTTTCTTCTCCCACTCTCACCAGTACTCTGCCTTCCCTCTCTCCCCATAGGACCGAAACCATTCTTACCGGAAATCTCTCCCTCTCCAGATTTCCCCAGCCACTTCTCCCCAACCTGGCTGAGCTGCCCAGGATTCTGGTGGACTCAGTGCCCATCGCACTGGTTACTTTTGCTGTGTCTGCCTCACTGGCCTCCATCTACGCAGACAAGTATAACTACAGTATTGACCCCAACCAGGTATGACTTTGACTGTAGACCCCAGCCTCATTCAAAAGTCAGACCCCTGCCCATGCCTCCATCTCTTTCTTTATCTCACTGTGTCCTTCCAGGAGCTCTTGGCCCATGGTGTATCCAACGTCATTTCCTCCCTCTTCTCTTGCTTCCCTAACTCCGCCACACTGGCCACGACCAGCCTACTAGTGGATGCTGGTGGGAATACTCAGGTAAGAGGATGTTTTTGGATGAGGAGGAAGGATTGGACACTGGGGCTCAGTGGCAGTGGTGGAAGACTAGCAGATACTTAGTGGCGTCTATACAGAGGAGAATGGGAATAAAGGGAAAGAGAAGAAGGGATGGGATTATAAACAAGAGTGACAAAAGATAGCAAGGCTTCCTTTTCACAATGATCTTTGTAAGTTTTAAGCCCTGAAAAAGTTTATGGTGCCCCAGATATAGTTCAAAATAAATACTAAACTATAAAATAGATTTAAGAAATGCAATTCGGCGATCAAACTCACAACCGCCTGCTTGTAAGGCAGGTGCTTATGCCACTGAGCTAAATCCCCAGCCCTAGAAATGCAATTCTGATGTGTGTGTGATACTGGCCTTATGCATGCTAGACAAATTCCCTATCACTGAACTACACTCCCAGCTCAAAATTTTTTTCTTTTCAATGAGGATAGCCATCATCCTAGCCCCCATACTGGGACTTGAACCCAGGACCTTCATTCTGAGCTACATCCCATCCCTTTTTGTTATTTTTGGGATGGGGACCCACAAAGTAACTAACTTGCCCAGCCTGGGCTGGAATTTGCAATCTTTCTACCCCAGCCTCCTGCATGCTGAGATTCAGGCATGCACCTGAGAACATTTTCTTTTCTTGGTTTTTTGAGGCAGCCTCTCACTATTTCAGATTGTGAGATTGGCCTTAGACTCATTATATAGCCCAGGTGGCCTCAAACTCTAAGCAATTCTTCTGACTCAGTTTTTGAAGTATAGGTGTGTGCTATCATCCAGCAGGACAATTTTTTTTAAAAGAAATATCATAAGCTGGGTATCATGGTAATGTCTGTGATCTGGGAGGCTGAGGCAGGATTGCAGTGAGTCTGAGGCTAGCAAGGGCTACATAGTGAGTTCAAGGCCAGCCAGAATTTCATAGCAAGACCCTGTTACCAAAACCAAACCAAACCAAAACAAACCAAAACAAAACAAAAAAAATTATTGCCTGTTTCCATCTGGCTGGGCATGGTGACACATTTTGTTATGCTAGCACTCAGGAGGCTGAGGTAGGAGGATCTATGTGAGTTCAAGGCCAGCCTGGGTTACATGATGAGAATGTTTCCATCTATATTTTTGATTTTCCTTATTTTACTGTGTCCTAGGCAAGCAGTTAGCCTGCTTATAGGATGATTCAACAATGGCTTTTAAGGTGGAGGTGGGGTACAAAAATAGGGAGCTTGAGCTGTATACATCTGGAAGAGTGGAGAATGATAGGCATTTAATTGGGAGAGGGGGAGGAGTAAGTGTGAATGGCAGAATATCAAGAAGAGACAGAGGGGTGAGAAGTACCTGTGTGAGAAGGAGAAGGAGAAGGAGAAGGTGAGAAGGAGACTTGGGAGAAGGAAAACTTCTGAGGAGGTTGAAGCAGTGGATGTGTGCAGGGAGATCAGCTCTCATTTGGGAGTGAGAGAGCTTTCTCTCTCCCTTCTGTTCTTCAATCCTCCGTCCCTAGTTGGCCGGCCTCTTCTCCTGCATAGTGGTCCTGTCAGTGCTGTTGTGGCTGGGACCCTTCTTCTACTATCTGCCCAAGGTAGGCAGCAGAGACAGCCTGGGTGTACCTGAAGGGAGGTGGCTGTATCCCAGGACACTGGGGAAGTCAGCCAACCCCCCCCCCCCACGTTCGAAGGCTGTCCTGGCTTGCATCAACATCTCCAGCATGCGGCAGATGTTCTTCCAGATGCAGGAACTTCCACAGCTGTGGCACATCAGCCGAGTGGACTTTGTGAGAAATGGCAACATTATCCCCACTTTGTACTCTGGTATCTTCTAGCCTCTGTCCTGGGCCAATGCTGATTGCTATGGTACAGTCTACAAGCATGCACCCCAACACACATGCATACCATTTACTAAGTGAAAAGAGAAAGGGTGGGCTCTGAACCCCTCAGGCCTGAATCTTCATAACTTCCCAACTGAAGCATGTCCCAAGGTCATTATGTTTTATGTGTATCCCATTGGGTCAATCCTGTCCCATCCTTTGTCATACTTCCTACCTTCTCCTGGACCATCCTTCCACATCATTCACCCAGAAGTCACTGCCCCTGGACCCCAGTCTTCCAGGCATTCACCCCTATCTATGTCCCGAAGGCTGTGTGGATGGTCACATGGGTGGCTGTTGTGACCCTGAATGTGGACCTGGGCCTGGCCGTAGGCGTGGTCTTCTCCATGATGATGGTAGTCTGCCGCACCCAGAGGTGGGTGTCAAGATGAGCTGAGTCAAGATAATGGAGACAATAGAGTGTGGGGATGATGCTAGTCAGGCCATCTAGGCTGGGCTGGAAATCTGATCCCGGCTTCTTCCCTAGGGTGAAGTGCCTGGCACTTGGACTGGCTGAAGGGACTGAGCTGTACAGGCCACTCAGAGACGGCCACAAGGTGGGTGGGCTATGACCAGAGCAGGAAGAACCTGGTCCTTCCTGGATTAGACCTGGATGTCCTTCTGACCCTCTTACCCTTAGCTCCTCCAGGTCCCAGGTCTCTGCATCCTGAGCTACCCAACACCGCTCTACTTTGGGACGCGTGGTCAGTTCCGACACATCTTGGAGTGGCATCTGGGGCTTAGGGGAGGCAAGGTGAGGAACTTGGTCAGGGAGGAGAAAGGATCCTCTGGTCCTGGCATGTGCAAGTATGTGTCCAGAGGAGTGTGCCCAAGGGGTGCATGTCCATGCTGTTGTCTCTGGGGTGATGACTGCCCTTCTCTACTTACAGCAGTCTCCAAAGCCAGATGGCCTACCTAACACAGGTGAGATGGGATGACAAGGAGGAAGACTTGGGTCTGATCCACAGAGGTATATATGAATGTTCCTGCTTTCTCCCAACCTAGTTGGTGAGCCTGTCAGAGTGGTGATCCTAGACTTCAGTGGTGTCACCTTTGCAGATGCTGCTGGGGCCAGGGAAGTAGCACAGGTAAGGGAGTGGGTAGTTTTATAGGAAACCCTCATCATCCCATACATACCCTCTGATTTGGGATTCAACTCCTCTGCTCCAACTCTGCAGCTAGCCAGCCGATGCCAAGATGCTGGGATCTACCTTCTCCTAGCTCAATGTAATGGTCAGTGTGTGGAGGACAGAGGGATGTGTGACTGGGGAATGAATGGACACTTGGAGTGGTGAGGGGAGCACACAGTCGGGGTTTAGGGCCCCAAAGCCTGACACTCTCTGCACACAGCCTCAGTACTGGAGACACTGACCCGGGCAGGACTCCTGGACAGAGTGACTCCAGATCAGTTGTTTGTGAGTGTCCAGGATGCAGCTGCACATGCTCTGGCAAAACTGGTAAGGGGCAATAGCATCAGGAGTGGGACCAGGAAGTGCTTGCTGGGCCAAGGCAGGAGGGTGGTGGGTGAAAATCAGGGAACCGGGGCTTGAGAAAAGGGCTGGAAAGGAAGATTAAGATGGAAAGAGTGGGGAGATCAAGATTAGAGGATTCAAAACCAAGTCTGAGGGCTGGGGATTTAGCTCAGCGGCATAAGCACCTGCCTTGCAAGCGCATGGTTTTGAGTTCAATCCCCCAGTACCAATTAAAAAAAAAAAAAAAGTAAAACCAAGTCTGGGAGACTGGGCCAAATTTGGTGAAGAACTGAATTTAAGCCCCCAAAGAGTGGTAGATTCTGCTAAATCTCAGCAAGGAAGCAGATGCCTAATGTACTCCAACTTGTCCCCTCTTTCCTTCAGGAGTGTACTGGCCCAAAGATCTGCACAGTGTGGGTCTGACCAGATCACCACGGGATGTGGAGGGTTCCAGCAATGTGTGTGAAAAGGACCATGGTCCCTGAGCCTGCTTAGTGTAACTAATAAAACAAAGCTGAGAGCCTCTGGGGTCCATGAAGTGGGTCTGGGTGTCTGCATGTGGACCCCAGTGCCCCTCCCTCTGTGCACAGCATGAGAGACACAAATAAAAATGGCTTTTACCATGTGTTCACCAGCCCCACCTCTGCTCCAGAGCCACAGTCTCTCAGAAGGGTGGGCTGCAGCCTGTGCAGTCCAGGATCCAGAGCTTAGGGTGGGGCGGGACAGCCCTGGGATTGCACACTGGGGAGCTTCCTCACCCGCTCAGCCCAAGATGAGAGGAGAGTGTTTCCACTCCAGGGTCTTAGAGTCCTCTTGGGCTCTTTGGCACTTGGAAAGTGACCCCCCCCCCCCGCCATTTCCTGCCCCATAAGAACGGGGTGGGGGTGGACTTGGCACTGGCTGTGGGAGGTTATGGCTCCTTCAGGCCACTGGGCACTCAGAAAAGAGGAGTGTCACCAGGACAAACCCCTGTTTGGGATCAGATTCTCAAGGGGAATTGTGAGGGAAGCAGAGGTCAGGGACAGTCAGTGGAGTGCTCCCTGGGTGGAGGGGGGTTGCTGGAAAATCCTGGTGGGGACAGGGAGGCAGGCCCAGCCTGACAAAGGGAAGGCCGCTGCCGCAGTGGCCATCATTCCGCAGTCATGCACTGCAGCCGGTGTTTGAAGAAGAGCAGGCGGTGTTTGGCCACATGACTTTCATCCAGTGATCCTGGGTAACGGTACCGGTTGTAAGTTTTTGTTTCAGCATCCCTTGACACCCAAGGCAGTTTCAGCTTTGATGCATGATCCACAACGACATCTGAACAGGAGCCAACCTGAAGGGAACCAAGTCCATCCAGGAAGAACTCTGAGGGTAGAGGAAAAAGCACATAATGAAGGCTCCAGAGAGTGCAGAAGGCCCACCCCCAACCGAAATTGAAATTTAGGGCGTGGAGGGGGGTGCCTATGCAAAGACCCCTTTTAAAGACTTTGGCATGTATGTGTTTTATATAAAATGGAAAGGATATTGTCTAGTGCTTTGAAAGTGGAAAAACCTACTTCCCATTCCCAGACGGTCAATAAATTCCTGATGAGCTACTTGGAGTATGTCTGAGCTAGGGGAAGCAGGTGCAAGGTACATGGCTGTGCCAGTGCAGGTGAAGTTCAAGGTGGATCCAGCAACTGAGGGGCTTGGAGGTTTGAATACGTTGCAGGGAGGGAGACGGTAGGAGCTCCCTCTGGAAACTGGCAGGTCATAGATCTTTGCTGAACTGCTCTAGTGCCCTGGGTGTCAGTGGCAAGTGCAGACTGGGGGAGGAAGGGCCACTGCCCAGTGCCTGATTGCACCGAGACTCCCCAGTGCCTCGCAGGGTCCGTCCCGCCGCAAGGCACCACTCACCTAGATGTGCCACTCGGCTGAGGCGCGGGTCGAAGCCAACCTCTCGCACCTTGTCGGTGCGCGCCAGGAAGAAGTTAACCACACCATCTGTGACCACGCAGCCTGGGAAGCCTACGAGCTCGTGGTGGAAGCCGCGCCTTTGCCGGAGGCAGTTCCCAAGGCCTGGAGCCCCGGGGTCCACGCTCAGCAGCTGCCGGTAGGTGGTGGCAAAGCCCGTGATCTCGCGCACCGCGCCCCCAACCTGCGGGGAGTGGGCGAAGGGAAGCACCTGGAGCAAGTCTGTGCTTCTTCCCCAGGACTTGCCCCCATTTCCCCCGATGGATGAAGCGGGGAGCCCCAACCCCACCCTCACTTCTGCCTTTCCAGCGCACAGCCCCTTCCTGACTACAGCTCTCTCGCCTGGGTCTGACTTATCCCACCGACAGCCGCGCCCTCCCCTACCAGGTCCAGCGGCGTCCGCTCCAGCACGTCCACAAGCCTCTCCAGCCGCGTGCGCGCGGTGAAGACGAAGTCGTCGTCCACCCACAGCACGTACTTGGTGGTGACTTGGGACACTGCCAGATTTCGTCCTGCAAACCAGCCCTGGGGGCACGCGCAGGGCGGGGCGGGGTACAGTCAGGAAGTCACGCCCCTCTACGGCTTTTCTTTCTTTCTTGACCCCTCCCAACAGCCTATGCTTTTCTCTAAACTCCTGGGCGCCTTCCAATTATCGAAAGCTAGGTTTAAAAAAAAGTGGATTCCTACCCTCACGCCTAAAGGTCGAGTCAGAGTTCTGGTGGCGGAGGGTCTTGAAGGTTTTAGTTTCAGCCTGCAATTACTCACACCTCGCCAGTTATGTTACCGGGCGGCCAGTAAGTACCAAGTACCATTCTAAGAATACATGCGGTTTCAGAGCGCTTACTCTGCAAGAATGCAGTTACCACCCCGGAGGCGTGCAGACTAAGGGCGCTTCCCGTCCCTAAGGCCACTGGCGCTACGTTCAGTCAGGCCCGCTGCGCACCTTGCCGAAGGGCATGAAATAGTGCTCCACGTGCGGGTCGCTGATGCGCTCTGGCTTGTCGCTGTCATCAGCGATGACCACCGTGACGGTAGGGTAGAAGCGTCGGATGCTGGCGATGAGCGCCCGTAGCCGATCATAACGGAGAAACGTCTTGGTGGCAATGGTGACTAGAGCGCTGATGTTGTACTGGGCTGAGAGAGAGGACTCGGGTTGGGTGCAGAGAAGGCAAACGGAGAAAAAAAGCAGGAGGAACGCTCTCCCGCTCTCCCGGGGCTGCCCTCTCCAACTTGCTCCCCACCAGGGTTGGGTCTGGCACCTCCCTGCCCGCGTCAGCCTCACCTCCGTGAGGCTGACGCCCCAGCGGGTACAGCCTGGGGTTGGGAGGATGTCTTATGCGGATGGTGAAGGTAGCCTGGTGTCCCTCCGTGGCAAACCGGACTGAGAAGAAAGGCCATGAAGTTAGATTCTTACAGTTAGGACAACATTCTCCTTTCATAGTGGAAGGAAGTAAAGGAATTTGACCACTGCCAGTCTGACCTAAGCAGAGACCACAGCAACACTCTATAATCCTCAAACAACACACAAACTCCTTGTATGTTTACACTCCTTGTACTGAATTCCCCTCACACCACCGCCAAGTCCCATTGTGACTTTTCCCTTCCAAAGTCTCTCCGTACACAGGCAGTACACATGTACACACACCACCCTTTGTCTTTTTTTGTTTGATTTTTGTCCTTTAAAGATAGGGTTTGGCTATGCAGTTCAGGCTGGCCTTGAGCTTTGTAGCCCAGGCTGGCCTCTAACTTGCAAGGATCCTCCTGCCTCAGTCTCCTGAATGTTGGGATTAGAAGCCTGTGCCACCGGGTTGGGGTAGCCCCCTCTTTGTTATGCTCATGACCCTTTTAAAGACTTTATAGCCTGTAATGAGAGGAGATGGTCTGTCTCTAGGGGCAGAGTTCTCTCTCTCAGGTTTGTTCTGAAATAAACCTCTCCTGGTTAGCTCATACCCCTTCTTCTTTGCCTTTTTGTCCTAACAATAAAGAACATGGTGTCATTTATGGCAACTATGCAATGATATCACATCATGCAGTCAGCTGAGGTGAAGTTTTTAAAAACTCTTATAAGAGCAGAGCGCCCCAAAAGATGATTGTCAACACCCCCAAAGAGAAGCCCACCTACTACAGCCAGAGCAACAAAGATGGCTAACAATTTACAAAAAACCCCACATATTAAAAACAAACAAATAAATATAATCACCTTCAACCAAAAGCTGAGCTTCACTCTGGAGCCTCAAGGGACGGGCTTACCCAGCTTGCCTCAAACTGGACCTGAATTTCTATTCAGTGAGTGACTCAGGCTCAATTTAGTCTCATATTTATGTAAGTAGCCAGGATCAAAATTTTATATCTATCTGCATAGAGTAAGGGTTTATTCTATAAATGAAAGTGTAAATAAACTGTACTTTTAAATGACAGTATCTGTTAGTCTAATCTGTTCCTTACTTACTGTAACGTAAGGTGTTCATGACAGTGGAACAATATTTTAGTACCTAGTCTGTGGCATACCTTTCTAGATCTCAGTGAACAAGCATATAAAGTCTTCAGCTAGGTGTGGTGGGGTACATCTGTAATCCCAATTACTCAAGAGGCTGAGGCTCAAAGATTCCGAGTTTAAAGCCAGCCTGGGGTACATAGAAAGTTGAAGACCACATACATAGATATGCTACATATCTATACTACAAAGTAACACACTGGCTCAAGCAAAGAAAAACACCCAAAACAACAAGCTAACAAAAAATACCATAAGGTTTGTACTCCCATGCAACTTACATTCTAACAGGTGGGAGAAAAACAAGAAATTTTTTAATTAAAAGCTAACCTTTACCGAGCATTTACTGCATTCCAGACACTAAAAAAGATTACCTTAACTATATGAATTCATTTGATCTTCATGGTAGCCCCATTAACTAGATTCTTTTTTTTTTTTAAAGCCAGTCAAATTTAGCAGTGAGGGGGTGGTATACCAACTTTATTGACACTAATGTTAATAAGTTCTGAAACCCACTGCCATCGGACTAGCAAACTAGATTCTTATTACTGTACAGAGAAAGCAGCGGAGGCACAGAAAAGTAACTTGCCCACATTTATACAACAAAGCTCCTAAGAATTTACTCAGGTTCCTCCCAGGATTAAGTAAATAACAAAATTCAGATACTGGTGAGTATTGAATAGAAGACAAGTGATACACAATAATGATGAAGTGAAGACATCTGAGCTCAGATCTAAATTACAAGAAGCCAGCCATACAACAAAATCTTTGGAAAGAACATTCCAGCATAGGGAACAGCAAGTGCAAAGGCCCTAAGGCTGGAGCAAACTTAAAATAACAAACAAGTTTTGGACAAAGGCAAGAGGGCTGTTTGCCCCTTTTGCTAGAGTAAAAATGGGAGCTCTGTAAGGTAAAGACCTTTGTCCTCCAGTAAGTGATGGGTTGGGAATAGAGACTGACTTTTCTGACACTTCCTTGGGGCCCCATAGTTGGCCAGAAGTGGGGACACGCCGGTTTCTCCGGTTTCCCTCTGGCCTGCTCCAGCCCCAGATAAACAAAGGCCCCTTCTCTCTATCCCAGTCCTGCTGGCCCAGTTGAAACGCCCATTGTGTGGCTAGGCAGCTCCAGTCACTGCCGGAGTGTCTCCCATGCCCTCTGCCATTTGCCCACTAAAGCCTTTCTGGATCCTTTCTGTCCATCTAGCCTCCCCCCCTCCACCCAGGCCTAGCACCTGTGTCTGCTGTGTTGGCCTGGTAACTTCGGCTGCTGTAAGTGACCAGTTGCAGCTGCCGGTTGAGTTGGTCCAACTCTGGGCTGGCAAGGGTGAGATCTGGCTGTCCTTCTCCGGTGAGAGTGACTCCAAAGACTTCCCCTGCCACATCCCAGATGCCGAGTGAGGCAGTCAGGTTCACCTGGCGGGGTTAGGGGAGTGCAAGGGTTAGGGCATTAGACCCACCCCTTGCTTCCCTGATTCCTTCACCCTGCCTAGAGGCTCATTCTCCTCCCCAGCATTCTTGATTGCCACCTGGCCTCCTTGCTCTCTTATCTTCTCTTACCTGGTATACCTCCTGAGCAGACACTGCCTGCAGGCTCAGTCCTGGCAGGAAAAATGAGGGATCAAAATTATAAGCAGTCCTAAACTATTCCTTAATTTTCTCCTTCAACACATACAACCCTAACTTTCACCCATCTCTCTGGAGGCCTCAGTGGGCGCCTTCCTATCAAAGCAGTAGCTCTTCTAAGGCCTGCTCTACCTATCCACTTAGTCTCTGGCCAGTGAGCAAAGAATAGAGGGCTCCACTTCATAGTCTGTTGCAATTCCTACGTTCAGGTTCTGTCCTCACTTCTCCAAACTTCCTTCACCTCCACCTCCCATCCCCTGTCTGGGGCACTGTCACCCTCATGGTTACCTAGGCCATCCTTTAGGATACTTGTCCCCACCTGGCACCAAGATGCTCCTCAGAGGCTGAACCTCCACACCCTGCAGGGGGTACTGTAGGGGAGAGTTGGCAGGGGCTATAAGCAGCTGGTCAGCGGGGGACTGGCTCCTGGTGGCCAAAGGGGGAGAACAGAGGAGGAGTCAGGCTATCCCTCCTGCCACAGCCACTGCAGGCTTCCACTGCCCCTCCCCATGGAAGCATGCCTTCTGCTGGTACCTCGAAAGGAAGGCCTGGAACTCCTGTTCCCTGGCAGCAGAGGCAGCCTTCAGCTCTTCAGGGTCAAAGGCCTTGGTGAGATCAATGGCATGGACCTGTCTCTGGAAAGGAAGGGAGAAGCTCCCCCCACTGGATTCACAACTGCAGTTGTTCTGAGCCAGCAGCCTGAAGGCAAAAGAAGGGTTTTCATTCATCCCATAATATACACAGCACCCCATGCCTTGGCTCCCCAGCACTGCCCATCCATTATCCACCCTCTTAAACACTGCTCTTCAAATAGATCCCAGGAAGAAGGACCACAGATGAGATAAGCCATCCCTGAAGTCTGGATTTTACAGAGGTGTAAAGTGGGACTAGGATTTCAGAAGCTACCTACCTCATTCAGGAACCCCTCTGAACTCTTCTGATACTAGGAGCCTTTCTGCACCCTCCCCCCGCCTGCACACACTACTCCAAGCTCGTGCCCAGGACAAGATATGGGAGCTGCTCCTCCTCAGGCCAAGCCTCAGCTGCACTCTACCCACTTCACTCCACACAGCCAGTCACAGAAGGGAGGCGTCTGAGCCCAGCAGTGCTGCAAACAAAAAATCCCCCGGGAACCCCCTGCTTTCGCTGCCACTGCAATGAGCACTCACCCCACCACTTGCTCTTTGATCTTGACCGGGATGTGCGCGTAACGGGGCTCAGGGGCAAGGTCTGGCAGCTCCGGTCTGGGGGCGACCTGCGGGGGTGTCCACAGCGCAGAAGGGGTCCGGAGGCCCGGCGCGTCTCGAGTGCTCGCGTACAGGAGCCCCAGCGAGGCGCAGGCGAGCAGCAGGACCAGCGCGCAGAGGGCCCGGCGGCCCAGCCGCATCCTGGTTGGAGATAGGAGGAGAGGGTAGCAGCGGGTGAGAAGGAAGGTGAGAGCTTTTGCTCTTGACCCCCGCGACCTCGGAGCCTTCCTGGCTCCCAAAGGCGCTCTGCACTCCACTAGGATTTGCCCGAGAGCCCGCCGTATCCCCCCATCTCTTGGTCCCGTTCTCAGGGTTTTCCGGCCTCCTTTCTTCTCGCCCTCTCTCCGCATCTCGCTTTTCTCTCGCAAGCGAGGCCCGGCATCTCAAAGCGAGAGACCTTCGGATGCTTGGGTTTGCGGCGGTGCAGAAAGAGAAAAGCGCCGGTTTAGCGCAGCCGTGGTCCCTACACCTCGCCCGCTAGGGCCCACAGCCACCCGCCCTCGCCCGCTCGGGTCCGGGCATCACCTGAGCCGAGGGAGGCAGGCTGCAGAGGGGCGGCTCCACACCTTGCCTGTCAGGAGAAATGCAGAATCACGTTCTGGCTGTGGGGTGCCCCTGGAGGTGACCCCTGGGGCGGCCTCGGGGAGCCGCGGTGGGGACTGGGTGCCCGTGAGCGCGCCTTCCCACCCCTCGGCCCCCGCTGCGCCCGGACACCGACCTGTCTAACGCTGCGAGGCCGGGCTGTGCCGGGCTCTCGGCCCCGGCCCGGGGGTCCTCATGGGGCCGGAGCGGCGGGAGGCGGGAGCAGGGCGGGAGCCGGAGGACGCCGGGGTCCTCCGGGCTGCCCAGCGCGCACCCCCCGCCTGCGCGCTCCCCGCTTTGTGGACCGAGGCGCGGGGGTCGCTCCGGGCTTCGTGCCCGGCCGGACAAGGGGTCGCGAATCCGCCGCACTCCAGCCCCAGGAACAAAGCCGGATCCTGGCACGGTGTCTCACTGGGAGGTCCGCAGGGCTCGGCCGCCGCCCGGCTTTCACATCGCACAGCCAGCGCTCGGCTCGCGGGCTCCTTGCGGATGAGGCGCGGGCGCGGCGAGCGGCGCGGCGCCTCCTGGTGGGCGCCAAGGAAACTGCCCGGTGCGGAGCCGACGCGGGCCAACCGTGGCACCTCAGTGGGCACCTCCTATCTTAGGCATGTTTGCTCTGGGTAAGGTTTGGGCAGTAAGGAGTTTGGAGAAGGCGGGGCTGGGCGCGGTATTACAGTCCCATTCCGGGTATAGCTCTAGACTGAGGACAGCTTGGGTCCTTTCAGCGACACAGAAATAAACCGTGCAAGTAAACACAGCCTGGCTAATAAAAACAGAGTAAGAGTCTTTACCTCCACTTCCCGCCAGCTTGCCTCCTCAGGTCACCTAACAAACCTCAAGAGATTAGCACGCGGAGAAGTTCTAGGGCCTCCTTACTTCCCAAAACTGCCCCTACTTGCAGTTTCTGGACCAGGCGGGTGGAGCACCCAGAGTGGTCATGCTGGTGGTAACACTGCTTCAAGTCTTAATCATGGATAGTTAGCCTGCCCAGAACAAAGTCCTCTGGTTTCCTGTTCTCGTAGAACACTATCATGGTTTAACGAGAAAATAAAAGTAACATATGAAAATATGTGTATGGAGGTCAAGGATGATTAGTAAATGAATTGTATAAAAGTAAATGACTGGAGGCTGGGGATTTAGCTCAGCGGCATAAGTGCCTGCCTTGCAAGCAGGCAATCGTGAGTTCGATCCCTGGTACCAATGAAAAAGGAAAAAGACAAAAAAAAAAAAAAAAAAAAAAGTAAATGACTGACAATCCAGCCAGGAGAGAAAGGGGAATTCTACCCTCCTAACCTAAAAATAAATTCTAAACATAGAAAAAAATTTTTTCTGGGTACCGAGAATCAGATGGTCTCGTGCTTGCCAGTCAGGCACTGAGCCGCTGTCAGGCCACTGAGCTACATCATTGGCTCCAAAATGTTTTAGTATTAGATATGAAATCAAAAAGTTAGCTAAGTTCAATTCCCGGTACAAAAAAATGTAAATTAACCTGAACAATGATGAGCAACAGATCTGGGATCTTCCAATACTTTCCTCACTAAAAGGAACAGGGCTCCTTTGACTCACTGCAGACCTCAATCCTCCCAGAATTGAGGAGGAAGAATTGAAAGATGAGTCTGGAATTTCAGAGCAATGACATGCTTAAAAATGATAGGAGTTTGTCAGAGGACACACAGGAGAGCCAGCTTGGAGGGGCTTGGGCTGGCAGAATCTGGGACAGTTTAAGCACCAAAATAACTTAGGATAGAAAGGAAATGTAAAACAGACAGCACCCTGACTAGGAGGTCAAAATTAGTGTCACTGATGAGGGGTAAAAGAATGTGCTGCCTCCAGATAACACTGAGAAAGATGCAATGTCACCTAAGCAGTGCTCTGGCTGCGGTTATTTCACTGGGTTCTGAGCACTGTTTGACTTTATTCTAACTATGAAGAAACTGACAAATCCCAATGAGGGATATAACATATACCTGCTTTGCAAAATAAATCAGTCATTCCCCACCTTTACCCCTGCCACTTCCCCTCCTCTCCCACCCTCTCCCAGCCCTGATGCTGCCTCCCAATGTCAGATATTCTGCAAAGAAAGACTGAGAAACTGTTCCAGACTAAAGAGTGTTGAGAGACATGGAGACTAATGCAGTTCATGATCCTGGATTGGAGCCTGCCCTCGAGGCGGGAAAAAGAGCTAGAGTGGACATTTTGTGGACAACTGCCGAAACTGAAACACAGAAGGCAGATAGTGTTTTTTCTTTATTAAAAGGTAGCTGGCCTTCGTGTGGTGGGGCACGGCTGTAATCTCAGCACTGGGAAGGCTGAGGCAGGATAGTGAGTTGGAAACAACGTGGGTGACCCAGTGAGGCCCTGTGCCAAGGAAACAAAAGATAAATGGTAAACACAGGTTTCTTGAAGCCCATAGATAGTTATTTTAGTTTTCCTTATTCTTGTAAGATACATCCCAAAATTTTAAACAGTAATGCTGCATGATGTGTGTGACCTCTCAAGCTGTTTAGAAGAGTAAATCATATTATGTGTACATGACATATGTTAAATATATACATGCACGCAGTTTATAAAATATATTTTATTTAGTAACAACATTTAATAATCTGGCACTTTGGGAGGCTGAGGCAGGAGGATTTTTAAAAGAAAAGAATAAAAAAGCAAAGTGAAAAATGCTAAAAATTGCTAAAGCTGGGCTGGGGATTTAGCTCAGTGGCATAAGCTCCTGCCTGGCAAGCATGAGGTCGTGAGTACAATCCCCAGTACCAAAAAAGAAAAAAAAAATTGGTAAAGCTGGATACAAAAGAGCACATTCTTCAAATGTCTAAGTTTGAAGTTATTTTAAAATAAGAATTATTATCATTATGTAGAAGGTATTTTAATTTATAGAACATTTTAAAACTTGTATTTCTAATATTAAGCATATTTCTAACACTGCTAAAGGGTGAGACTGGGAGATATGACCTGTTCCTGTGGTTAGAAAGCTACAAACGTAACAAGCCGTGACACTCCAGGTGCCATCTGCAAGATAAGTGTATCTCAGCCGGGAAGAACTGTTTCACTTGCTTTCAAGTCCCAGAGAGTTATCACTTCAAGGACACCTCTGCTTGGTCTCAGGCAATGATGGATTCTTCCTCTAGGTTATGATCGTAACCTCGTTTAATTTGCTGTTTCTATAAAAGTAAATTCTGCCTAGCAATTAATGATAAAGACATGTGCAGCCAGCACGTGTAGGATATTATGTTATCTGCCTTTTGTGCTTCCTCTTGGAAACCTATATAAGTGATTTTTTTTTTCATTTTTATTGGTACCGGGGATCGAATTCATGACCGCCTGCTTGCAAGGCAGGTGCTTATGCTGCTGAGCTAAATCCCCAGCCCAAGTGATTGTTAACTTCAGGTCAGGACCGGTGATTTGAAACTCAGTTTCCATCAGCCTGCTAGTGTAATAAATGCTGTCTTCCAAAGTTCCTTTGTTGTCAGGCCTCCATTTGGTCTGGTCCTGAATTCTACAGAAATTATCATCATTATCTTTAGCTTTTTTTTTTTTTTGAGACAGGGTCTTACTATGTAGCTCAGGCTGACCTTCAGTTCACTATAGTAGCCCAGGTTGGCCTCAGACTTGCAGTGATTCTCCTGATTCAGCCTCCTGAGTACTGACATTACAGATGTGGGACATCACACCTGGCTCAGAATAAAAATTTAATAAGTCATTTTTCTACTTATTAGTTTAAAATGAGCTTCAACCCAGAAACTTAGTGATGAGGCTGAGAAATTGTTTCAGCACGTTACTATCATGCTTATTAAAAAAAATGACAATTAGCTGGGCATAGTGGCACATACTTATAATACTAGCACTTTGGGAGGCTGAGGCAGGAGGATTGCAAGTTCAAGCCCAGTTTGGGTAACTTAGAGACTTAGTGAGTTCCTGTCTCAAAAAAAGGATATTAAATTTATTTTCATAACAGAATCATAACAAAAATTGTAATAAAATCATATTAATTCTTACATCAGCATTTCATTCAGTAACAGTGATATTTGGCCTTAACTGAAGACTGACTCTTATTTTCTTTCTTTCTCTCTCCTTGTAGGCACTGCAACTTTTTTTAATGCTGAGAATTGAACCCAGGGCTCTAGTTTAAGGCCCTTGCAATAATATCACAGTGATACATGCACGCCTCCTCTTCTCCTCCCTATTTACAAAAGCTTAGTTTACATTTTTTCCATCTTTTCTTGTTTATTTTCTTTTCCCTTACTTCCTTTCCCCTCCAACCTTTCTATTTACTCTTCTCATTTAAATGTTTTCTTCCTAATTTGCAGTATCTATTATACATTATACACTTGGTTTCTCACATCAGAGAAACAATATGGTATTTACACATGTGTCTGATGTATTTTACTTAGGAGTATGTTCTCAAAAAAAAAAAAAAAAGGAGTATGTTCTCAAGGCGAATCCATTTACCTGGAACTGTCTTGAAATTATCTTTCTTTATAGATAAGTAGTACTGTCTTTGTATTAAAAAACCCACATATTTGTCCACTCACTGATTGATGGGCTCTTGGGTTGCTTATAAGATACAACTATCACATACTGTACTGCTCTCCCACACATTCCACCATGATGTTTCTGCCTTGGAGTCAACAGACCAGGGACTAAATCCTCTAAAAACATTTACCAAATTAAGCTTTTCTTCCTTTAAGTTGTGAGCATCAAGCAGTTTACCCCAGTGATGAGAACGCTGACAAATACAGAAAATTGGTACTAGAGAATCAGTTGGAGGCCAGGCGTATATAACTCAGTGGTACAGCACCTACCTGACATGTGCAAGGTCATGAGTTCAAATCCAGGTTTACAAAAAAGGAAAAAGAACCAATTGGAACTGGTTTGTGGGACAAATTTGGAAAGCGTAGGGAAGTGGATTAGAGAAAGCCTAAAATTCTATAAGCAGAGCCTGCTGGATAGTTCTGGTTAAAGCAGAAGACAGCTGGAAATGTGGACAGTAAAGGTCAAGCTCATATTTCGTTAAAAATAAGATCTCTATTGGGCTAGTGCAATTACAAGACAGGAAAAACTGAGACTTTGCATGAGGCTAAATTTAAATGTGGCAGACTAATTGATCTGGCAGAGGGAATTTCAAGGCAGTCCAGTGTCTAGGCTGTGGTATTGGTATAGCTAGATGCTTTTAGCCAAATACACTGAAAATCAGGAGCAAAAATGTTTGAATTAAATCTTGTTCAGAAAAGAACCACATGTACATTCCATGCCAAAGGGGGGTTGCTAAAGACATTAGTGTCATTAAAAAGAAACCAGTTACTTTGCACTGATGCAAAAAGAAAGATTCCTAGGGGCTGGGGATTTAGCTCAGTGGCATAAGTGCCTGCCTTGCGAGCAGGCAGTCATGAGTTCGATCCCTAGTACCGATAAAAAGGAAAAAGAAAAGAAAAAAAAAAGATTCCTTGAAGGCATCTCAGAAATCAGCAAGGCTCCACTCACTGTAGGCTCAGGAGTGCAAAACTGAAAAGAGAGTCCTTGTATCCCTAGAGGGTACAAAGGACTAACTATCCAGGATTATTCTGTTATAGAAAATAGACCGAACATGGGGAAAAATAGCACTGAGGAGATTTCAGAGGCAGTTTATTACACTGGTGGGCTTGATTGCCCTGCAAGGTTCTGGGTTTTAATGGGGAGAGCAAATTGGGAGGTACACAAGTAGATTTGGCACATTATGATTGGAGGGTTGGATGAGTCTTGGGCAGCTAAAGGAGTTTAAACATCTCAAGTTATGTTGCAAAGCCATCAGTTAAACAGGCATGGGTTACACAAAGGAGCATTTCAAGTTACATTTCAAGGCCTTCTGTTAGGCAAACTTGCACAAAAGAAGCAATATTCTATTATTAGTCTTGCCAAAAACAGACATGTCTGCCTGGTGTTAGTAGGTATCCTGGGAAGGCTCTCTTGGCAGTCTTTTATTTAAGATTTTAATTTCCCTTCAATTCCACCATGCTCATACATGAAGGCATTCAGATGCTGCTGTAGGTCCACGGGTGCCAAGCCACTGCTCAACCTGGTGGCAGACGTTGGCATCATCTAGGTGATACTGCTTTTTCAGGTATGGAGTGTGAAAGAGTTTAGGGGTCATAGAAGCTTCCATCCAGATTTCAGAAGAAAGCCTGGGAAGGTAAGCAGTGTGGCCCTGAGAGAGGGTGAGTGAAACTAAGGGAATTAAAGTGAAGGTGCAGTGGAAACCTGAAGGAGTTGGAGATACTAGGAATATGGAACATCTGATGAAGAAAGCCACAGCAAGTAAGTGGTGCCAGCCCAGCAAAGAGGTTGCGTCAGTTACAACTGTCAAGGCCATGATGTGGGATGGTTCAAGCCCTCTGGAACTCCTATCTCACCACACATGCCCTGGGTGCTGATATGGGCAGAGAAACGACGGACTCCAAAAAATTTCAAAAAGCGCTTTATTAGCTGAGCTCAGCGGTGACACTGCCCCAGAAAAGCAGCCAGGGAAGTGTGCTCCAAGGCAGGGGCTGCAGGGAGTTATAAAGTAGCACACTGCAAGGGGAGGGGTTGGGGTCTTAGGATCAGTTTGTCTCCATAAAAGGTAATTTGGTTTATTTTCACAGGAACCAGGGAGGCAGGAAGGAGGTTGCATGGCTGTGGTTATGTTACAAGGTTGCAACTTAACTGGTAATTACACAAGTTTTACTGGAAGAGAACAAGTCCAGCACATTTTGGGTTTTTGAGCTTATAACATTCCCCACCTCTTTTGGTCACTAAGTCAAATCTTTGATTCTGTTGCATAATTATTTGTAGGTAACTGGTTATATCCTTTTTGTCTGAGTATAAACATTTTAACAGCTTAAAATCAGTCCTGGATGTGATTTAGAAGGCATTTTATAATACATGGCCTGCCAGTTAAGGCAAATAAGAAGAGAATAGTTGGTCCTATTAGAGCCGAGAGAAGGGTGGTCAGCCTGGGGGACAGTGAGAACAGGTTTTGAAACCAATTCTGGTCATGTTGTCGTTGCTCTCATTTATGGAGTCTCTTCTTGAGCTTGTTTATACTGTCTCGTATGACTCCAGAGTGGTTGGTATAGCAGGCCTCTCCTAATATTATGCATAGACCACCTTCTTTTATAAACAAAAAATCTAGGCCTCTATGATTTTGGAGGACCATTTTAGCTAAAGAGCCTACTAACTTCTCTAGTTTAGATACTGAATGTTTTAAAGCCACTAGATATTTATCTATGAGAGCACTCAACTCATGGTAATTTTTGTCACCAACTATTAAACTTGCAGTCCCTAAAGCTGTAGCTCCCGACAGACCCAAGCCCATAAGGATCGGATTAAAACAGGAGCTGCTCAAGGTGACCGAAAAAGGTCTGACTCAAGATTTAGGTGTTTTTGTCTACTTGTACCTGAATACCAATAAACCTGAGGGAACACATGGGCCAAAATGCATAGCTCAGTTTGTCTAGTAAAGACATCTAACATGAACAAGGAGTCAGTCCTGAGGTACAAGCAAGCCATGATTCTTTGGGAGCCTCTAAATGTTGGCCTGATGAATACGAAACATTTGTTACCACAATAGGGTTAAGGCAGAGAACGCAGAATGGTGGAGTCAGGGCTGGGTGCAGAGGAGAGTGTTGGGGGACAACAGCTGCGAGTACAGGGTACTGGGAGGGGGAGGGGCCCAAGAGGAGGTTGCACCCCCGGGTCCTTCCCATAGGAGTTTTTTTAATCCGTGAGAGTGGATCCTGGATCAAGTCAGTCCAAACTTTGATATAGACCACTTGATCAGGATGCGTGGCCAGCTTATGAGGGGGTCCAAAAATGACTTGATGGACCTGTTGAGAAACTTGTTAAGTTCCCTGTGAAGGCCACCTGACACCAAAGGAAGGCCATTTGAGTTCACAGAATGTTCTTGGTTTCTTAGGGTAGACAGGGCCTCCATATCCAGCAGCTCGATCCCTAAAATCCTTAAAATGATTAAGAACAAGTTGCAAGGGTGACAAAGGGGAGGAAGCTGTCTGGCCCATAATAGTAGACACTGGAGACAAGGGTACAGATGAGTGAATACAGAATTGCAGAAGCCCACCACAAGGACAAAGACAAGATGGCGGAAGCCTGCCACAAAGACAAAGACAAGATGGCAGGAGCCTGCCACAAAGACAAAGGATCACTCAAAAGGGCTTTGGAGACTGGAGCAGGTCCTTGACTTTGCAATCAGGAGCTGGTTAAAATTACAGGTGGCCATTCTCCTGTTTGTTGATCAAGGATTTTCAAATAACCAATTTTTGCTAGCTGCGATCTAATCTAGGGAAGAGCACATTTTTTAATTGAGTAACCCAAGTAACCCCATAAAAAATCATCTAATTTAGTTAACTCGAGTTAATCAGCTGATATTAAAAAACTCTAGGAGGCAGTTTACATAATAGGTCCGGCTTAAATTGCAAGAATTCTCAGTAATGGATGAATCAGGAATAGAACAAGAAGATGACGGTATAGGAGAGCTAAGACAAGGTTTTGGCAACAACTTCTTTAAATGGGGGGCAGGCCTGAAAACTTGCCTCCCCAAATATAGTGCACCCAGCGGAAGTTAATTCCTCCCTCAAATGGCGGTAACCTGCCCTAATTTTGGTGACATCTCTCCCAAATGGGAGCAAGTCTGAAAACTTGTCCAGAGTCATAAAAAGGAGAAAGATTGTGGAGCGAAATGAAAGTAATGAGTACAGTACCTGCCATGTTCAAAAAGACCCCGATGTCATCTGGAGTAGGAGTCTGGGGGGGGGGGGTAAATCCTATCAAACGTGGAATCCCGGATGGAGGAGCCCCCAAATGATTCGGGCAGAAAAAACGATGGACTCTAAAAATTTTTTAAAAGTGCTTTACTAGCTGAGCTCAGTGGCTACACTGTCCCCATGGCAGTCAGGAAAGTGTGCGCCTGAGCCAGGACTGCAGGGAGTTATAAAGCAGCGCACTGCAAGGGGAGGGGTTGGGGTCTTAGGATCAGTTTGTCTCCATAAAAGGTAAGTTTTACAGGAATCAGGGAGGTGGAACAAGCAGTTATAGGAACCAGGGAGGCAGGGAGGAGGTTACATGGTAGGTATGTTACAAGGTTGCAACTTAACTGGCAATTACACAAGTTTTACAGGAAGGGAACAAGTTATAAAAAGTACAAACGCACATTTTGGGTTTTTGAGCTTATAACAGGTGCCGGATATGGTGTTACAGGACTCAATATTTCTCTGTTGGGTTGGTCTTGCTTTGATCTAGTCTTTTCTATGTTGATATTCACCCCTTTCAGAATGGAGATATTTGCACACCACTGTATACTGGGAATATGTAACTTGGTTTATGAATTTTCAGGGATTTACAACTAAGAGTTTAACTTGGGTCTTTGTTGAGGATCACAGATTCAATGGCTAGTTTTACATACTTCCTTTAGGGACAGATGGAGGTTTGGGATTATTGGTATCGCCTTTTGAGATTTCCCATTACTTCTTTAGGCCATCCTCTTCCAGCTACTAAGACTAGGACTAAGACTACTAAGACTAAAGATGCTGTAAGGTAAGAACCTTCTCAGCATAAGACGATCGACGCCCCTCTGTGTCATCCAATAATCCCCTACTTAAATCCTCTGCTCACCCAATAAATGCTGAGGTTCTGGCTGTCTTGGGGTCTTTTGTCCTTCAAAAACAACTGATTACCCTGGATCCCCACTGTACTGCCATTTTGCCTCTTGTTCTCTCTGTCTGTCTGTCTGTCTCTGTCTCTCCTCTCTCTCTGCCATGGCACCTCACAGGACACTAGAGGCCCCCTGCAGGGGTCCCTGATAGATCCTAGAGGAGACTTCGGACTGGGAGTTTTGAACAGTGCTGGAACTACTGAGATTCCTGGAGGGAAGTGGTACTCTTTCAGTTGTACACAGGAGGGTCATAGCACGGTATGTGGAACTCATTATTTTCTTTGTTTGGAAATTAAGAGTGGCTCAAACAGTTGTACTTGAATCTCAAGTTGACAAGTGGTAAATGTGACAATTAAGTTTAAGTTGGTAAACTTGATTGCTTAGGAACCATTTAGGGAGTTTCTGTGTATGTGTGAGTGAGTCATAGAAGCAAGACCTTGGGATCTATTTCTGGTCTGTGGACCCACCCTTTCTGGCCCTCTGCCCCTAGTTTGCTTTCCAGTTACCATGAAGTGAGCAGTTTTGCTTTCTTGTATCCTTGTGCCACAGTGTTCCTGCCTTGGAGTCAGTCAGCCATGGATTGAATCCCTTGAAACAATGAGCCAAATCAAACCTCTTCTCCTGGAAGTTGTGGGTGTGGGTGCTAGGTAGTTTTTCTCAGTGTAAGGAAGCTGAATCATGTGTAAGGTCAAAACTGTTTTCATTATAGTTCTAATACTGTTATTCATCCTTTTACTGTGTTAACATTTACAACGCTGTAAAACAATTGGTACATTGGCACAAAAGGTGCTGGCTCCAGATACACTATTGTCATTGTGTCCTGTGTGACAGCACACTGCAGTACAAAATAGTTTCATTTAAGAATATCTTGATGAGGTAGTACAAACTAATAATTTTGTTAAATCTCTACCCTTCAGGGCACACCTTTTGCAAATTCTGTATAACAAAATCGGAAGAAATATAAAGCCTTTCTGCTGCTCACTAAACTGCAGTTGTCTAGAAGAAAAGTATTTTTTATTATTTAGGTGCAAGCTGAAAAAGCATTTATTTATTTTTTGGATAGGGTCTCACTGTGCAGTTCAGGCTTACCTTGAACTCACTATGTAGTCCAAGGTGGCCTCGAACTCAAGCAGAGATCCTCCTGTCTCAGCCTCCCAAGGGCTGGGATTATGGTGCATCAACATGCCTGGCTTGAAAAACAACTTTTAAATTTTATTTGATGGTGGGAATTAAAGTCAGGTCTTGTGCATGCAAAGAATGTGCTATACTGCTAAATTACACCCTCAAGCCGTATGAACTAGCCTCGTTTATTTTAAGGATAACCATTTTTATTGGAAACCATGATGAACTATATTTATCAAGGCTTTGATATTAAAAAATAAAAAATTGACATTTGAAACACATATGAAAAGAAGTAAGCCTACACATTCAAGGAAAACAATTTGGCAGTATTTATTGCCTATTAAAAACTTTAATCTTCGGTGCTATAATTAAAACTCTGGAAAACTTGTATTTGCTATCTGAGCTGGACTGTTTCCCAATACTTAAAGACTTTTCTGATGAGATTGTTAGTAATCTTAATGAATGTGGTTTTTAAAAATGTTATAGAGTGAAATGTGTCAAAATTGAAAAGATCTGTGCTACTCAGCAAATGAATCAGTGTCTTCAAAATGATCAGGTATAGTATTACAAAGCCATGCATAGGTAAAAGATCCAAGCATAGTACAAGGTTACAGTGTTAGAGAACATGCTTAACACATACATGAGCCTGGGTTCAATAAAAGTTTTTTGTTGTTGTTGTTGTTTTTTATCAGTACCAGGGATTGAACGCTTGCAAGGCAGGCGCTTATGCCGCTGAGCTAAATCCCCAGCCCCAAAAAGTTTTAACATAACAAAATAGAAAAAGCTTATCAATGTGGTTTCGGAATCCAAATTGTAACAAAATTTTTAGGAAGCAGCTACTTATTGAAAGGTGGTATAAAATTAAATGATATCTATAGTTACCTGAAAACCTTAAATACAATTACATAAGAGAATTTTTCAATAGTTCAACCTGGAAAACCTATGACAATAGATCCAAGGAGAAGGAGATATGATCTCTACCTATCTTCTATAGTTAGCTACATAATAAAGCGATTTGCAAAGTAGAACACAACTCTCACAGTGTTTTTTTAAATAATACAGGGGGGAGTTGGTTTTGTTTTTTGGTACTGGTAAATCCGACTCACAATCTCGCACTTGTCAGGCAGGCACTATGCTGCTGAGCTATATCTCAGCCAAATAATACAGGTTTTTATTTTTTCAAATCCACTTTATTTCAAGGAGAAAAAGAAAAAAGAAGAGAAAAAAAACAAAATTTCAAAAACTAAAACAAAATTGACTCAAACATGTCAATCGGGGCAATAGTGCTACATACATTGTACATTGTCATTCCCAAATTATTCACCCAGAGCACAAAACATTTGCATTCAATTGTCTGAACAATACCAGCATGAATCTTTCTGTTTGGTGAACTCAAAGAGATCTGTAGTATAACTATCTTAACTATTTTTATATACATATGCATATACATATGTTGTTTCAGCTTCTCACACTAATGAGACAATACAATGTTTACACATGTGTCTTATTTATGAGTATGGTATCAAGTACGGTCTCAAGTTTTATCCATTTACCTATAAATGGCTCCAGTTTATCCTTCTTTATGGCTGAGTAGTACTCCATTGTATAAAAATACCACATCTTTTTTATCCATTGCTCATTTGATGCACAAATGTTTGTTTCCAAGATCTGATTGCTTTCAAACTGTGCTGCTATAAACATGGATGCACATATATCACTGTGGTATGATGTTTTCAGTTCTTTTAGGAAGATACCCAGAAAGGGAATAGCTGGGTTGAAGGAGACCTCTACTCTTAGTTTTCTGAGGAATCTCTACACTGATTTACACAATGGTTGCACCAGTCTGCACTCCCACCAGCAGTGGAGAAGGGTTCCTTTTACTCCACAGTCCCTCCAGCATTTGTTATTGGTTGATTTCTTGACAATGGCCATTTTTCTGGGGTGAGGTGGAATCTCAGTGTTGTTTTAATTTGCATTTATCGAATGATAAGTGATGTTGAACATTTTTTTCACATATTTATTTGCTGTTCATATTTCTTTATCTGACAAGTGTGTATTCTTCTCAGATGCCCATTTTTGAATTGGGTCTGTAAATCTAGGAGGACTGATTTTTTTTTTTGAATTCTTTATATGTTCTCCATAAAAGCCTTTAAATTTTTTTCTGTTCTAATTGGGCATGGTGGTAGAGGTAAGAAGATCACTGCAAGTTTAAGGCTAACTTGGAATACATAGTGAGATCCTGTCTTAAAAAACCCCAAAGTAAATAATAAATAAATAAAATTCTTATCATTTTCTGATATGGTAAATATCAACAGATATAAATAAAGTTCTTTTGATCCCTAATAAGAGCCTGAGGATTAAAGATTCAGAACTATTGCTTGCTTACTTACTTAATTAATTGTTTTTTTTTTTTTTTGAGATTGGCCTTGCCATGTAATTCAGCCTGACTCCAGATTCAAGTTTGAAGTGACATTCAGGCCTCCGCCCCGAGTTCTGGGATTACAGGTGTGTGCTGCCACACCCGACTGAGAACAATTGCTTTAAAACTCCTCACTGACCTTCTGTTTTATAACTGTTTTCCTTCTCCCCAAATAATTACTGTCCAGAGTTTTAGTTATTCCCCTCTTTTTTTGTTTCTGTGCTGGGAATTAAAATCAGGACCTTGTGCTTGCCAGGCAGGCATTTGTGCTGCTGAGTTTTATCTCTGGCTCCCTTTTTTTCTTACAGTTTACCACACATCATGGAGAGAGTTTGTGGTCGTATAAAATTGCTTTTCATGGCCAGGAAGTGAAAGAGAGAAAGAAAGGGACCCGGGCTGGGGATTTAGCTCAGCGGCATAAGCGCCTGCCTTGCAAGCAGGCAGTCGTGAGTTCGATTCCTGGTACCGATAAAAACGAAAAAGACAAAAAAAAAAAAAAGAAAGGGACCAGGGCCCCATATTTCCTTTGCAGGAGGTATTCTCTCCATGACCTAAACACCTCTCACTGAGCCCTGTCTCTTTAAAGTTTCCATCACTTCCCAACAGCTTCCCAACGGATGAGCCTTTGGAGAGCATTCCAGACCCAAACAACAGCCGAAGGAGTCACTGTTTTTTCTTCATGGACTTTTAGCTGTCTCTCATCATTTATCGAAAATTCTGTGTGCAGTGTTCTTCTGTCATTTTATACCAGGTCTCGGGGCTCTCTTCACTGCTCTATCTATTCATTTCTGTTTATCCGCACCAATAGTGTACCATTTTAACTACTATAAACTTATAAACTGTTCTGATACCTGGTAGGGTAAATTATCTCATCTTGTGCTTCCTCTTTATGGAACTCAGCCATGTATTTTAGAATCAATTTGCCGGCATCAACAAAAAAACCCCTGAGGATTTGATGGGAATTTTACTTTATAGATCAATTTGGAAAGAACTAATAAATTTTTAATCTTCTAGTTCAGGGACATAGACAAATGATTAGTGTCACAGAAAGCCAAATTTTTTAACCAACTGATTATTATTATTATTGTTTTTAACCTTAGGATTTTATTTTGGAACACATATAGAGATAACAAAAATTGTCAGCTTGTCAATGTAACAAGATATAAGAAATTCAGAGGTCAAGGAGAGGAAAAGTAAAAGTACTAATTAAATGTTTTCTGTAGGTAGGCCTTGTTAATTAACAGGGATTTTGATTCAAAGAGTGAAATACAAAATTAAGAAACTCCAGCTTTTTTTTTTTGGTACAGGGGATCAAACTCATGACTGCGCACTTGTAAGACAGGTGCTTATGCTGCTGAGCTAAATCCCCAGCACTAAAACCCTAGCTTTTAAACTTTTTCATTCACTTTTCCTTTACTGTGGAAGGACTTTTTTCTTTAATTGTTCTCTTTTGGATAACAAGCTATACCAAAATTGCTTAAAGCAATGACAGTTATGTATTTGATCACAATTTGGCAATCTGGGCAGGGCTCAGAGTAGGGACTGTTTGTCTCTGCCTACCTGATGTCAGCTGGACCACTTCAACTGGGCAGAGCAGACAGTCCCCTGCAGGTTTACTTATACAGCTTGCTCAGTGCTGGGGGTGTTTATTTGGTGCTGTTGGCTGCAACCTCAGGTCTCTTGTGTTGGCTTCTCTGGGTGGCTGGTTGGGATTCTTCACAGCATGGTGGCTGGGTTCCAGGAGAAAGGTAGTAAAAGCTGCCAGTTTCTTCCAGGCTAGGGCCTGAATTAGAACATCACTTCCATTGTGTTCTATCTCTCAAAACAGTCCCCAGCTCTACCCAGGCTCAAGGAGTGGAGAAGAGTCCTCACCTTTCAGTTGGAAGAATGTCGGAGAATTTGTGACCATTCTGCCACTACATCTGGCAGTATATATGTTGTACCCTCAAAAAAAACAAGCCCCATGATGTTGTCTGTTGCCAAGAAAGGGGGGGGGGCAAGACGTCTGTAAAAGAGCGCTTTATTTAAGTTGGTACCCAGCGACACAGTGCAGATGGAATTTGCATAGCTGTGCAACTGAGTCATGCTTTTTTTTTTTTTATCTGTACTGGGGTTCGAACTCACACCCGCCTGCTTGCAAGGCAGATGCTTATGCTGCTGACCTAAATCCCCAGCCCCTGAGTCAGAATTTTGACAGATTTTTATAGCACATTAACCGAGTGATGTGACAGAGCAGGAATTAGGAAGGCCTTTGTTTCCCTTTGCTTGAGGTCAGAGACATTTCACAGTTGGTGGTTAGCACTTTTTTTTTTCTTAAGTTACAGCCCTTGGTCTGCTAATTCCAGGAACATTTGTTTCTCACAAACAGAACAAAGGTTGACCCAGCATCATTTGTCTCTCACAAAGGGAATAATGGTTGATGTAGCAAACAGGCTACTAAGATGATGGTGCATACGGAACAGTATGGTGACACCTCAGTTCATTTGTAACTAATACATAACAATGTGGTCAGTGCTCCAGGTACATGGTTACTAGGCGATAAGCATAAAGCATAACTATATATATAATTTTATTTTAAAGAGAATAAAACCAAACAAAATAAAACAGAGTAAAGCCAATCAAAATAAAACAGTGAAAATGATACAGAATTTTAAAGCAAGATAGTAGGAAATCTACAATGGCTACTATAATCTCTCTTGTTATTGTCAAAATTGCTGCCTATACCATCAGACATAATAAAATCAAACAAAACAGGACAGAATAAAACCAATCAAAAGTGAATATTGAAGAAAACAAAAGAATAAAACAAAGCAGTGAGAACAATATTGGATTTCAAAAGCAAGATAGAAGGGAATCCCCCATAATTGCTACACTGCATATTGCTGTCCTCCAAATAGATGCTCAGACTACTGGCTTTAGGCCTGCAAAGTTAATCAAATAATTCAAGCATTAAGTTGTTTTTGTACCTCAGTTGCTGTCAATTCATCCTGTATTCCTCTGAGTCAGTTGGTGGCAGATGGGGCAGGGAGAGCAGTGTTTGTCTCCCAGCCCATGTGCCAGCTAGCTCAGGGGAAGGGTGAACTGGTTTCTTGTTTCTCTTCCTTGGTCCCATATGAACCAATTGATTATTAATGATTTAATTGTATATCAGTAACAAAAACACAATACCTTTGAGAATTAAAGAAAAAGCTATTAGTAACTCCAAAGTCAAAGAAGAAATGAATATCTTTCTTATTTAGGTCTTGTTAATGACTAAAAATAAAGTTTTACAGCTGCCTTCCAGGGATATTGTACAATTTTGTTAAATTTATTTTATAGTACTTTATATTTTTATGTCTTTGTAAATAGCATCTTTTTAAACATTTACTTTTATAATTTTGTGGTTGAATATAGAAATGTGATTTTTTGTATTATTGTGTGTTCTGTGGCCTCTATAAAGTTTCTGTTTATGAAGTACAATATAAATATATAGAATATACCACAAAACACATGAAGCTCATGAGTTAATCCAAATGACAATTTGTAACTACCACCCAGGTTTTTTTAAAAAATGAAGTTTTGCTAGGTACTCTATAAGTGAATCCATGTATTTGTTCCAGTTGGAGCCCCTTCTCTTCTGGAAAAGTGACCATTATTCCATGTTTAACCTAATCACTTTTTGTTTTTTGTTTTTTTGAGACAAGTTCTCACTATGTAGTTCAGGCTGGCCTGGAATCTGCAGTGATCTTCCTGCCTCAGGCTCCCAGTGCTGGGATTACTGGAGTATGCCACTATGCCTGGCTTAGTGTCTCTATTATAAACAACATTTGTTATTGTAGTAATTCTTGTGGTTATATAGTGGTATCTGATTACAGTTTGAATTTTTCATTTCCCTGATGACTCATGATCATTTTATCATCCTATTAGCATTTGTTTATCTTCTTTGATGAAATTGTTATTCAAACCTTTTATTCATTTAAAAATTGAGTTGTCTTACTATTGAGTTAAAAGAGGTTTTGGTTACAAGTCCATTACGATTTATAAATATTCTCTCTCAGACTTTCTTTTCTTTTGCTTAATGATGATTTTCTTTTTCTTTTTGTCTTTTTCATTTTTATCCGTACCAGGGATCGAACTCACGACTGCCTGCTTGCAAGGCAGGCGCTTATGCCGCTGAGCTAAATCCCGGGCCCCTTTAATGATGACTTTCAAAAAGCAAAATGTGAAGCACGCTTCCTGGGGATGCCCTAATACGACCCCTGGGAGTGAGACACACCCTTGGGCCAGCAGCCTAAATCGGTAGGTGATGCTTTCTAGGAACTGCCTGGAGATAAAACTGACCTCTGGGTTACATCTATTGTGAGACCTTTGTTTCACACACAGGTGTCAGTGCCACCACCCTGGCAACCCGGCAGAAACCACTGGAGCCCCCTGAAAGTGTTATAAACCACAGAACTGCTCCAGACTTTCTGGGAGGAATGCGTATTTGTCAACACCTTCTGTTCCTGGATAAACATCTCAGTTGTTGCTGAGACACAAATAGAAGAGACCTGAAAGAAAGCCCACTGGCTACAGACAGGGGCCACCTAATGGATCCTTCTCTGACCCTTATGACATCCTACCTGGACTATTAGAAGCTGGGCTATGTCACAACTTTGGGCAGGTTGCACTGTGTGGTGGCAATAGTGGACACAGTAAAATGTGTTCTGGCTATGTATGACTCAGTGGTGCTTCTCTGAGCTTACATCAGTAAAGGTGTCACACAGATCTGACAAGCTTTGCCCCAGCTCCAGGAGGTCAGGGAGCATATAAAATGGACCCTCTTTGATAAGGAGATATCTGGGTAGAGAGTAATTGGCAGGATAATTCTCCACTAACCTTGGATGAATGCAGTTCTTTCCCTTCCTGGCATACAGTTCTCAAGAATAACTGCAGGAAGTGCTAGGGGTGCAGTACAGGAACTACCCACCACTAGCTGATGCGCAACACTCTGCCACAGTTATTGAAACCACAGAGAGCACATCGGGATCCCTTCCATACATGGGAGGCACATCTTCACTCAAAAAGCCCAGGCCTGGGGGCTGGGGGTTTAGCTCAGCAGTGTAAGTGTCTGCTTGGCAAACTCGAGGTTGTGAGTTCCATCTCTCTCTCTCTCTCTCTCTCTCTCTCTCACACACACACACACACACACACACACACACACACACATACACACAACCCAGGCCTGGGGTTTGTTGATAAGCATGGTGACATGAAGATTGCGATATGATTTACTATCAGCAAGATAAGAGGCATACCGTGGTGGGTGACAAATTGAGGTCTGTGGCACCCGATTCAGCCATTCATCTGGCCATCCTCAGTGGTCACAGCTTGGGGTGCCTAGTGAAAGTGTTATGCTCCCCAACTTCTGCTGTTTTGTCCTTGTAGATAAACCAGATTGCAGGTTATGTGCTAGTCTCACCCTCCCAGGGTCTCAACTATTCTTTTCATATCAGATAGGCCTTGGGCATAGTGGCCCCACCTGGCTGTGCCTGACTGAAGCTACTTCCTCTGTGGGCATCCATAACCCTTGTTGCTTGACCCAGACCTTTTTATCCTTCATCATCCAGTTTAAGAAGACAACTCACATTTTCCTATACAAACCTGACGTGTCTGAATGTCACTCCCTAGAGCAGAAGGATCAGGCACAGCGCAAGGTTTTCCTTGGCCTTGGTACCGTGGTATTCTTCGGTCTCATCCCTCACCCATCCCTCACCTATCCCTCACATAGGGCAGGCAAGGTGAAAGGGGAAGAAATATCTTTAGAGTTAGGTGTGCTTGTCTGGGGTACTATGGTGGGCTGCACTACAAACTACCCCTATGACATGCATTCTAAGAGGCAAAAGGAAACAAGATGGTTGGGAATGCTGAGATTTCAGAGGTGTCTGCCCAGTCTATCTCCACCCCCACCAAGCAAGTTGTTTTGCACCATGCATGGCAGTGCGACGTCTGCTTTGCACAGGAGAGCAAGACTTAGGGTATGCACTGCTCTGGTCAAAAGGTGGTGCTCCTCTATTCCAAGGTCACTTTTTTTGGTTATTATGTGAGTTAGCTGTTTCATAACTGGAAGTGCCCAGTAGCCTGTGGGTAATAGGATGTACTGTATCACACTCCATGAGAGTGTGCCTGCTGTCATGGTGTCTGGGCACTGAGGGACGGTTTTGGCCAGCATGAAATCTAAAACGTGCCATGTTTCTTTCAAGGATTGCCACCATAGTCCCAGGGATGTCCCTTCCAGGTGGCGAGCTGTTACCATAGTCCTTGTCCTCACACTGGGGTCCTCCAGGGGTCCAAACTCTCAGTTGCCATTTTCTTGTTCAGATAACTGGGATGTTGGCACTAGCTGATGAGTCAGTGACAAGGTAGCAAGATATGGTGGCAAAGGTGGCCTGTATGGCCACCACTCCTGGATGTAGTTGGGCATGTAGTTCTGCTACTGGACAGAAAATACATGTTTAGCCTCAGTCAAAAGACTGTGGGCAGCCACAGCTGGTGGACATGATGTGCTTACTGTTTTGCAGATCTATCAGCACCACACTGTCAGCAGACCTATCTCTGACTCTCTTGAACTCCAGTTGGCCCCAAGGGCTGAAGCATCTCTTAGGGTTGCTTTGTGCTTTCTGGTATACTAGCCATTTGTTCATGGTCTCCATTGGTGTCTTGGTGCCCGGGCTGGGCCCAGTCTTTAATGTGACATTTTCATTTAATAACTGAGGGCTGCTGAGCCTGTCCAGGTTTTTTGATGGGTTTATTTTTTTATTTTTTATTTTTTTGTCTTTTTCGTTTTTATCGGTACCGGGAATCAAACTCACGACTGCCTGCTTGCAAGGCAGGCGCTTGTGCCGCTGAGCTAAATCCCCAGCCCTTATTGATGGGGTTTGTAAACACCAGAGAAAGGGAGATGGAGAGGGAAAGGGGAAGGAGAAGGAGGGAGGAAGAGAGAGTTAGCAGTCTTTTACACATGTAATGCTCTGCCCTAAGATGTTTAGCTTCTACCAGTGCCCAACAGTAAGCAAGGAGTTGTCATTCTAAAGAGGGATATCAAGTTTGGTGGGGTAGAACATATCTGTAATCCTATCTAGTTGGAAGGCAGAGACAGGATGGCAAGATTGAGATCAGCCTGTGCAATTTAGGGAGTTATTTCTTAAAATAAAATACAGAAAGTGCTGAGCATGTTTTTCAGTGGTATTTATCTGGAATGCATAGGCTTTGGGTTTGATCCCTAGTACTGAGGGAAAGAAAGAGAGAGGAAGAAGAAAAAGAAGGAGGAGGAGGAGGAAACGGAGGGGGAGGAGGAAGGGAGAGAGAAGGGAAGGGGAAGGGGAAGGGGAAGGAAAGGAAGGGGATGAATATCAGTGGGCTAACATAACCCAAGAGTTCCAGATCAATCTGGACAACAAAAAAATGACCTAATCTCAAAAAATAAGTAAATAGTTAAAAATAAAATTTTATTTTTTATATATACAATTTTTTAAGAATAAATTTTTGTAATACATATTGAGTCAATCCTATATTTGCATGAATTCACATGTTCTGGGGCATTCACAAACCAGTGTAGCACACAAGTGATATCCCAAAAATACAATTTTAAAAAGGATACATCTAATGATTGCCTCAGGCATATCTGAACTCTGAGAGACTGGTGCACCCCAGTGGCAGTTCTCCATCAGCACAGATGCCAGTCATCAGGCATGTACTTCCCAACTCCTGTAATTCTCACTGGCAGGCTCCAAATATGTCAAAGGCAGTGCCTTGGCCATTGTTTGTTAAGTGGCTTTCAAGTCCAGATGTCTTAGCAGCATCCTATTCAAATCTGGTGACTTTGTCATCTTGACTAGGGGACTTAAAACACCCACATGGGAATATGCTTTCAGGTGTCTACTAGCTGTCAGGTTTTATTTGTCTCATTGGTACTGCCAAGTTTGAATAATTTTGCTTGACTGTTTACTTGGGATATTGTTTGGTTTTTAGCATGTTCAGCCTACCACATTCCAGTGTTTGTCTCAATTATGGTAAGTACTTTTTGGCCAGCCAAACTGGGCTGTACTTGCCATGGGATACTTCATGTGATACTCTTTCAGTTGCAAGTTCCGAATTAGCCAAGTAATGTCCTAGGGCATGCTCCTATAGTCGAGTCTGAGGCAGGAGACTTTCTTTTCTTTTTCTCTTTTGTGAGATAGGGTCTCACTACAAGGTTCAGGCTGGCTTTGTAACCCAGGCTGGTCTCAAACTTGCAACAATCCTCCTGCCTCAGCCTTCCCAGTGCTAGGATCACAGGTGTGCGTCACCATGCCCAGTGGCAGGAGGGTTCTTGAGCCCAAGAGCTCAGGGCCAGTTTGAGCAATTCAGAGTATCCTGAGATCAAAACAAAGTAATATCCTGCTGTTTTCAATATGCAATTGTGCCTTTTTAAAATAACATACAAGGGCTTGGAGAGCTTGCAGAACAGGCGGAAGGGGATACACCCCACTCTCGCAGCTTGTGTTCTCAGCTGTGAGGAGACAAATCGCATCACCTTCTGGTGGTGTTCTGGGTCATAAGCAGCAAAAATGGCAGTGGCTTCCAATTTGTTCATGGTGAGAACCACAGCCACCGGCCCTCAAAATGGCCCACATTTCCCCGTCCATAAGTAGATAAACACAACAAACAGATAAAATACATGTGTCACTGTGTTCATCCCAAAAGTTCTCCAGCTCTTGCTTTTTACATTTTTTCCTTTAGCCAGGTGTGGTGGTCCATGCCTACAATCCCAGCATTTGGGGTCTTAGGGAGGAGGATTACTGCAAGTTTGAGACCAACCTGGGCTACACAGTGATCAGGTCCAGTTTCAAGTATTTCGTGAGACCATGTCTCTCAAAAACAATAAAATATTTTTTTCTTCTGTGAAAGTTCTGTCATGTGATTCCAATATCTAAGAACCTTGGAAAAGTCTGAACTTTTTTTTTTTTTTTTTGTCTTTTTTGAGATGGGGTCTTGCTATGCAGTTCAGGCTGGCCTTGAGCTCACTTTGTAGCCCAAGCTGGTCTCGAACTCGCAAGGATCCTCCCACCTCAGCCTCCCGAGTGCTAGGATTACAGGCGTCAGCCACCACACCTGGCTAGAAGTCTGAACTTCTTTTCCATTTATTTTGACAGGAGTACAGAGCTATTGACCTCCAGTGGTTAACTAGATACTTTGGTTCCTTTGCTAGCTGCACCATTTGGGCCGACAGATTTAGATCTGCCATATCCCTTCACCAAACAAATACGGCAGTCAGCCTGTAAGAGACTTCCTGACCTGCCTTCATATTTACCTTTAGACACAGAGACTTGAGTCTCTGTCTATGAAGGTCCACTATTATAGTCAGGGTTTGAAATGACAGGACACACAATTTATAGGAGTGCTTTATAATATTCATCCAAAGAGTCAAATGTAGAAATGTGCAAGAGATCTGTCCACACACAAGAGACCCAAAGAATCCAGTTGAGGGACTGGATCCCATGGCAGTGTCCTGCGTGAGTCCAGCTGAAGGCCTAGGGCCCTTGGCAATGTCTCATACAAGTCTGTACCAGGGATCTGCGCCAGGGAAGGCCCAAAGGCTAGTGGTGGAAGCTAGTGTCTTCACAAACAAAGTAAAAGATCTGCACCAGCAGGCTCAGGGCTCTGCATAGGAAGCATCGCTCAAGGTAAAGACC